ACTTACCCGTACTGAAAATATATCAGGCCCGAGACCACTATTGACACGTGTACGTGTACTTCACACAATGTTAGTATACTACTTCATGGCGCGCTTTCGGAATTCTCATAATTCAACTGTATGGTTTTTTTTTTGTTAACTGTCACCAAGTATGGTAAGATATGTAAATAATTTAATTACATATTTTTAATCATTAAAAATCGTAATAAAAGTATCAAAATGAGTTAGAGCGAACCAAATATTGGCTAGAACTACTCATGATGATTGTAAACAGAAAACAACCATTATCCGAGGACTGTCTCCATAATTTTTTCAACATCTTCTAATTTTTTTTTACTGATATTTAATACGTCATTGCTGATTCAACAAACAAAATACAACATAAAATCATTTAATCTGATTACACAGAACAAATTATAAGACTACCTGGTAAAGCAGTGTGGCCAACGCTTCAACTTCATACATGTAGTTACGTTATGTGACATTATTTCACAAACCTTGATTATGTCAATGTTTATCACCTCTTTGTAGGATGCACTTTTGATGTCAAGCCACCTATATTTATACAAGACATAATTCTCAGCACAATTAGAAGGCCGAAAGCCATCTTAAATACAGAGAAGAACAAAATATAAGAAGAATTTTCATTGGTCATTTTTCGATACTTGTTACTTATTTGTTATGACACTTACAATGTAGGATACTAGCGATTGCAAAACATACATCATTTTTAACATGATCGACATTCAGCACTATAAGCAAATATTGATAACCATCAGCTATGTCGCGTAAGCGTCACCATCTTTATTGTATGAGTAAAGAGGAACTTTAAATATTATGTAATCCATGTTTTTTTTTCGATTTCCTTATAAATTTCTTATATGCATCAGACCACATGCAGTCGGTGGGCGGCTTGGATAGTATGTAATAGTTATAGTACATGAAACGAGTTAGTTACGAGGATATAACACTGGCTGGGGCGACATCAAGGGATGTTTCTGCTAAAAAATGGCGAGGCCAGTAGGCCTCGTTTATGATCGAGGCCTAGTATATGATTTAAACAACGTTTCATATACTATAACTGTTTTATCGCAATGGCATAATGTTTTCTTTTTTGTAATACGGGGAAGTCAAAGACCGGGCCCGCGAAGCGGGTCCGGGCTTTGGCTTGCCCGGCTATAGACTACACGTGAATATTTAAAAGAAAATCAAATAAAAAACAATTAAAAAATATATAGAATTCTATACCTATCAATGAAATTTTCAGTGTCAGTCCTAGTCGGGCGCCGCCATTTACAATGTATGTCAATGATAATAGTCGGGGTATTCCGATAACGGAACAAATCTCAACTTTTCGGATTAGTAATAATCGTCGAGTGTTCCGAGTGAAAACGGAAGCGGTGTATGTAATATCGAATGACATCCTTAAAACGGAAAGAATGAAAGAATTTTTTTAACGACTTCCCCGTTCATAGGCTTTGCCTAATTTCATATTAGAAATAAATAAATAAATAGTTAGCTACATTACAGTTATTTATGATAAGGCAGTTTTTTTCAAGCTGTTTTCGCTGCCGCAAAAATAAAAAGATATACAAATGACATCCAATATAAGAGGCGGCTTATAAACTGTTACCAATATTGATTCAAGATTAAAGGGCTTTTTTCAGTTGAAATAATTCATTCAGCGGATGTACCTTTTGATTAAATGATAGTAAATTTTAAACTCAATTTATGAATAAAATTAACTTCATGAAAGACGGTCATATTTTGTGTGCCTCATCATCACATGCATCAGGCGGGCATAATAAAGTCTCTGATACATGACACATGATCAATATATAAGTGTGTGAGCATAATTTCGCTATTTTCTTGAGTTTAGATTAATACGGGGAAGTCAAAGACCAGGCCCGCGAAGCGGGTCCGGGCTTTGGCTTGCCCGGCTATAGACTACACGTGTATATTTAAAAGAAAATCAAATAAAAAACAATTAAAAAATATATAGAATATTATACCTATCAACGAAATTTTCAGTGTCAGTTCTAGTCGGGCACCGCCATTTACAATGTAACTCAATGATAATAGGCGGGGTATTCCGATAACGTACCAAATCTCAACTTTTCGGATGAATAATAATCGTCGAGTGTTCCGAGTGAAAACGGAAGCAGTGCATGTAATACCGAATGACACCTTTAAAACGGAAGGAATGAAAGGAATATTTTAACGACTTCCCCGTTCATAGGCTTTGCCTAATTTCATATTAGATCATCTCGCCAATATCAACCTCTGATCTCGATATTAATATGAAAAAGGCAAAGCCTCAAAGCGAGCTCGATGTACTTTTTACGTGAAATAGTATGAAATAATCGCTCATTTTTATTTCAAATGCAGTGACGAGTGCGTGTGACGTCACACGTACTGTGTTAGATATGAATGTCAGACGTTTCACCCCCAAGACATTTCACTATTGAGACGTTTCACTCCCAAGACGGTTCACACCTAGACGTTTCACTGTCAATTGTATGGACGTTTCACTCCCATTTTTTTAGATATTTTTTTAGTAAAGTTAGCAAATTTATTTCCATTTTTAATAGCCATGTCAGTATTGATTATTTATATTGATGCATGATTTTCTGTTGTAGATAAGCAATTTAAGTTCTGTAATATACATTTTTTTTATTTTTGTTGCATTGAAAAATGGTTTAATAGATAAAAGATATGGTTGGTTATTCAAAATAAAACACACAATTGTTAAAAAAGGAATTCATACTTATATAAACTATAATATAAACTACACTATGCTCATCCTTGACAATAATATTTTCATTAGTACTTTCATAAAAAATAAGCCACATGGAAATATTGTCATTAAATTGATATCAATTATTTTTATCAAAAAAGTAATTGTTGAAATAATAAAAATATCAATTTTATATTAATATAAAATTAAAATATTTGTTATTTCATGTAAAGCTTAAACAATGGTATGCAAAAGATGTGTATAAAATTAATTATTATTTTGACTTATTTTTTTTATCAATTTATTAAACAGTAGCCATTAAACAAACATAGGTAATTGTGGTGTTAACAGTAATCTCATCAACCAATTAGTTGTATAAACACTGAGACCAACAACTAACAGGTTGACATCACCATTAAATCAGTTGTATAAACACTGCACTTTAGCATCAACAGTTTACTAATCAGTTGTTTATTGGACAATAAAAATAGTTTTTAGATAACATCCAATTAAAACAAAAGTCTTGGAAACAGAAACTTCTCCGTTTATATAACAAATTTAATTAATGTTAAATCCGATATATTTTTAGTATATCATAAGTCTTAGAAAAATTTTGGTATAAAAGGGAGTGAAATGTCTTCAAGACGTTTCACTCCCATTTGGGAGTGAAACGTCTTGGTGTGAATTGTCTTGGTATGAACCGTCTCAATAGTGAAACGTCTGTCTACCGTTAGATATGGCCCCGCCCCTGTCGTGAAATGAATAACGAGTTTTGAAAACGTTTATAAAACTATGTTTATTTTATTTCACTCTATAATTTTTCAAGCGAAATAAAGATTATTTAAAGTGAAATAAATGTAAAACTTAAAACGTTTGCGACATTAAAATAGCGTACTTGATTTGTTTGTTTTGCACGCGTTGTTTGGCGCTACATTGTGACGTCACGTAAACAATACTTTAAACGTCTGTATAGCGTTAACGACTGAATAAAAGATATTGGTGTTCGGATTCATTTTCTTAGTTAGACCATTTTCTTTCATTCTAGATAGTTTTCACAACAAAATTCGACAAAAAAATTGTTTTTATTTATCAGATTTCAAACAAAATGGCGCCTTCGATTTTCATTTTTTATACACAGCTTCCGTTATTCTGGTTCCCTGTCCAATTATGGTTCCAATAGACGTGCGCGGGTGACCAGTCTACATGCACGTCCGTTTTCAGTCAGAATTCCTCAGTTTTTATCGTTATCTTTAAATTCGAAAGGTTGCGATGTGTCCAATTCGGTACTTTGGACGAAAGTTTTCAAAACCATCACTTAGCAGGTACTCGCGTTACCGTAAAGCTCGCTTTGCGAGCCGGCCCTTCGGGCCAGCTCGTCGAGCTCGCTATTAATATCTTGTTGTTTTATAGCGAGCTCGACGAGCTGGCCCGAAGGGCCAGCTCGCAAAACGAGCTTTACGGTAACGCGAGTACCTGCTAAGTGATGGTTTTGAAAACTTTCGTCCGAAGTACCGAATTGGACACATCGCAACTTTTCGAATTTAAAGATAACGATAAAAACTGAGGAATTCTGACTGAAAACGGATGTGTAGACTTGTCACCCTCGCACGTCTATGGGAACCATAATTGGACAGGGAACCAGAATAACGGAAGCTGTGTATAAAAAATGAAAATTGAAGGCGCCATTTTGTTTGAAAAATCTGATAAATAAAAACAATTTTTTGTCGAATTTTGTTGTGAAAACTATCTAGAATGAAAGAAAATGGTCTAACTAAGAAAATGAATCCGAACACCAATATCTTTTATTCAGTCGTTAACGCTGTACAGACGTTTAAGTATTGTTAACGTGACGTCACAATGTAGCGCCAAACAGCACGTGCAAAACAATCAAATCAAGTACGCTATTTTAATGTCGCAAACGTTTTAAGTTTTACATTTATTCAACTTTAAATAATCTTTATTTCGCTTGAAAAAATATAGAGTGAAATAAAATAAACAAACAAAGTTTTATCACCGTTTTCAAAACTCGTTATTCATTTAACGACAGGGGCGGAGCCATATTTAACACAGTACGTGTGACGTCACACGCACTCGTCACTGCATTTGAAATAAAAATGAGCGATTATTTCATACTATTTAACGTTAAAAGTACATCGAGCTCGCTTCTAGGCTTTGCCTTTTTCATATTATTATATAGGAAGTAAAATACATAGGGGTGTTCAAGTGTTTAAATAAAAAAATATAGTGGTACTAAACCTTAGACAGGAAGTCTTCATTCCCGAGATCACGTTTCTCTCGAGATTTCACCAGTTGCTATATAACAACAAAATGTGACATTTCATATGTTCCAAGTAAACCCTATTTAAAATTGATTTAAGACACATTATTGATTAACAATGGATACAACCGAAAGTGTAGATTTTGACTTCTTTGACACACCAAGGGTTGACGACAGTTTAAGTCCACAATCAAAGAAAACTATTGACAAAAAGACGGTAAGCCCGACAAGTGCTTACAGGCAGAAAAAAGATGGCGACTTATCGCGTAACGGAGACAAGAAGAAAGCTAAAGTTAATTCTAAAAAGGAAGAGAAGTATAAGAGTAGTGACAATGACTTAAGTAGTTCAGAATCTGATTCAATAACACCACGCTATAAAACAAAACAATATGACCGCAATAACAGAAACAATAGAGCTAGTTCACCATCGGAAAGTTCTAGCGCATATTCTAACAGTGATTATTCTTCTGATGAAGATGAGCAAGAAAGGAAGTCTAGCAGTAGTGTTAAAAAGGAGAAATTAAATGTACATATGCCTAGGGCAAATATCGAGGCATGGAGTGAGGAACATCCCGGTAAGGAAAGAGAAAAACAAAACAAACATTCATATGAGTCATCTGACAGTGATATTGATCTAGAACATGAACCAGTTAATACATCTGATTCCAACCATAGAAAATCTAAGATTTCTCAGAATCGGAAGAAAAGAGGCAATGGTAAAAAAAAGTTAATAAGATCAAGCAGTTCATTTTCAAATAATAGTGATATCACTGATGTTTCCCCTCTAGAGAGCCCTGAAGGGAGTCCGAGATACTCACATAAACGTGATACAAAAGACAAAGGTAACAAGTCTGTGCAATATTCTGATAAGAATGTCGATCATTCTATAAATTTGGAATCTGATGAGATAGATTTAAGTATTTTAATGAAGTGTATGGCAGATATTGACAAAGAAAAACAAGAGAGACTGAAAGCAAACTCAAGGAGGGTAATGTTTGCACAACCTACTACAGGAGGAAGTAAAAATAGTAAAGGTAACTACACATTTTCTATGGGTCAGGCAAAGTTGATTGAAAAAGAAAACCAACGGCTTTTAAAGAAGATAATGAATCAGATGTCAGGTCCGGTCAAAAAAGCTCCAGGTACTATCCCACGTCAAAGAGAACAAAAAAGGAGAGGTGAACCCATTGTTCAAAGACTGACCCCTTCTGCTGTAAACCGTATGCGAGAACAGAGACGTATAGAGGAACAAAACATGGTAAGTATGCTCTTGTTTTATAACACAAAGATGCTTAGCATCTTAGAAAAATCCTTCTCTGCATCAAAAATACTTGTTCTGTAAACTATGATAAATGATAATAATAGCTAAAGTTATCCTATATTTCAGGTATAAAGTAACAAACATTATCACTTGTTTACAGCCATCTAGGCACATTACAAATTTTCCTTGTTAAAGAAAAAATATATCATGATAATAAGTTGTTATTCAAAACAAGCATTAATATTTTTTTATGGCAGTGGTATAGAATTTTTTGCAGACAAATGAAGCAGACATATGGATTCTTTTAACTCTATTGCATAAAATCTGAACTCACAACCACTAGCTTCCAAATATATAAAGACAATACCAATATAATGTCCTTGTTTTTTACCTTTTCAGCAAATGCTCAATAGGTTACAAACAGTTAGGCCATCAAAAGGAATGTCGAGATCTGAACAAATCACTGAGGCAGAACGTCAGATGTCATATGGAATTCCAGGTGGCACCCTGATTGTGCAAGGTGACAGTTCCCATTATGAAACAAGGTCTTTCAGACCTCTACACAGTTCCATGAGCCAAACAGCAGGATCTACTCAAAGGTCAAGGCCATCAAGTGCTAAATCCAATTCTTCATTTGTTATAAGTCAAGGGAAGAGGTCACGACCTTCAAGTGCAAAGTCAAATGCATCAGTGAGGTCAAATGTCTCAGTAAGGTCAAATGTCTCAAAAATGTCAGGTGTTTCAATGCGCTCAAATATGTCTACATCAGGTGTAAGGAGATTGGCCGATGGTAGAATAGACAGAAGACCTGTTTGGGATGATAGATTTTCATTCTCTTAAACATTCAACTTTCAAGAACAATGAAAGTATATTCTGTCTGTCTTGCATAAATCTCATGTATTAAAGGAGCTCTCCCCAGGAAAAAAACGAAACATTTAAATTTAAAATTATTACATAGATCAAGTCTAGCACTTAAAATGTAAAAATCTGCAAAGGATAATAAGGAATATGCTAATAAGGAAATTGTAAAACAATTTATGAGTGATAAACATGTGAAAGAGTTGTAAAGCTTTTCATTTTTGGGTCATTTTGCACAAGAAAAAATGATTACTTTGAAAAAAATATGGTTGAGGAAATACCTTAAAAATATGCACACAAATTATTGGATCAGACTTAATCAAATGGTATAAAAATCTTAAAAAAATATTTCTAGTCTCATCAAAAAACCTTAGTGAAGTCCCTTTAAAGAATTAAAAAAAATGTCAGGAAGCATTTAGTTTCTGTCTCTTTTTAAAGTTTTTATAGATTATTTTTGTGACTTTATGTATTGTTGCATGAATCTTGGTCATAATCCATGTATTTGTACATGAATTATGATCATTGTCCAAAAAAGCTATATTTCAAGCCTACTTTAAACAATTTTAAGAATTCAGGTTTTACTTTTCCAAATGAAAATTCTATGGAAAAATCACAAAATATTTCAGATGAACAGTAAGTTAACCATTTTTTTTGTCAAAATACAATTGTTGTTGATTTTCATAACCTGTGTCAATTTTCTGTATTTTCAATTCAGTTAGAAATTATGTCAGTAATGTGGGTGATAAATGATATGTTCATATGGGTTAGAGACAATGTAAATTTGTTTCATTGATTTATGCTAATTTAAATGTAGCTTTTTCTCTGGCAATAGTCACTTTAAGGCACAGCATTCATAAATTTCTAAGGTTGTGAACATAAATGTGAACCATTTGCATATATGTTAAAAACCATGATTTTTATTTACAGATTTTGAGACTGCATATAAAATACTAAATTTATAAATTATGATTTTTTTTGGAGTTGTAGTTATGATAAAATGTTAATGATAATTTGGGGCTAAAGTCTAGGCCAAATGAGATACATTTATTCTATAAGATAAAAATAGAGATCACAATTTTCATACTCATTGCCTTCAGTGTCAGTCTTTTTTTTCTTTGTACATGTACATGTAGCTTTTTAATTGTAAAGAATTTTTTTTATTTTACTTAATGTTAAGTGCTTTCTTGGGAGAAAAAATGTGAGTAACCATGCAATATTGTGGCATTTAATATTTTAAAGTTAATGAACACATCAAACCACTAATACTGTACATGACCTCATTTTGTATATTAACTTACAAACATCATCAGTACCATAATGTATCATAGCTACACATTTTATTTTCTGTAATCTTATTTTGCTTTGAATCTGATGCTTGCAATTTAAGTTATATTATATAGGAACTAAAAATTTAGTGCAGTGGCAAACAAAGTGTGGAATACACAAATGTAGTTTTAGCATACCACTTTAAATAGCAGTTTTTTTCGCACTATATACATTGTATAAGTGTTTGTTTTATTCTTAAATAGAATAAGTGCCATGTTTGATTTAGATAGGTTTTAAAAAATCATATACTGCATTTGTATTGATATTTTTGTTCATTATTAGATAAAAGCAAAGAAATAGTGATGTCTCATGCATTTGTCAATATTGACATTATTTTATCACAATTATATAGTCCCATTTTTCTAACAAACTTGTTATTATATTATAAAATAATACATGCGGTCATCTTTTAGCTCAGACTTACATATCACTTTTTACCATTGTTTACCATCATTATCATTATATTGAACAAAATTCAAGCTCTAACTTGTAGCAACTGTTGTTAATTAAAACATTTGCTTTTAATCTACTTGTATAACAATCACAAAAGAAAGAGGTGTGGTAACAAAAATACAATGTATTTATGTACCAACCTGTATGAAAATTGCCTGAATTTATGACAATTCAGACATTATGACAATCAATGACAAGATTTGTAAAGGATAAAAAACCAGACAAGAATATTGATGAATATGAAGTTTTCCAACTTGTGGCACATTTTCATATTTGAATTTCATTACATGTATATGTACATGTATATTATGAAGACATCTAAATCATTTTGTTGCTCATTTTAGTAATACATGTTACACATATCATATACTGTAAATTGTTACCATTTGTTAAACTGCCTTGTTAAATAATTAAACATCATCCTATCATTTTTAAAAATTGAACAGAATTTTTTTTTTGATTTTATGAAAAATCCTGTTTTGGTATGCTTCTAAAAAAATTTATGATGAAAGACCATATTTTTTCCCATAATTATCCTGAAAGAAAAATGTTTAGAAAACTAAGGTAGGGTCTTTCTTTGATACATGCTTGCTAAAGTTTTACTTTGAAATTTGGTAAGCTAATAAATGTTATAAAGCTAAATTCAAGGTAAAGTAGATTAAAGAAAAATATATAGATTGATGAAAATTTGGTAATCAGTTTTAAGCTAGCCACCCAATTGTAATGGACTTTGGCAACAATGTTCCACTTTATAATATTATGTCAGTTAATGAAAACTGTTGGTAACAGTATATGACTGTGATAGTTTATTAAAGTTGATTTGTTATAAATTTTATGTATACAATTTTCTTCAGATGTTTTTTTATGCCCCCGGGCATATAGTAATTGAACCGTTCGTCCGTCGGTCTGTCCAAGCAAACATTTTGGGTTTAGGGGCTATATAATTATAACAGTAAAGAGAACAAAATAGGTTCATTCCATGATCAAAGGGTTTATGGGCTAGTAGCCCTATAGCCCTTAAGAAAACAAAGAAAATAGCCCCTAAACCCAAAATGTTGGAACGTCCGTCCGTCTGTCCGTACGAGGTTAACCTAGAACGGCAAGTTGGATTTTTCTTAAGTTGTACCTGTACCAATGGCTTCATAATTTACACACTTACTAATCCATACAAAGTATATGATCTGGGCAAGTTACATAACTATGGCTTCCATTTGCACCAAGTTATGGCCCTTTTCAGCACTTAGAAAATGAATAATATTAACCTAAACCGGCAAGTTGGAAATATCTTATGTTCTATCTGAACTAATGGCTTAATAACTTTCACACTTACTTATCAATACAATGTACATGATATTGCCAAGTTATATAAATGTGCCATCCATTTTCCCAGTAATTTCCCTTTTTATCACTTTGAAAATAGGGCCTTGTATGGTTAACCTATTCCGCCAAGTTGGATTTATCAAAAAATTTCACCTAATTACTTAATTTATTTAATGATATCTTTCATATTTGGTAGGTGGATACCTTTAACGGTCCTCTAATTTTTTGTGGCGTTAGGCGTCTCTAGGTCAAGGTCACTTGTGTAAAAAAATAAATCTAAACATTTCTGCTCATACAGCCTTTATTTTTAAGTTAATGTCTTTCATGTTTATAATAGTCATACCAAGGGAGGTCCTCTTCCTTTTCCTTTAGTAAGGGGTCATTTGGGTCAAGGTCACCAATGTCAAAAATAGATTTTTTACACTTTTACAGGTGTATTAACCTTATTCTATCGACAGATGTCTTGTATATTTTGTAGGAACATAAAATTGAGGTATTCTCATTTGGATGGAGGTAGGGGTCAGTTGGGTCAAGGTCACCAGTGCTAAAAATAGATTTTTACACTTTTGCTCATACAGCCTTTATTTATTGACAGATTTGTATTATAATTGGTAGGAAGATAACTTACATGGTATTCTTCCTTTGGATGGAGTAAGGGGTCAGTTGGGTCAAGGTCAACAGTGCTAAAAATAGATTTTTTAAACTTTAGCACATACAGCCTTTATTAGCTCGACTATTCGATAAGAATAAGTAGAGCTATTGCAGTCACCCGAGCGTCGGCGTCGGCGTAACCACTTATGTTAAAGTTTTTGTAATAGTTCAAATATTTTCAAAGTCCATAGACATATGGCTTTGAAACTTTGCACACTTGTTCACCATCATGACCCCAACCTGTAGACAGGAGGAGGTAACTCTATCAAGCATTTTGACAGAATTATGCCCCTTTTTCGACTTAGAATTTACGTTAAAGTTTTTGTAATAGTTCAAATATTTTCAAAGTCCATTGACATATGGCTTTAAAACTTTGCACACTTGTTCACCATCATGACCCCAACCTGTAGACAAGAGGAGGTAACTCTATCAAGCATTTTGACAGAATAATGCCCCTTTTTCGACTTAGAATTTACGTTAAAGTTTTTGTAATAGTTCAAATATTTTCAAAGTCCATTGACATATGGCTTTGAAACTTTGCACACTTGTTCAACATCATGACCCCAACCTGTAAACAGGAGGAGGTAACTCTATCAAGCATTTTGACAGAATTATGCCCTTTTTCGACTTAGAATTTACGTTAAAGTTTTTGTAATAGTTCAAATATTTTCAAAGTCCATTGACATATGGCTTTTGAAACTTTGCACACTTGTTCACCATCATGACCCCAACCTGTAAACAGGAGGAGGTAACTGTATCAAGCATTTTGACAGAATTATGCCCCTTTTTCGACTTAGAATTTACGTTAAAGTTTTTGTAATAGTTCAAATATTTTCAAAGTCCATTAACATATGGCTTTGAAACTTTGCACACTTGTTCAACATCATGACCCCAACCTGTAAACAGGAGGAGGTAACTCTATCAAGCATTTTGACAGAATTATGCCCCTTTTTCGACTTAGAATTTACGTTAAAGTTTTTGTAATAGTTCAAATATTTTCAAAGTCCATTGACATATGGCTTTGAAACTTTGCACACTTGTTCACCATCATGACCCCAACCTGTAAACAGGAGACGGTAACTGTATCAAGCATTTTTTTTACTATCAAGCACTAAGAATAGTCGAGCGTTGCTGTCCTACCGACAGCTCTTGTTTTAGATATTGTTACTGACAAGAATCTGAGCCAGGGGCATTTGTGTTTAACAAACACGTTCTTGTTTAAATGTGTGTTTATTTGTCCAAGCATAGATCTTAATAACATTGTAAATCATGGTCCAAGTAGAAGAAAAAAAGTTTTTAAACTGAGAACAATATTTGTGAAAAAGTCATACTAAGAAAAGTAAGACTATTTGTGTTGATGTAATTGAGATCACTGTAGCATATAGTTCATCAAAGATTCATAAAGTGCTAAACATTATGAAATAGTTGCATGTAGTCAACAGGTAATTTCTAAGGTCAATGTAACCTTAACACTTTTTTGTAGGATTCTGCATAATTCAAAATAGTACATTATCAAGAGACAGCAACAATAAAGTTTGAAGTTTCAAAAACATGTGTAGAATTTTTAGAATGTGTTCATCAAGAATAAAGATTTGAGAAAATATTTTGAAAACGGTATGTAAGAAAAATTTCCTTAGATGTTGTTTAATAGACTAAGAACATTTCCCTAATGATAGGGTAAGATAGGAACAATACAGCATGATTTTACTGAACATCATTTTGTCATCCAACAAATAATGATCTAATTATGATATAAAAGGAATTACATCAAAGTTGACTGTCTTATTATCACTTTGTGTTGTGTGGGCATTTTAACAAAACTTAAACTGTTTTCTTTAGTTTTAACATTTTGCCAAAAGTTATATTTTATTTTTCAAAAACTTTTTTTATATTTGTGTTTTCAAAAGGTTACTTATTAACCATATAGCTGAACCACTTTTTGCTTCTATTGCATTTTGAAAATTTAGTACAGTTAAAGTGCCTTAGTTTATTGTATAGAAGAAAAAAAAAACAACACTTTGTTCATATTTGGCTTCTTTTATGACCAATTATTTTACATTCTGCCCATTTCTCAGGTGATAATTGTTAAGTATGCCCTAAATCCATTATCAAAACAATATAAAACACATGTGTTAAAGACTTCCAGGAAATTTTTTATCTGCTTTAATTGTTTTTCAAGATGTGTCATGTTTCACATGCCTAGAACTTATTGCATTATTTTAGGCCTTCTTGTGAACATGTAGAAAAAAATGAATGATTTAATGTAGAAATTTCATAGCTCATAAATTTCCTTTATTTTTCTGTTCCTTACAAGGAAAAAGAAGTAAGCATATATTATGCTGTAACATTGAAATCTTACTGTTTGACGTTATATGTACATGTTGTTTCTAATTTATTGTTTATGTAAAATTAAGTTATTGTTGTTGGTGAAATAAGGTAAAATATACTCATTCTTTAGATAGTGTCAATCTCTTTATTGAAATTGTGGCTAAGATATTTTAAAAATAGATTAGAAGAATTAAACTTTGTTTTGTTTGAGTTTTCTTATTTGTCATCATGTTGCAGGGAATCTTCAGTATGGTTTCTTTTGACAATAGCTGTACAATAAATAATTCAGGTACCACATGGAACATTGAGTCTAATGGTCATTTGTCTCTCATCTCTGATTTACAAATCACTTGGGATTAGCAGTCAGTCACCTGAAAAGTTAAATTTCAAGCCAAAAGAGGAAAAGTCACAAGTTCAAAAGTCACACTGACAGTTATGACAGGAACTTGACTATATTTGGTATCTCCCTGGACCGGAGGTTAAATCATAAAATGATATCAGCTCAAAAACAAATTTCAGGCATTTGATTGGTCAGAAACCGGCACAGAATGTAACTGACCAGAAAAAGAAAAAGTTTTAAAGCTCACAGCCTAGCATACAGCATCCGAATATTGTACAGGTCATATGGCGATCATCTAGCTTCATTGGTGAAGAATGACCTTAGGTTCTGAGCATTATTTCAGGCACTAACGACCGCTTAAATTGAACCACAAACTTGCTGGAAGCTAGCTTTATACAAAAAATGTTTCCTCACATGAAACTATCTAAAGTTCATGTTGGGATTCAAACCCGCATCTTTTGGCTTGTGTACTTAAATACTTGACCAAAGAGGCCAAAGAAAACGTGTTATATTTGCATATACTTATGTAAGTAGCGACGCAAGAAAACGTGTCTGAAATGACAGAATTTGTGACCTTTAAAATGGTCTGAAACCAGAATCGCTTACCATATAACCGTTCAAGCTTGTTAATTTTCGACTTTTCGCTTGCCGGGGTCGCGGGGCCAAAACACGAATGGCACAAATCAGCCACAATAGTTGAGAAGTTATTATACTTACCGAAAGCTGTTCTATCGAACCGGTAATTGCATTGTCAAGTTAGCGATATGAAGACTATTATTAAAATGTTAGTGTCTTTCGCATGACTATTCTGGGCATCTTATCACGTGCATGTTGTTTTCCCTATTATGTGAGAACATTTCTTTATACTTGTAAGGCGTATGGGTACAGAATCTCAAATAATACCCAAAAAGTGAGTATTGTCCGCCATATCATGTCTTTCTATTCATATACAAAATGTCTATACAGAAACGATGGTATAATCTAATATTCATAGACAAAAATTAGTAAAATATTTATTTTAGCTCGGTTTTAATGAAACCTTGGAGCTTATTGAGTACGCTTCCTGAAACTAACCTTGTGCCATATGGAACAACATTATCGTGAACGGAAAGGCAAAGAGCTTATCATACCATAGTAAGAAACTTTGACAAATAAGCCGCCACACTCAACAAAGAGCACAATTACAATATTTAGTTGAATGCTACCCAACAATGAATTGAAAAACAAACCGGTTTGTATAGGTAATTCTTGGTATTTTCCAGCTATTGTCTTGCTATCATGGGCTATATCTTTCACTATTTTAAGCTCGAAAACATAACTAATGGGGAAAAAACTTGTGTATATATATCAAAATGTATCTTATCACTTGACTTTTAGGATTAGTTTTCCTTATTTGATTATTAACCCCTCCTTCCTATGACACTTGAAAAAAGACCAATGGAGACGAATGCAATACGCATTTGACATTTTACATCAGATACTCGTATATACGCTTTTCCAGTTGTTTGAAAAGAGTTCGCATTTAAACAATTTCAAGTCATGAAAATGGCGATAACGAAAACTTTGTTCGTTGTATACATGCTGTTGTTTGGTCGATTATCGGCAGACGATGGGGATCGTTATTCCTACGATTCGAAACTGCTCGAAAAAGTGATCCGCCTGGAATTGAAAGTGGAAGAAATGCAGAAGAAACTTGAAGCATCTCAAGAGAGAATGGAATCATTCATTACAGATCAAACAACGATATTCAAAAACAAAACTGATGAAGTGGAAATTAAAGGGGGTAAGTCGAAATCTTATAGTAAAAATTATCTATAAAAAAGTTTGTTTAAATAAATGAATCATTTAATGTTCAGATAATCCTTTCTGATATGCAAGATTGTAAAATAATTATGTAACATGACATTGTGTAGCAACCTTTCATTGTAGAACATTCGCCTTTGTGACGTTTAGTTTGCTTTTTGAAAGTCACAGGCCCTTATGTCCAATTCGTTTATTTTGAATTTGTTAATTTCGAACACTTTGGCAGCGTATTATCAGTAATTTTAAATCATATAGTTAACGAATGTCCTGAGCACTGATATAGATAATGTATCCCGGTAACTTTAAGAAGTGTTTATTTAATCATTTCAGATGTACCACTTGTTGCCTTCAATGCGTACAGTCCCGTCGATGTAAGTCCAGATACAAGCGAAATCATTGTGTGGAGAAATACCCTTGTAAATGAAGGAAACGGTTATGACACTGTGCTGGGCTTATTTACAGCCCCAGTCTCTGGTCTCTACTTTTTTGCCGTACATTCTTGTGTGTATACAAGCACTGCCCTTCAATATGCAATAGTTCTTGATCACAACATCGTAGGCAGAACCTATCAATACGAGGACAGCAGCTACCACTGTAGCTCTTTGAACACAATTACTATGGTCAAGGAAGGACAAAGGGTCTGGGTGAAGTGTACCAGTGGAAGCACAAGTAATCAAATGTTTGAGCATGACAGTTATGGAAAAAGTTCTTTTATAGGAGTCTTGTTGCATAAATAAAGTCTTACAACTTAAAATGGTTGAATGACTCACGGACATAGACGACACTGTACGATACAGATATGATATATGTCGTCTTGGAAATATATTCTCAGCAAACTCTTTTGCCACTTGAAAGAAAGGAAAACAAATTCCTTGAAAAAAAAATGTTATCATAATAATAATGTTGTTGTACATTGTAGTTGAATAGTATTAAATAATATCATAGAACTGTTCAAAATTTACTGTATATTTGATTGTATTCAAACAATAACTTGATATTTGTTACAAATAAATATTCATTGAATATGTCTTTGGTTTTCACTTAAAGCTACATTAAATTGATATGTAAAGATATTTTGCCGTCGGCCTATAACCAATCATTCTATAGTTTCATTAACCTTTTAAACTGTATTGTTGTTAATCTTATCAAATATTGTTCATCAATAAGGATTTTAAACGGAAAACCCCACGGTAACACATAAGTTCTTAATCAACTCATGTATGCGTGACGTCACAGTGTTATAGTTGCTATCCGGAATACAGCAAACATAAGATTTTCTTGTGCAAACATACTTTAACCGATTCATTAGGCCTGGGGTTCAGAAAAAAGGAATACGCATAAAAAAGATTAAATTTGTATGAAAACATCCGTCACACCTGGTAAATGATAGAGCTACCTCTTTCGGTATACGGTAAATCGCTCTATCGCTACTTCCGAGCTAGTGCATGTCGCTAAAATCAAATGTCAAGTGCTTTCATTTTAAACTCTACACCAAAAATCAAAATTCGGAGAATGCTATGCGATGTAGATTTGATTAAAGTTTCCAGAAAACATAAAGTTGTGTTTGAAATGTTGTTATTGCGGCATTTCCCAGTTAGCAAATTCAGCGTTGAAATGGACCGTTTCATCATAAAACAGATTATTTTTCTTCCAATTTGCATCTAAACAGCGGTTCAGATCAAAAACAAATATGTTTCAAGTAGATATAAGGTCAAGAAATGAAATAAAATTGATATCAGATCAAAACATTAGTTTATAAAGAAAATATAGGATATTTGCTCCTGGAGACAGCTCGGTCGTGAAGGAGGTAGTCATGTTTCCAAAGAGATAGCTCTATTGTTTCAAAGGGGACACAAATTATAGAGTAAAGAATGTAAAAAGTTTTCGGTGAAAAAGATATTTAGGATGTTGATACAACAAGAAAGAAATAAACTATTGGACAATATTTGTTTGATATAAGCAGTTATTCCTGCTACATCGTTCACTGAATGATCCAACTTCAGGATGAATGGAAATTAATCTGTACAAATGTGAACACTGTGCACAAACCGAGACTTCACATTTCAAATGTACACACACAATTACCTAATAGGAACACAGTATGTTATTTTAGTTTGCCTAAGAGTTTGAAGCGTCACATAGTAACCGTTCACATGGGAGAATAGAACTTTGAATGCGACAGTTGTAAAGCTTGTGGTATACTTGTTTTTAAAGGTTTTTGAGAAGATTTCTTTGTTCTCTATTTAAAATGCCCAGTGAGTTCACATTTTCACTAACGTACTAGTACACGTATCTACATTGTTTCTAGCTAGTCAGAAAGCTATGATTCTTTTTTCCCTTTAAAACACCTTGAATATCCAGTAACGCAGTGTAGTGGAAATTCCGCAGGTATTGTGAAAAGTAACGCAGAATTGTGCAATTCTGTGGCCGAACAAGGAAATGAAGCAATATCTTTATTGTACATCAAATTGAAAGAAGTGAAGTAGCGCATACGGTTGTTGAGACATTATACTTTAACCTTGTACCACATGAGCATATTGCGAAAAATGGCCGTTTTCATTGAAAAAGCCTCCTGTATCAAGTTCAAACTGCTATGAAACTATGAAAAATGCTTCAATACTGATGAAACTTGGCACAAATTTTGACTAGACCATAACCTCTGTAACAGCATGCTCAATCGTAAATTTCCTGTTACCATGGCGACGGGGGGACGTCTCAAAATTGCCAAAAATCACTATTTTGCATTGTTTTTTTCCATCAAAACTGATTTCAAAGTGCTGCAACTTTTCAATGAATTGAGATAGAGTAAAAGGCTTTTCAGCGTCGGTTACTAGTTACCCTAAAATCGACCTAAGATCGACCTGAGGCCATTTTAGCCTGTCACATGTCCAAAATTTTCTTGGCGATGGGGGGGGGGGGCTGCCGCCCCCTTCAACCCCCCAAAATCCCCCTTCTGGCAACCCCCTGATGTACCTTTTTGATGAGGGGCGGCGCCGAAAAAGTGGTCACTTTTTTAACAACATTTCTCAAACGAAAAACAGTGTTTTGGGCCTAAATAGGGCATTTTTTCATTGTTTGAGACCTCAGAAAGGGGGGGGGGGCAAAAAGCCGTCGAAACACGCTTATATAAGGGAAAAGGTTTAACATCATCAATAATGCTTCCATGACAATGTTTATTTTTCAAGATCATTCGTGAGAATTTCGATCTGACTTTTGAGTTCCTTCGTATCTTAAAATACAAAATGTGCAAAAACGTATATATCATTATGGATTTTGATATTCAGTGTACCCGACTCATTAGCAAAACTACTCGTTGGTTGATATACACGATGTAAATACAGTCAAATATTAACTATGTGTATGTTTTGTATGTTCTGTACAAAAAGTTAAAGTCTTAACATGTATTGAGTTGGTAACAATTTAAACGCTGTAAATGTCAATGTTTATTATGCAAATTACGTCATGATATACATGTAAAGTAATTACATTACTAAAATATTGTTTTTATTAAATTTTGTGTCGTGATAAATGTTATGAATAAAATATACACAAACAATCAGGTACTTTGTATGTAACCATAGAGCTATCTCCTTGGCGATATAACTACCTCCTTCACGACAGAGCTGTCTCCAAGAACAAATATCCTATATTTTCTTTATTAACTAATGTTTTGATCTGATTTCAATCTTATTTCATTTCTAGACCTTAAATCTACTTGAAACATATTTGTTTTTTATCTGAACCGCTGTTTAGATACAAATTGGAGGAAAAATAATCTGTTTCATGATGAAACGGTCCATTTTAACGCTGAATTCGCTAACTGGGAAATGCCTCCACAACAACATATCAAACACAAGTATAACAACTTTATGTTTTCTGGAAACTTTTATCAAATCTACATCGCATAGCATTCTCCGAATTTTGATATTAGGTGTAGAGTTTACAAAATATATAAAAAATGAAAACACTTGACATTTGATTTCAGCGACATGCACTTGCTCGGAAGTAGCGACAGAGCGATTTACCGTACACCTCCGAAAGAGGTAGCTCTATCATTTACCAGCAATGCGAAAATATACCGTTAATTTAGGACTGCTTCTAAAAGTCATGTTTGTTGATTCAATATTGATGTACGGATGAACTGAATGTAAACAGAAATTGTACTTCCGATTTCGCCACAATAACGTTGCCCATTTTTATGCTTATAAAACTCATTTTGGTTGTCTGGACACCAAAATAAGATCTGGAGTCGATATGGAACCCAAGCTTTTAATGAAATGTCGCTATTTCTGTTCTTTATGAAATTTATTAAATGTAGCTTTAATGACTTTCCATCGAAACAAAGAACCTTATTGCCATCAACCTTTATAGCACATGAGGACACTTTTAGATAAATTTATCAAATATTTTTGCAATAGAAAATATATAAACAACAATTTGACAGAAAACCACAGTATATCTTTTTTATTTCTATCCGTTAAAGGCACATTATGCACCAGAAATCCATATGTGTTTTTAATTCTTTAGAATGTCAAACATGTGTTTAAAATGTTTAATAATGGATTTAGAGCATGGTAGATGTTTAACAGTAATGTGTCATAAAAGGTAGCAAAATGTAAACAAAGAAGTAATTTGACTTCCATACAAATTACGAATTCACTATATTTATACCAAAGGCCAACAGAGCAAAAGAAGCATAATATTGTTAATCTACATGTGCATATCTATATGGCAATTATTTCGGAACTGTAACAAGATACCAAAAATTTAAAAAATGTTTGAGGCAGAATGCGCCTATTTGCCTTGATCTGGTGTAACTTTTTATTTAAAGGTAAAGTTCATTTAGGAATGACCAGGCCGAAGACGACTGATTTCTACTATATTTGTGTGTCATACAATTACAAAAATATCTGAATTGTTGATATTCACTACTACGACATATAATGGTATATGATAGAATATATGCTTTTTATTCTTACATAATAGGATAATGGCGCTGTTATTGCAGATATTTTATTTCTACAAGCAATCAGAAGGAGACACCGACAAAGCCAGTAAGACTGGGGCATTTCAAAATGATATTGCCGAGCGATGACTCTTTGAATTGTATTTTTTTTTGGAACAAAATATATTTTGCAAACTGAATGTAAAATACATGATTTATTATAAACAATTCAACATCGTTATAATAATGATAATAAAATCGTATAACACTTGCGAACTTACAACGAAGCATTTCTTATACACATATACTTAATTCTAATTTAACGCTTATAGATACAAAAAATCACGTATATATTTTAATTGACCGTATTTAAGAAAACGTGTATATTAAGAGTTTTAATGTTATTCATTTATGCAATTCAATGCAAATTTGAGGTAAATAGTTGACAATTATCTGATCATTAACATTCTATAATAATAATATCTGTTAATCCCCTCATATATCAACATATGACCGACCCTTAAAGAAATGAATATGCTGAAATTGCTGAAAATCGCAACATTGATTATATACTACAATATTTATTGTTACTTGCTTTGTCAACGGTTTTTTATCTAAGTTTTAAGGTCCACGAAGAGAAGTCTGTTTAATCTTAAATGTACCATTAATATAATTAAAAAATTGTAAAAACGAATATTCGAATATATTCGAATATGGAAAACGAATAATTCGAACAACAAATTCGTTTTTTTCTTCCCAGCCCTAGAAAAATGCCTTATTATTTGGCGTGTTTCCCTTTCTTGAAGAGAACATTTATATATATAAACGCATTAATACTCATTGAAAGGCCCGCAATGAATCTTAGCTTTTTATGGATTATTAGACATAGATAGTTAATTAAATATATGCTTATACTTTACTTACTTTTTTAGAGGATTTGTGTTAATTTTATGTTTGGTATAATAATTATGTAAAGACAAGTTTAATCAAAATTATACCAGTAGTGTTTCAAATATCACAGGTTCGGTTTGATTGAGTCGGCTCATGAGGGGGGTTAAAAGTGTAATTTCGCTCACGCTCCCTAGCACCGGCTTCAGCAATATTTAATTTTCGCCGGAATAAGCAATTTCAAATAACCAGAAAAAATGTAACAGCATGGGAATGAAACACTTGCGCGGTTTATATAATTTGCATGGCGATCAACTTTTACTCCCACAACTTGGCATGTGCTTGGTAAATACATGTACATCTTTTCTATTTTGTCCGTCATATAACCATTATTTTTGATAATCTTATAAGTTAGTAAGACTGACGTAATTTGAAATATATTCCCAGGAAAGGGAAAACAGTGTAACACATAGAGAGAAATTAGTTTTCAGTGTGTGATATAATAGTATTTTCAATGTGTACGAATGTCTGTCTATCTGTCTGTCTGTTCCTTTTGATGTTAAAGTATTTTTGTACTTTGACATCTAGTTGTATCTAGTTTAGAAAAATCGTTTTTGTGACATGTTTCAATTTTGAAAAATGATTTACAAAATGTCTTCTTCTAACATGTACTTATATATAATCTAGTAATGTTAAAAAGTGTTCTAGTTTCCTGTAAAGGCAAATGTGTCTCACTTGAAACATCTGTTTCGTAAAAACTTTCCTCCTTTCACGAAGTCCATGGTAGTATTATTTAAGTGGCACTTTTAACATAAATGTTACAATTGTTTGCACATATGCAAATAAGGAAAAATAAGTTAATTTTGACTAGTTAAAAATAACAAAAGGGTGTTGACTATATTCAGTTTCGAACCAATAATAACTGAGATATATCTAAGGCTGTTAATTCCATATAAAATATGATACATACGTATCATTTTGATTGTATAACTTATTGAAGAAAGTGTTGGTTACTACAATGTTGGGACTAAAAGTATTTGTTGTTGTTGGACTGGCGTATGTGGCTATATTGACAACCGGAGATGACCAGCCTGATCGATTTGCGTACCATGCAAAGCTTCTGGACAAGATGGTCCGTATGGAAATGAAGATGGAACGAATGGAAGAAGATTTGAGCGAAGCACAGACTAATGTCAACGTGTTTATAAAGAAACAAACTAAAATACTAGAAAACAAAACAGCCGAACTCGAACTATTAGAAGGTAAGATTTTGAAATCAAAATAACAAAAATACAAAAGTACACGTTTTAATTACATATAGTGATAGATTAGATATGTATACTCTTGCCGTACAGTTTTCTAGACGTTTTCTGTAAGTTAAGCAATGTTACCTCAAACGATATAATTTATGCTAAGAAACACTGAGTAATATTCAAGCAAATAAAATCATTCAAAAAAAATTCAATTTTTACGCATAATCTGAGCATTAACCTGCCTAACCCTTTGTCAGCAGTAGGCCAGCCTGCCCTATCTGTAGACTATTATAATATCTTAATGTTGAAATCCTATGATTTCTATGTGTACTGTTCCATATGTCCATGCAGTTTTCAAAAGTCTTTTATTTGTGTAATGAATTTCAAATACACATTTGAAACATTTAAGAAAGAATGTATTATATTAACGATATATGTCTATGTTAAAAACTTAAAATGTTTACGTTATTCTACCATTGATTTATGAAGTTTTATCAAAAAAATTTACACTTATTATTTTGCAATTCCCTTCAGGAAGAGTCGATCTACCACTAATTGCTTTCAATGCATACAGTCCTGTGGATACGAGCCCGGATACTAACGAGATCATTATATGGCAAAGTACTTATTTAAATGAAGGAAACGGTTATGACACGGTCATCGGTATCTTCAAGGCACCCGTTTCTGGTCTCTACTACTTTGCTGTACATGTATGTAACTACAGTGGCAACGTTTTCCAGTACGCCATTGTACTTGAAAACACCAACATTGCCACGTCGTACAAGTACGACAACAACAACTACGACTGCGGTTCTATGAGTACTTTCACCAAGGTGGCGGCCGGACAAAGGGTATGGGTGAGATGTACTAGCGGAAGTACGAGCACTCTGTTGTGGGAAAGTAGCGGTAGAAGCTCATTCATTGGTGCTCTCATTCATACATAAAAAAACATTGATTCAAAAAATGCATGCCTGTGTAATGAAGAAACATGTCTGATTTTACTGGCAAAACATATTGCCTTTTATTATTTCTCATATTAAAGCGAAATGTTGTTAGTTTAAGGTAAAATATCTTAGTAAAAGCATATACAATGTAATTCGTAAAAAAACACAACAGAATTTAATTAACTTGATTAACGTACATGTATAACAACAAGGTCGCCTGTAATCATTGTATATTTCAGTATGAAGGTAGACAGAAGCGGGAACAGGAGTCCTTCAGGATAGTTTGTAATAAATATTGAATTGCATTTGTATATCTCAGTCAATCCATAATAAAAGTATAACAAAAATACGACTTTTGTTATTTGTATTATATAAATATTGCACTTCTCTAGTTAGAAGAATCTTTTTAGTAACCTATTATTTCAATTCGTTGGATTTAAAGTCACATCGATATTGTAAAGGCCATAAGAAAACATTCCAGCTGTACTGGTGGACAAAGGCCTCAGATGGACTGCTTTCAAGACGGCCATTGGTCAACAATAAATGTACACAATGGATGCAAGATTAACTATTGTATTACGAAATCTTGTAAAGAATTTTGAAAATCTCAGTATCTAGTGGCGATACTTATACAGCAGCGCGACCGTTTGACCCGTCAAAAGTATTTCTGACTTATATAAAGTCATGATACACCACAACTGATTTATTTGGTTTAAAAAAATAATTGATTCATGGATAAGCAGCGGTCACGTATAAATGATATTGACTTCACAAACGTTCAGTAGTTTGCACATTTTACTATCATTGCAAACCGATTCAAAATTTAAGTCTAAATTTAACTGTGCCGGCTCATTGATTGCAGTGTTAAGTATCAAGCTACCGTCCACTCCCACTAGCACCGGATTAAGCAGAATTCCATACTTCAACAGGCAAAATTGTGAAATTTTGAATGTAAAACGAGTACACCTAAATTGGAAGAGTTGCTGTTAATGCTGCATAACAGCGCAAGAGATCCGAGCTAAAATCTGAAGCATTTATGTATTATGGACATGAGTAGGAAAAATCTTTATAGTATAACCTTTGTGAAGTGGACACTAAAAATTCCTTGTTCCTTGGTGCTTGTTATTACGAAATCATTTTGCTCTTGTCGATTTTCCTCTATCCTAATTCAGAAAGAAATAATACAAATTAGAATGAAAAAAAAAATTAAGTAGCTTTTCACTTGTTGGGGCGTCCGTGACCGAGTGATTTTAAGGTCGTTGTCTTCAAACACCACTTGCCTCTCACCGTTGTGTGTTCGAGGCGCAAAAGCGTCTTAGAATTCTTTCTTGTGAGAAAGCTATTTCCAGCTAGTATCAGTTATACATATAGTAATTTATAATGAAGACCAAATATCGTTTATGTGCATTTATAAACACGACGACCACGTTCATGCGGCAACGCATAAAGCAAAAAATGCTTATATGGAGCGCTTTTGTGCCTTTTTGCTGTATATAGTATAAGAGGATAAACTCCACCTACCGTTCTAAGATTTTAACAAAAACGATTGTAATGACTTTGGTGATGAGGAGGAGGGGGACGACCCCAACGACGGTAATAGTGCTGATTGTGTTTATTATGACTACTTATTAAAATTGTTTTATTATCATTTCGTAGCTCACGCTGCCTTTTGGCAAACACTGACGTTTTTCACAACTTTGTTGGGGTTTTTTTCTACATAACGCGCAAGTCTCTAAGTAACTTCTGCTCCCCCACCCTTACCCTTCGGTGACATAATTTTTAATTTTTGGCTAGTCCGACACTGATTTTATACGTTTTTGCAGTATGGTTATAATCCGACTTTATTACCTTTGTCAGTATTTACGTCTCAAAAAGTCGTGATCAAAGCTTTGTCAAATGGTAACACAAAGAAAGAATTCGCTACAGCTTTAGACAAGTCTCATATATAGGTTTTGCAACTGTATTCGAGATCAGTGTTCTCAACAATATATAATGACTGACAAGCGTCTCGCCAGGCTCGCAAGTTCCACTAGTTAATATTGTCTTTAAAGCATATACTTACTGAGATGCAAAAACACAACACTGGTAAAAAAATACAAATACATTTATTGTGTATCACCGCAAAAGAATATTAAGTACTTGTACATACAATATGCAGGTACAATGTAATACATTTGTTAATCAGAATATGAAAATTGAATAGGAATATCTAATGACAGGCTTGCAGACGAAACAGTTATAAATGTAAAAGAACACCCATGAATGAGCTTCTACCAGTGCTTTCCCAGAGTTGATTAGCCGAGCTTCCACTTGTACATCTAACCCAAACTCTTTGTTCTGCCCTCATCATTGTGACAGTGCTGATCGAGTCGCAATCTTGATTCTTCTGATCATATTTGTATGTCGAAGCAATGTTGAATCCATCTAACGTGATAGCATAATACAATGTTTGACTACTGTAGTGACAGGCATGCACGGCGAAATAGTACAAACCAGAAACAGGTGCTTTGAATGTACCCAGGGTGTTGTTGTATGCATTACCCTCATTTAGACGAGTGTGTTGCCACACAATTATCTGGTTTGTTGCTGGGCTTATATCAACAGGACTATAAGCGCTAAAGGCAATAACTGTATTGTTTTGTCGTCCTGAAAACAATTTATATTTGACGTAAACAATATAAATACAAATATATCATAGATATCTTGTATGTTAACCTAAATTTTGAAGCAAGTCCTAAATTTTATCATGATAAACTTTCTTATCTTTTAATGAATTGAACGTTAAAAACTATCATAGATTTGGTATTTAAAAAAGTTACATTATAAAAAAGAAAGACATATATAGCAGCAAATTCCTGCTATTTTAAACACAAATATTATTACTTATGTTACTCAATGAATTCATACCTTTCAATACGTGCAATGTGGCCGTTCTATTTTCATATATCTTCTTCTGATATTCGGTGAACGTTTTCACTTTTGCCATTGTCTTCTTCAACTCTTTTGCCATCACCTCCATTTTTAATTCCATGCGGATGATATTGTTCAAAATCTTTGCCTCGTACAGTAATTCGGCATTTTTGTCCTTTCCCTCCGCTGATAAAAGCAATAGCGACAGTCCAAATATTAAACAAATATTTATCATGTTCATTTGGTTCTTCAATTAAATAGTGTGCTTTGTTCTGTTACTCTACAATATAACTAATTCACATTGCGTAGTTTTCACAAGTTTTTCCTTATTCATGACTTCAAAAAAAAAATAGATTTGAAGGAAAGGCAAAAACATAGTCAGTTTGTGCTAATTAAATTCAAAGCTTTTGACATTGATTAAGTTGTTTTCGTTGCTTGTTCTAGTTTACAATTAACACCTTCTATTTATCAAGGAAAATTTTTCCTCTAGTGCTTGAGAAAGACTTCCCTAACATTTTAGTGTTTATGACATAACACGTGCACATATACAGCTTTTAAGTACTAGCAAAGTGTTGTCCTTACAATGAAACTGAATCATAAAACGCGCTGAATAATTTGATCTAGTTATTAGACGTATAAAATTTAGTACTAAAATTCAAGTCTGATGTTTTATATATCGTAGTAATACGTGTAATACGTTTAATCAAATTGCCGTTCAACCCAACTTCAAATTCGAATCATAGGACTTTGTGAGACATGACAATGCTGTTGATATCTGAATTTATCATTAAACATTTTGGCTTAGACAAGAAGACAGAATGGCTAATCCAAGGAAATTATACTTCATAACGTTAAATAGCCGACTCTGTTGTTTTTGGTCGAGAGAACGCACATTCTGGGAACAGGGAAAAATAAGTAATGGTAAATTCTACTTATTACTATATATAAATTAACTATTTAAGCACAGGGATACAAACAAACCCCTACAAATAAACATTTTTAGAAATGTCCGCTTTTAAAAAATTGTTATCTACAGTGTTTGTTTGGCACCCTTATATTCAAACTAGAATTATTTAACCAATATCTAAAACAAATAAAAATAAATTTACAGTGTTTTATACAGGTTTTCAAATACTAGATGTATGTGAAAGTATGTTTCACTCACAAAGTAAATTAGTTGACAAGGATGAAATGTAACTCTGATTCTACTGAATCTGCTTATTAATGATTTATTGTTTTCACGTACACTGCAAGTTTGTCCTGGAGTGGTGAGTATGTAATAAAATATGGTCAATAAATTTAACAAAAAAGCAAATATTTTACAATTTTCTATTTCAACCCTTCGAAAAAAATCTCCTAGAGAAAAACAAAGTTCAATTTTTAAATGATTCAACATAGTTCTCCTTAGGTATACCTTTCAATAACTCAAAAATGGCCGATCCAAGTCTATTTCTACTCTTAACGATAACATGCAAGATGTGTGTGGTTTTTTGTTGTTGTTTTTTCCAGTTTAGGAAAAAAGAGTTCTAAGTTTGGAGAATACGGCGGATGTTTTTCACAGTCACTCGTTTTTTTTTCATGGTAAATATCAATTACTGTAGCTGCTTTGTGTGCAGAAGCGTTGTCGTGCAGTTTATACAGATCTTTTTAACTACTCAAAGTTTGCTTAGCACCAATTTTCCACAAAATATCTTGCACTCAACATCATATAATGTTATGATATTTACATTGTAAATCGTGTAGTTATGTATCGAGAGAGTACCCTGTGTACACAAAACCTTGAATGACAGGCCATTTCCACGTGCAAGTAGTGCAAACAATGTGACCCTGTAGTTTGATAGTCTTTATTAGACACAGCATACACATACAGACACGTGTATGGTGTTCATTCTTCATTTTCTATGAAATATTGAATATTTAAGATTGAATAATGGCGATTTGCAAATGTTAGAAGGCATTTATCTGATGCAAATTTGTGGCGGGCAGTTGGTATGGTGGAGCAGGGGGCTTGACATCGTGAGATTGGTGAGATGTTCGGTGTGGACCATACAGTTATCATCTGAGCCTGAGCGAGGTTCCAACAGCATGGTACATCTGTTAGACGACATGGTGGTGGCAGAACAAGAGTGACTACTGAGGCTGCGGATCGTTTTACGGTCATCCAGGCACGAAGTAACTGTTTTGCAACTGCAACTGAACTTCGTTCTGACCTTCAAAATGGTTCAGGAGTGCGTGTTAAGGTATTACCTGGACTACACAGACAGGCGTGCTAGAGTATAGCGAAGGTCAGGGGAACGGTTCCATACAGCAAACATTGTGGAACACGACAACTAAGGCGGCGAATCAATAATGGTCTGGGGTGGAATCAGCTGATGGACGTACTGACCGTCCTCATTGTCCTCGACAGAGGCACATTGACTGCCCAGTGGTATCGAGATGAGATCCTAAACACCCAGGTAAGGTTGTATGCTGGTGCAATTGGTAATGCATTGGTTCATTTTGATGGATGATAATTCACGCCCCAATACAGCCAATGTTGTCCAAGGTACTTAGAAAGACAGGGTATTACTCGTTTGGACTGGCCGGCCAGATCCCCGGATCTTAATCCCATTGAGCATGTATGGAATGAGCTACAGGTCCGTATTTCAGCCCGTCAGGTCCCGCCCTTGTCGACGAGTGGAATACCATCCCAAATGGCGTCCTAAAAAACTGATAGGGTGTATGCAACGTCGGTGCCAAGCTGTAATTGACAACACTGCTATTAAAGCAAAATTTCAAAGATTTTTGGGTGCAAAAAAATGAGTTTTTCACAAATTCCACCATATCCGTCTAAAACACAACTTCATTACAATAAAAACAAATCAACATGAAAACACATTACAATTGGTAACAAATTCCTTAATGATGTTTATAAATCACTATGTCATATATAAGAACAGAAATAAATCTAATATTTGACATGAAACATAAGGTAGGTACAAAAATACTCTTGGTGCTTGGCAAACTTTGAGTAGTATATTTCAGTCGAAACCAGCTTTCATCACCAGTCACAATACATGTATTAGACAAACGGCGACTGTCATATTAAGGAAACACTTTCAGTAATTTTTATGGCTTTTAACTCGCTTCTTCCTCTGGTCAGACTTTAGCAAATGGGCTATCCATCTGGCAGTTATTCGCCTAACTTTTAAGTTATTCTTCAGAATCGTATGAGATGACCCTTTTGATATCCCTGCAATGTGGGATATCTAGGTAAGTCTGGCATCTTTGCCAATTATAAGCTTGATTAATGAATGTTTCGTCAGTTATTACGAAGCGTTCTCTGAAAGATTAATAGGCATCTTTAATTAACCAGTGTTCATTTCTGAATTAATGAAACAAACATGCAACATTTGCATAAGATACTTCATACTACTATAATTATAACAAATATCATTATAAACATTTTTTTCTTCAGATTTTTCAAGCTTTGCAGCCCGTATTTCAGCACAAACCATGAAGTTACTGGTATAAGGTATTGCTGCTGCAGATTTGCAATACACGTATACATTGTAGTATATGTATATATGAGTTTGTTTTTTATGCTCCCCGAAGGGTGAGCATATAGTCGCCGCTTTGTCCGTCCGTCTGTCCGTCCGTCCGAGCAAACATTTTGGGTTTAGGGGCTATGAAACAGTAAAGAGTACAAAAGAGAACAATAGGTTCATTCCGTGATCAAAGGGTTTATGGGCTAGTAGCCCTTAAGAAAACAAAGAAAATAACAAAGAAAATAGCTCCTAAACCCAAAATGTTGGAACGTCCGTCCGCTTTTCTTATCCGGGACATAACTAAATAAGTAACATTCATATGAGCAATTTTCCTTAAAAATACCATAAAATGACAATTTTACATTAGAAGTTACAGATGAATGCCACTCTTGTTGGTATATATCTTTTAACCTATTTACAAATTGTGCTATAATGTTTTTTTCTGATGTAACAGATTGACTTTCCCATACATATCCAAAACCGTGACTAGGAAATTTTTTCTTAAAGATGTAACCCAATTGTCATTTCCCTGTATATCATCATTAAACATCATTAAATAACATTTTTTAACTAATATATCATTTGGCATTTTAATAATTTTTAACCAATATTAATACACCTCTTAATAGGATACCTCCTGCAGTCGCCTTATTCAGCTACATTGTACAACACATAAAGCGTTTGCATGCATAATATTGTACCCGTCCTAGCTCTTTAAATTTACCCATGCCCCAAATTTCAGCTCCATATAGTAACTGAGGACATATTTTAGTATCATACAGTTTAAAAAATACTTTCTTATTTAATTGGCCACAATCATACAAGGATTTTAAGATTAATATAAAAACCCTCTTACCCTTTATACATAACTCATGTACCATTCTTTTCATAGAAAGTTGTCTAGTAAATGTTAAACCAACATAACTAAAAGCATTCACAACTTCAATCTGCTTGTTTTTATAAGTCCAATTTTCAATTTTAGCTAAGGTGACACCATTTTTAAAAACAACTTTTTTGTTTTACTTTCATTTACTTTAAGTTTATATGTATCGCAAAAAGTTGACAAAGTATCTAACTGTTTTTGTAAACCAGAAACTGTATCAGAAAGGAGAGCAATATCATCTGCAAACATTAAAGATAAAAGTTGTGTATCAGATGGGTGTAATTGAACTCTTATGCCACTATCATCTAAAATATGTTGTAATTCATCTATATAGAAAGAGAAAAGAATCGGGCTGTCCAGACAGCCTTGTTTTAATCCTACTGAACTTAATATGTAATCACTTCTTTCATTATTACATCTAATACACGCTTTAACAGTTCTACACATACTTTGAAAAAATATATACAATTTTCCACTGATATAAGATATATCAACATGAAACTTTGTAGGTAGATAGATCTCATTGAGTAGAATTGCACTGTTAAAGAACGAACCATAACTCTGTCTCGCCTAATTTTGGAGTTATTGCCCTTTGTTCATTTTGACACTTTGAGCTTTGTCCGGGACATCACCCTAAAATCATAAGAGATACCAACATAAAACTTTGTAGGTGGATAGGTCTAATTTGGGTAGAAATGCAGTGCTAAAGAACCATAACTCTTCCTTGCCTTACTTTGAAGTTTCTTTTACTTTTTGACTTGTGTCCGGGACATAACTCTAAAACTATTTGAGATATCAACATGAAACGTTGTAGGTAGATAGATCTCATTGGAAGAACTGCAATGCTAAAGAACCTGAACACAGCCTTGTCTAATTTTGGAGTTATTGCCCTTTGTTCATTTTTACACTTTGAATTTTCCCTGGACATAACTCTGAAACTATAAGAGATATCATCACCTGAAACTATAAGAGATACCATCACGAAACTTTATAGATTGATACAGCTCATTGAATAGAAGTGCAGTGCAAAAAAAACATTACTCTGTCTTGCCCATTTTTGGAGTTTTGCCCTTTGTTCATTTTGTATACATTTCTGTGTCCAAAACCTACTCGGGGAGCATCACCCGCTTTAACCGGTTCTTGTTTACTTATTTGTTACCTTCGTTTCCGAAGTTTATGTGGAAAATTGCACGTGCGCATGAAATATAGAATACAGGTATAACATAGTACACTTGACATGCCTGTTTCTGAAGATATCCATCTTTCAACGCAATCATTAACAATCTTTATAGCCATTTTCCAGGATATTTGAATCAAAACAGTAGCCTCTAGAATGTTAACAAGGTTTTTTTTCCATATTTAGGCTGTGTGACCTAATTTTTGACCACATATGACTCATATTTGAACTCAATCTTGAAATCACCAAAACAACTTTTTTCACCAATTTTCAGGATATTTTGACAAAACTGTGTAGCCATTAGAGTGTTAACAAGTTTTTCCCATATTTGGGCTGTGTGGCCTAGGTTTTGACCCCAGAAGACTTCAAAACAAACTTTCAGACCAATTTCCAGGATATTTGGATCAAAATAGTAACCACTAGAGTGTTAACAAGATTTTTCTATTTTTAGCTTCTGTGGCCTAGCTTTTCATCCGAGATGACCCATGTTCGACTCATCCAAGCAGTTACTTAAACAAGCATCCTGACCAAGTTTGAAAATGATTGAGGCAAGTATGTGACCACTAGAATGTTAACGAACGGACATTCAACGATCCTAAAAGCTCACCTTGAACCACAGGTGCTAGTAGCATTGATTTGACCTAATTAAAATGTGTTTGACCTTGTTAAAAAAAAAAACAAAAAAAAACAACCTAAAATGTGTTTGACTTTGTTATTTATACAATAAAATATCAATATATTAAAAAAAAAAATTTTTTTGAAAAAAATTTTTTTTCACTGTTATATTATTATTGTCTATAATAATATAACAGTGAAAAAAAATATTTTTTTTTAAAATTTTTTTTTTAATATATTGATATTTTATTGTATAAATAACAAAGTCAAACACATTTAGGTCTTTTTTTCTTCTTTTTTTTAACAAGGTCAAACACATTTTAATTAGGTCAAATCAATGCCACTAGCACCTGTGCCTTGAACTAGCTCATGTGAGCTAAAAAGATGAAAAATAGTGCCTGCGGTATACCAAGAAATACGCTGACAGGAGAGTTTTAAACCTGACATCTTAAACTTTGTTGTTTTCTACTCAAATTTTGTGCCAAGGCTGTTGCCTTTATGCTTGCTGAAAAATTATGTCGAGAACTTGAGTGATAGAGCTTTTACAGCGAAAAATTTCTACTTTCAATTCAACCATCTTGCCACTCATTCTCAAAATGTTATGTGGTCACAAAATTTATCTACAAATAAATAACAAAAGGTATTTTCTTAAAATCGGGTTTTACTAAAACATGTCATATGTCCATAATAAAATGTCTGTTTTCCATAGTATTTGATAACTTTGTAAGTTCCTCTACCTAACCAACACCATAATGATTAATTGAAATATTTAAACATTATCTGTTCGTATAGAAGGAATTATATATACAGACGAGCTTGACAACATATATGCATTTCTTTGTTACTATGACAAAAAACAGGATAAAATCAGACAAACAAGACTTAATTAAAATAAGACATAAACATAACACAAATAGAATGAATGAAGAGCCTGTTGCAGAACAATCTTTCAAACTTTATTTACGAATAAGAGCACCAATAAAGGAGCTTCTGCCGCTACTCTCCCACAGTTGATTACTGGTACTTCCGCTAGTACATCTTACCCACACTCTTTCTCCAGCTGTAACATTGGTGATAGAGTTCATAGATGTACAGTCATTGACAGCGTTATCATGCTGATATGATGTAGCAATGTCCTTTTCCTCCTTCACTATAGCATATATGTTAGTTGCGCCTGCGTAGTTGCATGTATGAACGGCAAAATAGTAGAGACCGGAAACTGGTGCCTTGAAGATACCCGTGTTAGTGTCGTACGCGTTACCCTCATTCACTAGTGTGCTTGACCAGATATATATCTGGTTTGTATCAGGGCTATAGTCACGTGGGCTGTGTGCATTGAAAGCCACTAATGGAAAATCTATCTTTGCTGAAAACAACAATATTAATATCCATATGAAAATAAAACATAATGTCTTGTAAACATTGAAAAAAATCATACATCTGGGTATATCAAAGAATAAGAACACAACTCATCGTGATAAAACACCCATTATGACAAGAATTATTGAAACACAACATACGTACATTTGTAGATCTATTTGACACTTCGTTATTTTCTTTAACAGTAATTCATCTTCTTTTATATGACTCGAATACTAAGCAAATACAGGCCAACATGGCTGAACTCAAACAGTAAAAACTTATTTTGAGAATGAATTTAGCCTGCTGACATCATATAAGAATTATCTTAATTTCATTCTTACATTGTTAAAACTTTGAAAGGTGAATTAGATGCACTTGTATTAAATTCGATAATAAACAAAAAAGTATTGGCAAAGAATTTAGCACTTGTGCATATTACAGGTATGAGTATTCATGCTAAATGTTAAGTTACCAAAAGTAGTTAAAACAACAACAAATCTTACCTTTTAACAGCTCTATCTGTGCAGTTTTGTTATTAAGAAAATTTGTTTGGTCCTGTATGGTAGTTTTAATGATTGTCTTTGTTGCCTCCAGTGTTTTATCTAAGCGTTCCAGTCTAGTTTCCATATGTATCATTCTGTCTAGAAGTTTAGCCTCATATGTGAGATCATCATCCGAGTCATCGTCTGCTGCCAACACAACCGTCAACACAGCCGTCAACACAACCGCTAACACTGCTAGCAGACCAGACACGGAGACAAACTTTATTACCAACATTTCAACAAGAATGTTGTTCTTAGTTCTTTATTTTGTCTCAAAGAAAACAAAAGTACGGTATTTCGAATTATGTTTATTTGACCAGAGTCTTTCAAATAGAATTTGAAAGACCCTGACTTGACAAAGACTTGAGCAAGAACTCCGTTAAATTTGATTGGTAGATTCTGGGCAGTTTTTTAGAGAAGGCGTGACAGTCTGTTCTGCTTAACTTCCTTATATTTGACCTGATAATCTAACGTTTTATAATTTTACACACTGAAGATGTTGACAGCAAAGTGTTTTCAGGTGCAGATCAGTGTAAGTTTAAGTAGATACTTGAGAATAGGATAAAGTTGTGTTGTGGAATGATATCTAGGCTACGTTAGCTTGTGACAAAAAGATAAATATGGAATAAAGCATGGAATGTAGCTTTTTTTCCCAATAAATTATCCTTATGATGTTTTAAACAAATGAAACAAGTACTTAATTACACGTGCAGTTACTTAAGTACACGTATCTATATAACTAAGTTAGTTACTCTAAAAGACGGAGGTTTCTATAAAATTGTTTCTTAAAATTATGTCACAATCTTATCTGATAAAATTGTCTATTTCCATGCATATCTCGTTGTTATCAAGTCAGATAGTGTGAGTAATCTCTAGCATATAGAAGAGATGTACTGAGAAACTTAAATTCATAAACATTTCCTAAAAATGAAATCGCCTGGCATATTCACTGCCGGACGTTTTCAATCCACCTTCCTCGCTTCTTTCTCATAAGACAGAAATAAAAATTAAAAGGCGTTCAAACAGCACAAATATGAAATCATTCGCTAATAGTGCTGCAAATCAGCCCATTTTACTAGCCTATTTAGAGGGGTAAGTGGTCTATGTCAGCCAACAGCAAGTTTCATATACCAAAATGTTCGTCTGGATCTGTAGTTTCTGGAATGGATATTCATTTGGCCCAACCCCGATGCGAAGCTAAGATATCCAAGATGGCGTCAAAGATGGCCGCCAAATCCCTAAATATTCTAGTATATTTACGTTGGCTTATTTCCTTTTTCAGTTTTGTAAATCAATTGAAATTTTACATAAAATTTCTTATTTTCAACTTACTCATGCTATAAATTTTGACTTTATTGACTTTTTTCTAGTTTTCATCGCCTAATTTTAACGAAGAAGAAAAAATATGTTGCAAACTGGATTTCCTTTTTTGAATATGTGTAACTTATTAGTTTTATTCCTGTTTAAACTGAATAGTATTCATGATTTCGTTTAATACAGCTTTAAAACTTTATCTACACATATTTAGAACGCCATCTTGGATTTTTAAGCTACGCATCGGACTTGAACCAAATGAATATTCATTCCGGAAACTAGAGACCCAGACGAACAATTTGGTATATAAAACTTGCTGTTGGCTGAGATAGACCACTTCGGTGTCATTTTACCCTATGAATTTGCAGCACTATAAACAACAGTCCTCATAACTCGCTTAAAACTGTAACAGTTATAGAACATTAATTGTCAACAACCCACCCGCAATGACAAATAATCCCGTAGATAAAATCGATTTCAACTTTTTCAATTAAATTTCTTTGAGAAAACGGGGATATCTTTAAAAAAATGTCAGTTTAGTCAATACGATTTGTTTAAGTTGGAAACTATAAACTTTCGCATAAACTTTTTGAAACACTCTCGAATCCGTTTCGGGAACCAACCAATACTAACAAATGAATATAGTTTCAAAAAATAAGGAAACAACGGCTTGTACCTGACGTGGTTTGAACCCATCCTTAGATTACTAGTCAGTAGCGTAAACCACTCGGCCACGCCGCCACTTAACTGAATGTCTGATTGACTGATACAGTAACGAAGCCGACTTTAGATAATTTTTATTGGAGTCATGATGAGACGGCACTCACATAGCAAGCATATATATTATGTTCGAGTAAGATGACATAAGTTTACATATACAATGTACATTGAAAACGTATTTCAGACTGAATTTAAGTGGTTGAAAAATTAATGACATATATATATTATTATCTTGAAGATCCCTTTAACGGGTGAAACGGTTTGATATTTCTCTTCAATTATTTATTACAGTTTTTGTTAATAAACAATTGCAATGTAAACTGGAAAAAGGCATCACTTCAAATTCTTTTTTTTTCCCGCTATATATATATATATATTATATATATATATATATATAATTTATATATATATAATATATATATATATAGTATATATATATCTAATATTACGGGTAGCAAGATTGTGAGAAAGCCTAGAGCCGATTTGAATTACTCCTGTGGCCAAATAACAAAAAGTTGAAGTTGTCAAGGAATAAATTTCAACAAAAATGTTGAAGATAAATTGTCCAAACATACATATATCTAATATTACGGGTAGCAAGATTGTGATGAAAACCTAGATTTTTTTTGTCATTTATTTAGTGATTTTAAAAAATGTCATTACTTTTCTCACTTTGCTACTTTTGCATTTGTTTATATAAGTGTAAATTTTGTTAACAGCAATAGCCATGTCATTTAAACATAATTTATTCCATAACATACACAGTACATGATATACAGATTCAGTATATATACGCTGTGGTAATGGATTAGATTGAAAGATATGAAATCTTAAAAAGTTCTTCTCCAAAAAGAATGTCATGTCATGACATTATTATTTGTGCCTTTATAAAATCTGTACTATAACCATTCATGGTCCAATATGAGGAAACTGTTATTAACTTCAATCATTCGTGTTAAATATATTGATTATGAAGTTGTATATAAATACCTTTACATAATCTATTTGTACAAATACTTTTCACACTTCAGGCATTTTAAAGATCTTATATTTTTGCCTTATCATTTTAAGGAAACCCTTTGATATAAAATAACACATTTTTTTCTTTCCATTTTTTATTCTGTGAAATCTATCTAATATCAGTACTACTGTTAAGAAACTTTCATTGTAAAAAATATAGAGGATAAAATTACAATATCTTAATAAAAACTAAACTGGTAAACTTATTTCAAAATATCACAAAACTTCCTGGATATCACAAATTTACAACAAAACTGAAACTTAACAGAGCCAAAAATAAGATTAGATATTCTATAAAAAGCACAAATGTTTGCAGAAAATATCACAGACCGAGTACAATAAATATAAAATAAAAACTAGCTATTGTTCTTAATTGTAAGCTATTTCTACAATGCAAAAAGCGTTTCTTTATTGTATGTACCTACCTATAAAAGACTATTTGGACCGAAATGATTTTACACAAGCTTTTTATAAGAAAATAGTAATTAAACTATAATAAATACATACATCAAGCTAATACTGTTTTGTCTTTGTTGGTGACAAATTTTTGTATACAATGATAAATGGTTTGTATGAATGATGTAATAAACCCCAGATTTTTCACAGTTCAGTCATTCTCACGATTTGGTTGTCTGATACCTAGCAAAATTATCAACTTAGTCTCTAAGAAATAATTGTTTGTCACTTTTAAAAACTTAAGACTGAATGATGATTATTATTTCAGATATAACAAAGAAAAAAAACAATAATGAAAATATGCATAACAACAAGTATACACAGCAAACTTTTTCCCCTTAACCATATATACAAAACAATAACTCTTCAGCATATGAGGGATTTATATTTAACGTTGTCAATTTTACAGGAAATAACATTGTCAGTTTTACAGGAAAGAACCCCCTAAAATAGTTTTATAATTGCTTATAATACTTGTCTGACTGCATTGGATAAAAGTTATTTCTGTAAAGTGAACACTTAAAAAAAAGACCTACATCTGCCAAAAAGAATTCTTTTTTTAAATTTATAGATGGTGTAATAAAAGGCAGTTCGGTAAACTTAAATAAATCAACAGAAAAAAATCTTCTTTAAAAAATACAAATGGTTGTTACAGTAGATGAGATTAGACCCTCTTATGACGTCAGTTCCGTTACAAAAAAAAAAGACATAAATTTGTTAGTAAAATCAAGCATATTGGACTATCATAACAAAATCAAGTATTTGGCCCCATTTTAGATATTCACTGAATTCATAATAAAGCTGCAAACAAGTTGTCAAAATTGGTACTTGGACTCAAGTATACCCTAAATTTCAGAGCTAATGATAAAAGGTTAAGAAATCAAATGTAAACAATTTAATTACAAATATTAAGAAAGTGTCTATGTTGTTTTGTTAGTAAGAAAATTGTGATTATATGTGTATTGACTTAATAATTAAATAAAAAATGAATTAAAACAGCACTTCAACTGCCAGGACAACCCTAGGCCATATTCTTTCTATGATGTTATTTAGTAGTGATAACAATATTTCTGCACATTTCCAATATTGTGTGAAATAAGTAAACTCTGACCTGATATTGTCAAATACAAATGTACATCATTCAAGATGAACCCTTTACTTCAAACATTTCAAGTTACCAATAAAAAAAACAGGTACTATTAATTTTATGAAATATCTTACATTATACAACCCTGACAAAAAAATATATATATTTAAATTTCCTACAAGCACATGAAAATTTCTGGCAAACTGTATTCTGGTGATCTCAAAAACTAGTGAATAAATATAAATACAATAACATTATAATGTAAAAACAACTCTTCAAACTCCATCTCAATATTTATACTCATGACAAAAACATACATAAATATATATAAAAAAAATTCTATACTTTTCATTTCAAAACAAAAGCTTTTCTTGTTATAAATGTTTCCAATCAAACTGTCCTATTGCAAACTGGAAAAAAATTTGAACAACACTGTTTTCTATTGAAAAAGGAAAAGACAAGCTAAAAAGTTTCTAAAATTTAAAAAACGCTTTTGTTTAGAAATTTACTAAAATACCTAATATATAACACATTAACAAAAAGAAAAAAAAAACTCTTGCTCAATTGCTACACAACACGTTTATTTCCTGATTCATTGTTTCCAACAAATATAAATTGTCACTAAAAGTTCATTATTTGCTGCTGTACTGTTCTAAATCATTTGTCTTTATATTCTAGAAGGCCGGAATCCCTGAAAATGATAACAAGTATAATTATGATAATAAATGTTAGCAAAATGACGATTAAAGAAAATAGGATATTAACAGATGTGTCTGTTTTTAAGAATGAACAATAAAATGTTTAATGTAATCATGTCAACTATGTTGCTGATAGAATGATTATAATGAAAATAATTTCATCACAATGTTCCTTTACCAATGAATTTTTATTTTAAACTGATACAGAGAATATACACACTGTTTACAATGCAAATAAGTGATATTCATGTATATATAATATTAGAACTTAGAAGTGTAAGAAAACATAAATATTCATTGATTTATTTTTATTGTATTTAAATGATGCTTTTGAGGTTGTGAAGTGTCCGAAAAAAACTAACCATTTATCACTGAAATTATCTGCAGTATAAACAGTGTGTCTATAAGATAATAACAATGGTACTTGGCAATGTCAACATAAATACAAACAATTATGCAAATTAGATAGGCTGGAGTATGTTAAACAAACAGAAGGTTTGCAATTTCATAGAAGTTTATATACATATTGTTCCTCAATTGTTAAATGCCAAATCATTTACTTCAATTGACAATATTCTAAGTTTTTATATATGTTTCAATTTATTTACAATGTAAAGGTGATATGGCTTCTTTACTGGAGGAATTAAACATTAAATGCCACTCTACACATATTCCTGGAGAGTAGAACCAATGACCAAAAGATGTACAGACATGACCATAACCATTTAGACACCCAGACACCATAACATTTTGGAGCAATATAACTTTTAAGTTAACTTAAAATATGTATCATTATCTATCCATTTAATATCTATGAAAGCAACAAGAGCTGTCTGTAGGACAGCATGCTCGACTATTCTAAGTGCTTGATAGTAAAAGAGCCTTGATATTGTTAAGTTTTTTAAGTTCACAAAAGGGCTAATTTTTTTTTTTAAATTCATGTTATAGGCCTTAGAGAGAGTCTAATTATACAGAGTTGACTTGACTATTCGGAAGGTAATGTCACAAGGGTTTTTTATTGAGTATAATAATACTAATTACCTATGAATACATAAATTTGACAGAAAAGGTACAAAGGCTTGTTATTAAGATGTTTTATCAAGTAAATCACTGCTTTATTATTATGAATGCATAAAATTGTCCCAAAAAAGGCACAAACCCTTCAGTATTTATTGAGATAACAGCTTACAAGCAAAACTTTACCATGAATTTCTAAGTTGAAAAAGGGGAGAAAAATCAGCCTAAATGCAAGATAGAATTCTGGATCTTTGTCAGTGACCTACAATTATGACCCTAAATGCATATGTGAAGTTTTAAATAAATATCTTAAATAGTTATTGAGATATGTAAAACTTGCATGTAAACATTAACCAAGAGACTAAGTAGAAAAGGGGATATGAATCAGCCTTAATGCAAGATAGAGTTATGGAACTTGGTCAGTGACATACAATTATGACCCTCCAAGTATGACCCTAAGTGCATGTGTAAAGTTTCAAGTAAATATCTTTGAAGACCGTTAACCTTTAACCAAAATTTCTAAGTTTCAAAGGGGCAAATAATTCTGCAAATATTGCAGACAGAGTTATGCAATTTTGCAAACTGATGTACATTGTTACTATAAATAAGTATTTTAAATTTCAGTTGAATATCTCAAGCAATAATTGAGATATTTGACTTTACAAAAAAACTTTAACCAAAATTTCTAAGTTCCAAAGGGGCATAATTCTGTCAATATGGTAGGCAGAGTTATCCAACTTGTCAATCTGATGTACATTGTTACTATAAATAAGTATTGTAAGTTTCAATTGAATATCTCAAGCAATAATTGAGATATTTGACTTTACAAAAACTTTAACCAAAATTTCTAAGTTCCAAAGGGGCATTATTCTGTCAATATTGTAGGCAGAGTTATCCAACTTGTCAATCTGATGTACCTTGTTACTATAAATAAGTATTGTAAGTTTCAATTGAATATCTCAAGCAATAATTGAGATATTTGACTTTACAAAAAACTTTAACCAAAATTTCTAAGTTAAAAAGGGGCATAATTCTGTCAATATTGTAGGCAGAGTTATCCAACTTGTCAATCTGATGTACCTTGTTACTATAAATAAGTATTGTAAGTTTCAATTGAATATCTCAAGTAATAATTGAGATATTTGACTTTACAAAAAACTTTAACCAACGCAGACGCCGACGCCGACGCCGGGGCGACTACAATAGCTCTCATATTCTTCGAATAGTCGAGCTAAAAATGTGATAGAATCCTATCATAAGTTAACATAAATATTGTCATAGATCTATGAAATAGCAAACCTAGTGATGGTAATACAAACAACAAATACTGTGAACACGCACCTGTACGACGGGGACTAGGGGATCGGCTGCGACGTGTTGGGCTACATGATCGGGAACGGGAACGAGAACGGGGGCCTGGGCTCACTGAACGAGAGCGGGTTGGGCTACGACTTCTTCTTGACTGTAGAGTAGAACAAAATATTTTTACAATGCCCAACTTTGTTTAAAGATTGTATACAAAAACAAAGAAATTTAGCCCAGCATTAAAAAAACAAACTAACATAGGATCCACTTCAGTCTATCACTTACTGCTATACACACAAGTAAGATGTGTATTATATTTAACAGTGGAATTATTTGTTAGTAGAACAAGAAGCATTATTCATTAACAGAGGTTTTATATGTAGATATACTGGTATATTTATGGTCATATCTACCTTATCCATTTGTCAAGAACTAATAGGAATTCTGTTGAATAAGTAAAAAGCATGAGCAAATTGTAGTTCAGTATTTTGAGAAAGTCTGTATCATCTTTTACTTAAATGTAACAAAAATGTATCACTAAAACTGAAAGTAATGTTTACCATAAAAGTGTGAGCTGTGAACTACATGCAAAAATCTTATCACTGATATACAGATACAAGAAGAGATTGGGTGGGGCACAGCCAACAACTTCCATTTTTAATGTAGTTTCCGTAAACAAAATTACATATAGATAAATACATTCTTTCATGCATAAACCACTGGAGAAATAACTATATGTATCTATTCACGAGTGTAATAACCACCATAAGTCAAGAAATGAGTTAATGGCAGTGTGCAATAACAAAAACAAACATTCCTTATTAAATTGTAAAGAAAATTTTAATTTTATGGAACATTCAAAGTGATTTTAAAATGTGCTATCTATTGTTATAAAGAAAGAAAATCTTAAAAGGAATAAATCTCATGTAAAAAGCATTTGAAAAGCATTAGTTAGATCCAAAATGTCATCATGTCAAATGTGAGAATAAAGCATTTCATGAAAATGGAAAGAAATTTTTGTAAGACTTGGTTTTTAGTTCATAAGTTTATGCAAAATAACACAGTGGTGACTAACCCATGATGGCTGAAAAATGTGGAAAAATAAACACCATGACTTAAAATGATAACAATAATTTATATGTATATACCAATACTTGCTCTCTTGTAATATTGTGCTAAATAAATTTATATAACAGTTTTAACTGATTTAATGCAAGTATCTTTAGAACATATTTTTTTATTTTCGAACATACAAAAAAATCTGTCATATATTATCTTATCTTTAAATCCCAGAGAACAACACAAAATATTTAAAGTGCAGAATTGATTCAATTTTTTTTGTTACCAATAGCAACTATAGGTAGACATAAATTGTCATATAGAGTCAATAAAAACAGCTCTGTTGAAAATTATTTAAACAAAAGTTTCAAATGACAGAAATTAGAGATAATGCTCAACCACTGTGGTAACCAGACTTGATTGATACAGAATTCTAAAAATTATATCACCTAAAAATAGGCTCTGTTTTGAACAAAACATTGTTTTAGCCCTCAGTCATGACCTAAACTGTTTCTAAGCTAAATATATATATATCCTTATAACTTTATCATCACTATTTCAGAAATACTAAGATGTTGAAACCATTTACAAGAGAATAAATACATCAATTATTTACTGGAATTTAGTTTGAAGATATCTTCAGAGAGAGAAAACAAGATAATAATGTTACCAATGAGGCTCCTCTCCTAGTGCAACATTCTCCCTTCATTCTAACAGAGGCTCCTTGTTGCAGACTTGGCCAGATATGGTGGTTTACCAGAGGAGCTGTGTACTCGGAGTCATAACTACGGCGATACCTACGTACACAATTAAAAACAAAACTTTATGATCTTGTGTAATAATTTTTTTCTATGTTACTTTAACAAGCAAATCATTAACCAGCCTAAAAAAGTTTGAATTTTTTCAAGGTACATAATTCTCCCTACTATTTGATATCTTTTGACTGTAAAAGAGTAAGATGGTATAAGTGATACTAACTTTGTATCATCATAAAGCTCGGCCCTGGAGGATACGGCAATGTCAAGTGGGTGAGCTAGGGCACTCATCTGCCAGGCTGTCTTCACACATTCACGGATAAATGGCTGCACAATAGCGAAGGTGGTATCTGGTGGCAGGAAGATGCTGGGGTTCACGTTCAACTTGCGGATCACATCCTGAAATTTATGTAGAAACAAGTCAGCAATTATAAGATAAAGCAAAAAGAAGCTGACTATGACAATACAAGAAATGAAAGAAAAAGCTCTAATGTCAGAGATATAGCACTGACAGACAGAAGCAAGTAGTAAATGCCAAATTAATTAATGTATGAAAATTACCATATAATTTCTCTATTTTTTATTCTAAATATTTCTCTTAAACCACACTCAGTTCCTTTTATCCAGTTATTGTCTTTTATTTAGGTACACAGTTGTTATACATTTATATTTTTGTATAAGTATTAAACGTTTTGCAATAAAAAAATAAATAAATGCAACTGTAACATTTTGAAAATAGTAAAAATAGTGCAAGAACAGAGCTAAAACCATCATGTTAAATATTTTATAGACTGTCTTCCATAATTTAAGTTGTCTGTGCTTAATATGCATGCAAAATAACATCTATATCTTTATATACAGTCTAGAGATCATAGTGATTGATGTAGGTAAAAACATTATATACCTTTATATTCTTTAAATTGAAATAGTAATTTTTTTGTTGTTTTTTTTTGTTTAGTTTTTTTTTTTCATAAATGTATATTCACGTATTTTGAACACAAAGTTATTGCCATTGTAATCTAAATTTTGAATGTATAAACCAAAAATTGAACCTAGTAGAATGTTTTGTCTTCATTTTTTACATTATAAACCAAACTTCCAAATGATGTGTATATCCCTGCAGGCACACATAGTTGAAACAATGTTGATACAACATCATGATCTAGTATCAACTTTATTTCAACATTGAATGAGTGAACAGTCAGTAAGGATCAAACAACTCATGTACAACCCTATTTACACAGTGAAGGTGTGACTGTTGTATACAGTAAAATTATCATTGCTAATCCCTTCAAACATGCATTGTTAATGTTATTTAAAAACTTGATTGAACCATGGTGCTTTTAAAAGATTTAATTTTTTCCAATGTGAAAAGTGCCAGTGAAGAGAAATATCTATAACCACCAGCATGCATTAACCCGTGACCGTTAATCCACATACCCATAGGCTAACTGTACCCAGTCCATTATATGTCTGTAATGTTAAAATCATAGAAGTTTGTTGTAAATTTTGAAGATATGGCCATGTGATCAGATCTTTCAGATACAAGTTACTGCAGGCCAAAAAAATCTGACCTGTTTTTCTCAATGTCTATAAACTGGATATACAATGCTTTGTATGTCAAGAGAATAAACATTTATACTGGAATCACTTAAATACCATGTCAATTTACAAATATAATATAATGATACATTATTAGTTCACATCAAACCGAATGAACAAATTGACATGCATTCATAAAAAAGACACTCACAGACAAAATCTCTCCTTCATAAACTCTCTCCTGCTTTCATTTTTCTCTTTTTACAAGTCTTTTAAGATGTACTTTCCTGCAGACTTAAATCTTAACATTTATTTTCTAAATATATTTTTAGAAATAAACCAGGTGAGGTTTCTAAGTGAGAGATAATGTTTTAATTTGTCAAGACAAAAAGTGTGTTACAATTATAGTATACTTACAGAGACCATTCCTGGGGCATCATAGAGGTCAACGTTACGGTTGATGTAATCTTGTACAGCCTCTTCAAGAGTCTCTGGACCAGTATGGGTAATGGCAAGATTAGAACGGACCTTCATCTTAAACTGACGGAATGCTGTCTTTGCTACATTGAATGACTCCTACAACATTGAAACAAAAAATGATGTATATAATTACATCTTTTTATAAATATCTTCATAGTCCATTTAATGCTACTGTCAAATCGCGCAGTCTGATCAGGATCCGTGCTGTTCGCTTTCAAACCCTATAACAAGTAGAGAAACTGATAGCAAACAGCATGGATCCTGATCAGACTGCACGGATGCACAGGCTGGTCTGGATCCATGCTGGTCGCAAACCCATTATGTTGGTTTTATCGTGATCGGCTCATATGTTATAAAGAAACGCTAGTTAATGTGTGTGTATTTACCTTTACAGCTTCAAAAATGATCCTCTGGTTGTTCTCATGGTCAGCAGAGTATGTGCGCAGAGTGTCCATAGCATCCAGGCGATCCTGAGAGAATAGATCGTTCCAGCGTGAGATCAGATTTGTCTCCCTTACACGCTGAACTGGATCATCGTAGGACAGGGGTGAGCTGACGCGTGGAGTGTAACGATACTTGGACAATGAATCTAGTGTGTCACTGTAATGAATAATTTTCATAAATAAGTTAACCCTTACTATGTTAAATATCATAAATGGACAATATGGACAAAGCATTCATCGTTTTTTACAGAAAATTTCAAACTATATACAAACTGAATTATGATTGGTGCAGACCATGATCAGGCTGTACAGACCTGCCACCAAATCATGGTCTGCAGAGGTCACATGGGTGGATCAGTTGCACTGGTATGGAAATAATTCAAATGATTGAAAGGTAATTAACATTTTATAACATCTTTGTTCTACTTCCGATAAGTAATCAATATATTGATTCTTACTTAAAAAGAACTTAAAATTTTAATTTTTAACTACAGATGAAGAAATCTACACTTTTTATCAATTTTTGCTAAAATGAATTATTGAAACATGATCATTTAAATAATACATGTATATTTCTATTTTATGAAAGCATTACAGCTATCTAATTTACAACATGTATTATAGAACCCACTCTCAAACCAAAAGAGTTACTTAGCTGAAAGTCAAGGTTTTTAAATAAAATTTAAAAACAAATTATTTCTATTGGGGTTTTAAATACTGTTTTAAAAGATCATATAGTGACTTTCCAGGTCTATTGACAGAGGAATTGCTCAGGTGCCCCTCAATGTCATTATTTTGGGCACTCAAAAATAAGTAATTTAGTAGCTTTCGTTAGACAATGGCTATATACACAACAATGTTGAAATTATTAGTGGTTTAACCTACCTGTTTAAAGTCATACATTTTTATTAATTACAAATTGTACATCAACATTATCAAATATACAAAGTGAGCTGTGACATCAAATCTATATATAGTTGGTGAAGGTTAAAAGGAAAGTTTGATGATTTTTTCTCAAGGAATAAACCAGGTCTGGTATATTTACTTACACTATTTTTTTAGCAATTCTTTCCCAAATAATCAACCAAGATTATTTAAATTTAAATTCAGTTTTTTACTCAAATTTCTTAAAATATATATTTTTTGATACAAAAGCTAGTTACTCGTATTACATAATCCTACAAATAGTAGACGATGCCAACAAAAATACACAAAAATCAACATGACAGTGTAACATATGAAACCAAAACCTTTAACCAGTGTCTAATACATTGAAGTAATAAACTTTTTCTAAATTACAACCAGGCTGATATGAGATATTTGAGGTTTTTCTATGTAGCAAAGATTCACAAAATGATAAAATGTACAAGTGTTTGAAAAAAAAACTGGTGGTCAAGCAAACTTCTAAATAAAAATCTTTTTGATAACCAAAAATGAAAAGAGAACAGAGAAGAAAGATTAAATCTATGCAGAAACTAATGATTCTTTTTTACCTCGTTAGATAGCTTGGTTTTGAAGTTGTTATATACAGTTCATTCTTCAGCTGGCGAATTTGACGTTCAAGGTCGTCAACAAGGTTTGACCTTGCCCGAAGTCTAACTAATTCATCCTGTGCATCAGCAAGCCTAGGTTTAACATAAAGTTACAATGTAACGAAAAACACAAAACGATTAGAAAAAAAAATGTCACACTCAAAAAAAATGTGTCCACTACCTCTTGTCCATATTGCAAAATAAATCTTTGTTCCAAAAGGTCACTGAAAAGGTCAAATTCCTTCTGCAGAGACTTTATCAAACAGTATCAAGGTCTCAAAATAATCAATGACTTTTGTTGTAGGCACACTAATATAAGAAAGGATGCTACCTGACTTTTCATTTTAATTTTCAAGTTTGATTAAGAGATCACTTTATTTTTAAAAATAACAATTTTGGTTATTACTTCTTTATAATATTCACACTACAAAACATTTTTGAAAATAAAATAAATATCTTATTACTGAACAAAGTTATTTTGCAACAAGGAAAACATGGACTTTTAGATCCAGAACCACAGTTAAAGACACACATAAAGAAGGAAAGTTTTTATTTCCCACACAGGTTCTGTTTAGTCACAGCGTCTACGGTTATGAGAGATTATGCTACAAAGTAAAATGGCTACATCTACTCAAAGGTCTCCGGTGTGTTACACCCTTACCCGGAGAGAAGGGGTTCTTCAGATTTAAGCTTTGATGGAGTTGATGGTCTATAAGATGGTAACTCTTCTCGTAAAGTCGTAGAGCTACGCATGAGAGCATCTCTGCGTCCTGTCAGCAGAGCTATATCTTCTCTCAGTCTACGTACTTGAATATCATAGTCAGATAAAATTCCTGCCTTTGCTCTCAATGTACGTAGCTCATCTTCTGCTGTCGCTAGTCTAAATAAAGTAACATTTACAAACGTTTAATTCCACTATAATTATATATACATGTCATTCTAATATATATATGCAGCTGCAAAATCAAATCAAAGATTGCGCCAATTCTGCATCTGTAAAACAAAAGTCATTTCACATTAATTACAAAGGTCCAACAAAATTTTTACTATGTAATTATGTTCTGTAAAAACTAACAATTACTGAAATGTTAATGACAAGAGTCTCGATCGGGCATGTATCTAACACTAAACCAAAGACAACCCGTGAAGTTTGGTAAAAATCTACCTAGTGGTTTGGGAGAAGAAAGACTGACATTGATTATGCCCATGGATATTGTTGGACCTGTGGCAATGCATCTCACATTTACGCACAATCATCATACTTTTTACAAGTTTTGAAAAAAAGCAGAAAAACATTATGTCATAGTTAAAAACAAATAAATATTATATATAATATAGTTATATGTCTTTTAAAATATTACTAATTTATTTTTGGATTCCAACAAAAATGGTTTGGAAAACAGTCACTGAATATTAGCAACATATTGTAACATAAAAACTATCATAATGACCATTTTATTCAGCCATTTTTAAGTAATTATACTTTGTTTCTTAATATTTTCCTATGCTAAAAAGTTGTTTTTAACATTGTCCAAACTATAAAGCTATCAAGTTACACAAAGTAAAATTGCTAGCTTTGCATGCCGGATAATAATCTAATCTGCAATAAAAGCATTAAGGCAGGTGCTTAAATTACCATACACTACACTGATTGAAAAATAATTACCTTTTATAGCAATAACTTGGCATTTTGCCAAAGTCGTAACAAAGTCCTGCTAGTGGGTATTTTGTTTTTTCCTAAGAAGTTAAACTGGTGTAGGTGCATGTACATGTATATAGTTTAATGTAATGTGAACAAAAAAGTACAGCCCATGTAATTTTTTCATCATTTAACTTCATTTTCAAAAAGATTCATTAGTAAAATTATCAGTTCATTCTTTGTTACATAATTATGTACCTTAGCATATAAAATTTCAACCACTTCCAATGAATGTTCCCATGTACTTGACAAAAATAACTAACTATAGAAATAGTGTCTAAATGAAGTCTTTGTTTGGGAAAATTAAAATAAATAACACATAGGTTTGTGAGTAACAGCAAAAATATCATCCCTCGTAAAAATACTGTTGCCTCGGGTAACAATATTTTCCTCGAAATGATATTTTTACTCCTACTTTCAAACTTATATACTAACACTAGCAACACTTCCAAAAAATAAATATAAACTTCCTCAAAATACAGCAATATATAACCTTGAATGTTTTAAATGTTTTCTGACCTTGCTATGAAATAAAAGTCAATATTTTTTTTTAATTCTTGTTTTGCTTGATTAAAGGTATTGAGTACAAAAAATAGAATAAAACGATATACATTGCATGCATATACTGTACATGTAGAAGTGCATTATAAAAGCATCAGTTACTATACATGTATATATCAAATTAAATTTGTAATCTATATATTTCATATAATAAGTTACCTATCATAAAATTCTTTCAATTTTGTGCAGCATTAAACATTGAATTATGTGACACAGCTATTATCTTATGTTCTAAATCTTCACTCTATGTGACAAATAAAGGGAGTGACAGTAACAAATTTATTGTTTTAATCCATACTTGTGTGAATGTAATAACAGTGATTGACAAATTTTATCATAGTAACACATCTCCAGACATTAAAATTGTCTATTAACAAAACAAGGTATATTCTGATTCCTAGAAATATCAATTTAAGTATTTATAAGACAAATATAAATAGAAAGATAAATATAAATATGACATGTATATAATTTAAATCAATAAAAATTTGAAAAAAAGTATATAAAAACATGTAACATATTTCAACTTTTGTTTGCCATTATACTTTTATAAATTAGGCAACAAAAGTTAAAAATTGGCAGTTGACTTGATAATTAAGGAGCCCCTTTTTTGTATGTTTATATCTTTCCTTTTTTAACATCCTTACTCCATTGTATAGATAAAATAAACTCTGAAGTGAATGTTTTGATGTAAAAATATTATATTTTATCAGTCTTATTCCATTTTGACTTTTTTATAAAAAGTTGTCGTTCAACAAGTTTTCATTACTTACAATCAAGATGTTCAACTGCCAGCTTTAAGAAACAATAATAAAAAAGAATGACTAAAATAGAATGTGTAACTAAACTGGAGATGCTTTAACTACAAGCCGTGCTGTAATCAAAATAAAGGGGACATGCAAAATATCTTATCTCTTACTTTCTCCGCAGCTCTCGCACTTCCATTTCATCTATTATATTTTTGCTAGATGAGTTTCGAAGGCTACGATTTAAATCGTCTTTTGCTTCAATAAGTCTGAAGAAAGAAGCCAGATCATTCAAACAAAATACACTCAAGATAGTTAATAGGTATGCTTACTTTCTACGAAGTTCTCGGTTTTCATTTTCGAGGAAGAGTTTATCTGTGCTTGCTACTCTTGTACTTCGGTTAACCTGGTCCTTTGTCTCGGCCAATCTGATAAAATATGCAGCTTACAAATCATTTTCAGAGCAAACAAAAAAGTATGTAAATAAATTTCGGAAATGTTAAAATGAAATGTTAATTAATGCAAAGTAAAGAAATTTCAATGCCCTTAATACTGAGACTGATGACATCAATATTGACAGCTCAGTATCACACTTTAATATATAACTTGTTCATTACTACATTAAAGTATTATCTTCCGCACTTATAAGTGTCCAAAAAGCATTTTCCTGTCCACATCATTAGAAGATATACATATAAAACATAACTTATTTATACATAATTCTGTTTCATTGCATTAAATTAGGATGACATGATCTCTAGAAAGAAAATGCATTAAATGACCTTGACATTGATAACTTCTTCCATTCTGGAGCATACAAAATAGAATTATTCTTTCCTACAGATCTTGAAAAAGATTTCTGTAAAAAAAACATCACATACTCATCCCTAAGATCCTGGTTTTCGAGTTCTTTAGCTCTGAGATCACCTTCTATATCTCTCAATGAATCTTCATACATATCTTGTAAGTCATCAATCTCTCGGTTCTTGGCTGTGGCTTCAGCAATTACTCCCAGACTCACATCACTTGTTGTACCAGATGTGAAGAAGGTGGAGCCAAGGAATGGCAGTAGGCGTGACTTGATGACACTAGCTCCGCCATACATACCACCTACAATATGCAAAATGTGGTTCACTGTATTTTTTTCTCTCTTAGAAAATCTTAGAATTGGACAAAAAGAATACTGTTTTTCAAATGAAAATATAACCCAATATTGGTAGAAAAAAAGGCACCCAAAAGCATGGCATATGGTCAAAACTTTCTTAAGAAGTTTAATGGGTAGACTAATGGAGATATATTTGTAAAAGCAATTCGTACCTTCCTGTGCACACACATTGAGAAGTTTAAACAGCTGTCCTTGAACTTTAGAGTTGAGCTCAATAATCTCACAGCCTCTAGCAACATTCTGGTCACATGTGTTCAACTGAAATTAGAGGAAAATGTCACCCTTTACATTTAATGAACCATCAAGTACTGGGTTGTACAAGTTCTTTACTTACCATCTTTGCAAGAAATAGAAAGTAATAAATTATACTTATAGAACATAAGTTCTAAAGTAACTAGAACTATCACTAAATGTGATTAATACCCCCACAAGTCTGCTTCGGAAATGAGGATGTTACTAGTAACAGAATACCTTGTAAAAGAATTGAAACATAGAGTTATGGTTGTGGGCAATTAAAGATAATTGTGGTTCATGTATGTTGCATTTCCTTTCAATGTGGTTGGCCATTGATGAAGTTTAATTGAATTACTCTGTAATAAGTCCAGAAAGACAAAGAAAAAGAACAAAGGGCAATAACTCTATAAATACTGAAGATAGAGTTATAGTTCTTGTGCACTGCACTTCCTCTTATTGTGCTTGACCATTGTATGAAGTTGTTTTGAATTCCAACCAGTATGTTTTAAGTTATGCTCCGGACAAGGAAAAGTATCAAAGGGCAGTAACTCTGTATTTTGTCAAAATGGAGTTATGGCTCTTGTGCACTGCACTTCCTTTGAATGTCCTTGACAACTGTATGAAGTTGTACTGAATTCCAAACAGTAGTTTTCAAGTTATGCTCTGGACAAGGAAAAGTAACAAAGGGCAATAACTCTGTAATTAGTCAAGATGGAGTTATGGTTCTTATGCACTGCACTTCCCCTTACTGTGCTTGACCATTGTATGAAGTTGTTTTGAATTCCAAGCAGTAGTTTTCAAGTCATGCTCTGGACAAGGAAAAGTAACAAAGGGCAGTAACTCTGTAATAAGTCAAGATGGAGTTATGGTTCTTATGCACTGCACTTCCTCTCAATGTGCTTGACCATTGTATGAAGTTATAATGAATTCCAACAATAAGTCTTCAAGTTATGGTCCGGACAAAAGAAAGCAATGGAAAAGTAACAAAGGGCAATAACTCTGTAATTAGTCAAGATGGAGTTATGGTTCTTGTGCACTGCACTTCCCCTTATTGTGCTTGACCATTGTATGAAGTTGTTTTGAATTCCAACCAGTAGTTTTAAAGTCATGCTCTGGACAAGGAAAAGAAACAAAGGGCAGTAACTCTGTAATAAGTCAAAATGGAGTTATGGTTCTTGTGCACTGCACTTCCTCTCAATGTGCTGGACCATTGTATGAAGTTATAATGAATTCCAACAATTAGTCTTCAAGTTATGGTCCGGACAAAAGAAAGCAATGGAAAAGTAACAAAGGGCAATAACTCTGTAATTAGTCAAGATGGAGTTATGGTTCTTGTGCACTGCACTTCCCCTTATTGTGCTTGACCATTGTATGAAGTTGTTTTGAATTCCAACCAGTAGTTTTAAAGTCATGCTCTGGACAAGGAAAAGAAACAAAGGGCAGTAACTCTGTAATAAGTCAAAATGGAGTTATGGTTCTTGTGCACTGCACTTCCTCTCAATGTGCTGGACCATTGTATGAAGTTATAATGAATTCCAACAATTAGTCTTCAAGTTATGGTCCGGACAAAAGAAAGCAATGGAAAAGTAATAAAGGGCAATAACTCTGTAATTACTTTAGATAGAGTTATGGTTCTTATGCACTGCACTTCCTCTCAATGTGCTTGACCATTGTATGTAGTTATATTGAATTCCAACCATTAGTCTTCAAGTTATGCTCCGGACAAAAAAAAGAAGGCAATTGAAAAGCAACAATAGGCAATAACTCTGTAATTACTTTAGATAGAGTTATGGTTTTTGTGCACTGCACTTCCCCTTATTGTGTTTGACAATTGTATGAAGTTGTTTTGAATTCCAACCAGTAGTTTTCAAAATATGCCACGGACAAGGAAAAGTAACAAAGGGCAATAACTCTGTAATTAGTCAAGATAGAGTTATGTTTCTTACGCACTGCACTTCCTCTCAATGTGCTTGACCATTGTATGTAGTTATATTGAATTCCAACCATTAGTCTTCAAGTTATGCTCCGGACAAGGAAAATGCAACGGACAAAAAAAAAAAGCAATGGAAAAGCAACAAAGGGCAATAACTCTGTAATTACTTTAGATAGAGTTATGGTTCTTGTGCACTGCACTTCCCCTTATTGTGTTTGACAATTGTATGAAGTTGTTTTGAATTCCAACCAGTAGTTTTCAAATTATGCCCCGGACAAGGAAAAGTAACAAAGGGCAATAACTCTGTAATTAGTCAAGATAGAGTTATGGTTCTTGTGCACTGCACTTCCTCTCAATGTGCTTGACCATTGTATGTAGTTATATTAAATTCCAACCATTAGTTTTCAAGTTATGCTCCGGACATGGAAAATGCAACGGACGTCTGGACCGACCGACCGACCGCCCGACCGACCAACCAACCGACCGACCGACCACCGGGTGACTCCTATATACCCCCCCAAACTTTGTTTTTGGGGGTATAATAAGTAATAAATTATACTTATAGAACATAATATGTAGTACAAGAGATAAAGTATTTCTTGCCAGTATGAGAAAACTTTTTATCAGCAGTTTACATTCTCTTGATTTCATAAAGGTAAAGTGTCTAAAAAAGTACATGTATGTTAAACACACCTAAATACCAATATCTTGTATAGATTTTCCTAAATCAATTACCTGGTATTTTAGAGTTTATTAACCCAAGATTACTAGGCTTAAAATTTCACTTCTTCCATGCTTTAATCATATTGAACTAATATTGAACTTCAAAGTATTAGGTCAATGACATTACTGATATAATAAGCTTATGCTTTTAAGTAAACCAAGCAATTAAATCGATTGTTTGGTGAAACATACACACCAAATAAAAGATTGCAGCAAAAGTTCCAAAATGATATAACTTTTTATTTATTTATAATATTATAACAGTCAAAGAATGTCAGGAAAGAAAACGATATAATATAAACTAGCCTGAATAGTATTTTATTGGACTAAAAATGTTAATCTTTAAAAGTAAAATCAGTAGTACAAGTATTGTTCAACTTTATTCCCTGAATCAAGCTCGGTTGAGTTATCATGATTAAGATGTTACATTTGAAATTCAATCATTTCATTTTCAGAAAATAATACATGCAGCTGCTACTTTTTCACAGGCCAGTTAAGCTTAAGCGACATAGAAAATTTCACAGTCTATACCCTAATTCTTCTAGCCACGGACTAACAGGCTATATCTGGCTACCAAGATAGCCCTACCGATAAATTCACCAACTGTTATAATAGAAAACGCGGTGTTTCAAGGTGACTGAAGATACTTTTATCCCTATGTACGTACATGCATGCATACCAAGATTTTGTCTGTATTTTAGTTAAGCTACTTGTTGAAGTAGATTCAAACAGCTTAATATCACAATAGATCAACATTACACCTAAAATATATCAGGGAATCAGAATCTTACAAGTGTCTTTTCACACTGAATTATGAAATGAGCTCCATAAGAGTGATAAAATATGAGGCTATGGCTGGTCTATTTTTCGAGTAAAAGTATTATACATATATTGTAACATTTGTTTATAAATTGTTTCTCAATTTCTCTGTCAGAGAAAAGTAATGTCTATAAATGTTGCAAGTTTTAACATTGCTAGAGTAATTTTACAAGGGCTTTTTTTTTAATGAAAATATACTACAAACCACCATTGATTTGTGTACAAATATTGATGCGAGTACGTAAGAACATGTTAGTTCATGTTGAAAATCCATATCACTTGATTTACTTTAAATGTGTTGGTAGATGTTAGATAAAATGCATTAAATCTGATACAATGAAAGAATTGTTTCATTTTTCACTTTAGCATTAATTTTCTAAACAATACTGCCTAATTATATGAGGAAAACTTCAAAGACTGTATTTATTTAACTGTCTTAAAATCAATCACAACTAACATTAAATATTTTATACTTGTAGGATTTAAAGTGAATTTTTACTTTGAAGTATTACAGATAAGGAAAATTGTCATGCTTAATTCCTGTTATTCTAAATGCTAAATTATAATATCTACATATGTATGCAACATGAGATAGTACAGTTTTGTGTAGAATTTATGCTTTAACTTTAAATATACAGCTGGTGACTTGTAATTCATTAAAGTCATAAAGTAGAAACATAACAATCAATTCCATAACATATCTTATTGTTCCTGATCATTGGAAATCTAAAATTAGTCAGATCATGTTACAAATATTTAAAACTTTGGGTTACATAAACTACACTGTAGCAATAACTATACTGTCATGGGTCAGTGTTTTTCATTTGTTAAATCTGTACAATATATTATAATTCCTCTAAATTGTACATGTTGTGTATACTTTATGTAAAATCATTGTGTGTCATTAACAATTATGATTGAATTGCATTTTTCAGTCAAATGACCTATATAATAGTAATGTTTAAGAAATTCATCCTAAACTAATTAATTTAATTTAATTTAATAAATTTTGAATCCATTAAAAAAAAAATAACAATTTCTGATCTATGATATTACAGTTTTGACACTGGAGTTGAAAAAAAGGTACCAGAAAACTCTTTACTTAAACACTACCTATTCATTTTGAACCTGTGATCTTTCAGATAAAATAACAATTTTTGAAAAATTCTATAAGACTTAGTTTTGTTTATGGGATAGAGCAATGAAAGAAATGAGTTAATGGCCAGAACCTAAATCCTATCTCCAAGTTAACAGATTTTTGTGTAACCTAACTGATCCAACATAACTTTCGACATCTTTCAATTGATTTTTAAAAAGCTTTGGTTCGAAGACTATGGTATTCATTCCTGATCTTTCATATTGACTTTCAACTGAAAAATTCTGCTGATTTAATTTATTTATCAGTAGGCTATTATAAAACTTCCTTAAACGGCAGTAAAACATTACTTATAATACTCGTTCAATTTCAACAAACAATCATTTCAAATTCCTTTTTACTGTGTTGACATTACTGTTCTACAAAATTATCAAGAGTTTTAAATCATTTATTCAACAAGTGTGCTCTGAATGGAAAAGGCTATAAAAACTACTGTGACAAATAAATTTTGTGCAGAAGTGATTCTAAATCGTTTATCTGGTTTGTTTGAACGTGTGTACTCCATTCAGTGAGATAGCCTTCCTATGTTTGTTAACACTTGTTGACTTTGTGCGATAAACTTGCTCAACTTATACAGAAATTTAATAACCTTCCAATCCTTTAAAAACTATAAAAGAATGTTATTTACTTTTAATAGCACCAATACGATACTGCTATATGGGTCATTAAGTCAAATGAATTTTCCCCTCTGATATTTTAATATCAACGCATTCAACAATTTATTTGCATCAATGATTGGGAAAATCAATAAGTATCGATCGGAAATAAGAATTTTTATATGACCGGTTCTCTTCATGACTTTGTAGAATAAAATAATCTAGATATCTTAAATATTCAAAGTTTTCTTTAATATTAATACCAGAAAGATATTTATAAGTAAAAAGTTCTGTAAATGTGAAAACAAATTTTTAGATGTCCTTAAACAATGATGAAAGCCTTCCTAAAACCAAAATACTTAAAAGTTGTGATGATTACAGCAATTTGCTAATGATTAATATTTTTAAGTTCTCATTTGATCAAACATTTCCAGTTCTAACTTCATATACCGGGGATTTTAAAAAAAAATCATTATGAAATACGTCAGAAAAAAATCATGCTGCTTTTGTACATTTTTGGTTTAAATTAACTACATGTAGTAGTATATATACATCACACATAATATTATGGTTACATGAATTGATATTGTTGCTTTGAGCAAATGAAAAGAAAATGAGGTAAAAGAATTTAATCAATTGCTTTCCAAAAATATCTGTCTTTAAATGTTTCAAAAAAGTTTTACAAGCTTTCAATGCTTTTATCTCTTAAGGAACTTTTTTTTGCCTAAAAATATTTAACTTTTCCTTTTGTGTAAATCAATATATAATAATGCAAAAACTTTCAACAACAATCTTCAATGTTATATGCTACATTCTATTTTATCTCACCTTTTACCTATTCAATATCATGCCATGTTAATGTTATACATAGTAAAGATATTCCTATTCAAACTTTATAAATCGTATCTTCAAATAAAATAGTTTAATCAAACATTCCAGCGTAAGCCTATCTACATATTACATGACTTAACTTATTCTATAGCCATAAATGTAGCAGATAAAAAATGAATAAACTTTATATCCCTTTAAAATGTCTACTTCACAATGAATATATATATTTTTGGTACCTAAGACAATGTTGAAGAGCTGCTACTGCAGCTAACTTACTGATTTAAATTATTGTCCTTAAAAAAATCATTTTAGAATCTGATGCTTATATAAATATTTTACAAATTATCTCTAACAGAATTTTGAGGATCTTTTTTTCTGTCGATAATTCTTTTCAAAATTATTTGCATTATGTATCTTTAATTTGTAACTGTCATTTTTAGTAGAAACAACTTTTACAGTGGTAATACATGTACCATAATAAATTGAGTGTCTTTCTTTATTGTTCTTAACAATGCACTTAAGTTTATGCTTCAATTAACATGTCTCAGCATTGTACATGATTTCAAGCTGAGTTTGCAAAATAAAGTATAAGTTTCTTTATTGAGATAAAATAACTTTAAATCATGACATCCATAACTATTGATCATGTCCTGAAAAAAAACCCACAAAGACTTAATCTTTTATTCATTTACTAAAATCTATAACCATCATGAGAATATTGTTTAGTTACTGTTTGATTGTTTGTAGAGGCAATGCTAGATATCTGATATACGGTCATATACCAAATAATATTTAAAACTTATTCACAAAATAATGATATTCATTAGGATATAAATCCATGCTTCAGTGACAAGAGCATATATATACACAAGATAAAAAAATTAATAATTAAACATGTAACAATGTGTCAGCATAATTATGATAAGAATCTTGCTAAATCAATACTTAGTTAGTTTCTATGGTTAAACTTAAATAAAAGTCAATGTTTCACAACAAGTTATATGCATTATCAGCAATATATAACAATTGCAATGTGAATAAAATTTAATTTAAAAATAATATTTCCTTGAATCTGGCTGGCACAAACTTTTGAAACACATTTATATTGTAAATTTGTAATTTGACTTTACAGTGTTAAATATTAAAAAAAAACAATAGGGCATGAACATTGAACAAAAAAACAGAAAAATTAAACATGTACAGTAGTGTCAGTAATTTATGAAGGCCTGTGATATACACCTTAAAAAGAAATTTCCAAGTATATAAATGGTTATTTCATATACTGTTTATAAGCTAGGATATGATGTAGACTGGAGTAATCTATTAATCACGACTACCAATATATTGATCTCTAATTGTTGAAATAGTTTCATGATTACTTATTCTTCTAATAGAATTGAATTAACATTCACACACCCTATTTTTAGTTTTGTAAGAATTTCTTACAAATTTACTGAAAAAAGCAATCAAATGGATTACATGGGTTGAATTATCACAAACAACTTCATAATAAAAATATCAAAATTTGGTCACAATCTGACAATGACTCTTAAATTTACAATAAATGATTTTCAGGTAATTTGTATCAATAAACAATACATGCACTTTTATAGACTAGTAATTTTTTTTTATATAAAGAGGTATCTGGTTGATTTTTTTAATAAATAGATCTCTCTTTATTATAACATTCAAGTCTATCCCTGTTTCTCGTTGTTTTTTTTTGTTGTTGTTTTTTTGGGGGGTTTTACGTCACATCGACACAGTATAGGTCATATCGTGACGTTCCAGCTTTACTGGTGGAGGAAGACCTCAGGTGCCCTTCCGTGCATTATTTCAGGCACGAACGGGCACCTGAGTAGAACCACCGATGTTCCGTAAGCTAGCTGGATAGCTTCCTCACATGAAAGAATCCAAAGTCCCTGTCGGGATTCGAACCCACAGCGGTAAAGGGCAAGTGGTTTGAACACAACGACTTTAACCACTCGGCCACGGACGCCCCTCCCTGTTTCTTGTATTCTTGGGGTTAATAATATACTTATTTCTAACAACTGCTTCTATCATGCATTAGTAAGAAAAATATATACTTAAAAAATCCATAACTATGACAAGACAAGATACTGTAGATGACCAGAAGTGACAGGGTTATTAAACATTCATGAGAATCAGATAGATAAAGATTTTTCCTTCATAGTAAATCAAGTAATGAATTAGATTAGTAGGTGTTAATGACTGCTTATAAATCATTTTGAAATGTTAAAAACAAATTTACTTAAAATAAGAAGTCTAACTATTCTTATCTTTCTAAAAGATACACAAATTTGTTGAATTTAAAATGCACATGTATATAGTACAATACTCAGTAGACATTGTAACAGTAAAGATATGGCTCTACCTCTTGAGCTCCATTTGAAATTAAATAAAGCCTTTAAATTAATAATGTTGTTTAAGAAGAAATCCTTCAGTGAATGACTTAAATACCAAATCAGTTAGGTTAGAGTTATTTCTGGAAACTTTCCAAACCGATCAATGGTCGTAGTAAACTATCGGTATTTGCTGAGTATCACTATCTCGATAGCCAGGTAAGCAAAATTGCAGACGAATTCCATGTTTAGGCTAGCATTGGAAATGGCGGTAGACTTCGATGAAGAATTTAAATTTCAGATATTTAAAACTATATTTTTGTTAAATGAGCTTACATTATTTATTTTTATTCATAACTGTACCAGTAAATAAACTAAAATTACGTGGCATTCGTCAGAATATCGCACAAACTTGTCAAATACCCTAGCAACCGTCCGAAATCCGATACAGCTACTGTTCTATTTGAAGTTTTTCTATATTCATAAAGTGTCTCGTTCAAAATAAGAATTAAATAAAATTGCAAATATGTAATTTAAATGAATCTTACATAGTAATTGTCCTGCCATCTTTCTAACTTTTCCTGCAGAACATTAAAAGTTCCAATGTTCACCAGCCTTCTCAATGAATCCGCCATTTTGACGCTTTTGCTGTTCAACGAGTAATGAGCATGCGCAATTGACGAGCACTTGTTTTTACAAGGTCTCACATATGATATATCAGACTACACTGATAACATATTTCGAGGTCTCACACAGGTAGTCGCTATTGGTAACTTCGTCCGCCTTGTGACGTCATTCTGTCTATGACGTAAATTGTCATTGTTAATTAAGTTACGTCATTATTTAGAATTCACGACGTTCAAACTAATCAGGTTTATATAATAAATAATAGAATTTAAATGAAATATATTAGAACAAAATACGATAAACAAGATAAACAAGGAAAGGCGGCGTTCAATGACCAAAGCATTCTTAAGCAATTGAGAGGATAAGCTTTTTAAACTAAAGGCCCCTGTGACCTTGACATTTGACCCAGTAACATCAAAATTAACCTAGATAGATCTATTTAGAATATAAGAGAATAGAATAAAGTTTAATTCCAATAAATCGGTCACATTCAACATCTACATAATGATCAAATAAATATATCACATAAAATAAGTGTATTAGATCTAAATATCTTCCGGTTCGTTTTTTGTAAGAAGGACTTTTTAATTAATCCTTTATTGTTTTATTCAGCTCTAAAATGATTAAATTGCACAGCGGTCGAAGAAAAACAAGACAAAAGTCTCTCTATTCAGTAAAAGACGTAAAGGTTAAAAATGTAGTTTGGTGTATGTATACATGTAATTTTCAACAACTTCATAAACTGATTAAAGGTTCTAAATGAAGCTTTTTCGAGACATGATCATGCTTAACATTCGTAAACATTTATGAATTATGACTACTTGGTATGTTGTCAAGTAACTGTTTACTCATACCACATACAACGTTTAACAAGACTTTTAAACGGGACACGAAAACCAATCCTACCCCAAGTGCCAAGTCAGCAAAATACTAACATAAACTAGAACTGCCACTGTCATGGCGTGAATACCTCCGTCAAAATCAACGATATTCATTTAGAGCTACCTGCCAAATCTGAGGGTAGTAAGCCAGTACATTGCTTATTTTGTATTCTCGCTCATTCTCAATAAAACACAGCATTTGATGTTCCACTGGGTAGCTCTTATACGAAGGTTTTTCTTGAGGTCAAAATGTCGTTAGAAAGGTGGCTGCCACTTTGTCTAATAGGGACACTCTCAGTTTTACATTTCTATCTGTTATTTTTCTTTTACAAGTACCATTAATGTCCTAAAATGTAACATACGTTACTGTCGCCACCTAGAATTTTCAACTTTGAAATTGTGTCTCAGAAAAATAAGTTCCAGAATAAACGAAACATGTGCAATTAGTCATTGCTGTGTGTATATGAACTTTGATTATTGGTAAAAAATATATTTGACTGTTAAAATCTCATTGATATAATGGATGATCAAATGTCGCCAAATGCTTATAAATAAATAGTGACAAACCTAAAACAATAATAAGTGGAACCGAAATTACATAATTGAATCGATGCATGCTTAATAATACAGCATATATATAATTATAAGTAAAAATAAACTTGCAGCATCTCAAATATCATTATATTTTCGGAAATTTTCATTTTTTATTCAAATCTTTTCAACAGCATTTTAAAAAGAAACATACGTTACCATTATTTAAGAGCCAATCCATTCAAAGGAGAATCCAAACAAGAAAGAAAATTAACATGTGTGTAACTCTGATATATTAACCACAAATAATGGCGGGTTAAACGGTCTTGCGTCATTTTTTAACCCACTTTCAATGTAAAATGAAACATACGTTACAGAAACATACGTTATCAACTTTTTAAAGTTAGGTTATCAAAAGGGAAATTGAAGTCAGAAAGCATGTATAACAGCAACATTAACTTCTATTTGACATTAGTAAGTAAATTTTGATAACTTTGGTTGAGTTTTAACTTGTTTAAGTAACCACAGTGAAACAAACGTTACTTTTATCAATCAGACTTTATTTTGTTTACACATGCATATATAAAAACATAAAATCGCATTTTCATGACAATATAATGATGTACATTTGATTCCTAAATAAAAAGTCGATTTTACATGTAAGTTTCAATTCCGTGATTAAGTTCATAAATAAGCGAGTGTGAAACATACGTTACTCCAACTTAAAATTCAACAATTTTTGAAAATTAAAGATAAAGTTGGGATTATCATGCCTGTCAGTAACGGTTATCTTGTATTAGATGTAAGAAGATACAAAATTGTTTTTACAAAGGAAAGATATGTTGATTATATGTTGATGTACCAGCAGAAATGTTAAAAATATGTAACAAGATATTGAAGTTCTCAGCAACAACTAATTCGATTCTACAAAGAGCTTACTGGCCGTATATCATTCTATATATAATAATGTTAAAATAATATCCATAAATATACATTATTTTACAAAATAATAAAATTGTTTTCTCAACCTTTACATGCATTTGAATAAAATGAGACATACGTGACATCCTATATGGGGATAAATATAGAACTGCTTAGCAATAAATTTTCCAAATATTAAGAAAGTGAAAAGTTGAATGTTTTGAAAAAAATTGCTAATACAACATTTGTGTATGCATTCGACCTCTCATATATTATATATGATATATATCCTTTGAATGAAGACATAAAATAATCATTTCCAAAATTGACTTTTTTTGCTTTCTACGAATATTTAACTTTGAAGAAATTAACTGAAAATTAGCAAGGTACCCATCTTCCTTGAATTTTCCTGGGTTAGAAAGTCCCTCTAGATAGAGAATTTACAGATTTTGATATATTTTAAAGACATTTGTTGTTAATATGCAGCCAATATGTTACATTATTAGATCTGAAATATACGTTACCGAAGAAATACAGTGTCATTACCGAAATAAATGCCATCCTGTTATATCATAGTTTCTTGTTCAAAATATTTCTGGCAAACTTGCAAAATACCCTAAACTTTTACTTCAGCGATAAAAAATGACACAATGACAACATCAATTTTTTAATATTTTTCAACCTCAAATGCTTTATTTTATTGAGAATGGGCGCTCTACATGTTTTAGTGGCAATGATCAAAGTGACCTACTAACTACATTTGACCTACTGACCCCAAAACTGAAACTGCCACTGCATGACTTGAATACCCCCCCCCCCTTCATGCAGCTTTGCCTGGGATGTTTTATGACGAATATATGAGAACATAATTATATGCTTAATAATATGCATATAATATGCTTCAAATGTAAAAAATGTCAAAATCAATACAGTGTGGAAAGGCATTCTTTAGCATTTGTTTGAGCAGACAAGCTTATTGTAGTAAAAGCCCCTGTGACATTGACAATTGACACAGTCACCTAAAAAATCAATAGTCGTAATCAACCTTAATACCAAATATGAAGACTGTTAACCAAAGCATTCTTAAGAAATTGAGCGGAAAAGCTTTTTGAACTAAAGGCCCCTGTGACATTGACCTCTGACCCAGTGACTTCAATACAATAGGGGTCATCCCATGGTCTTGATCAACCTCCATGCCAAAAATGAAGACTGTGTATCAAATTTTTTAAGTCAAGGCCCCTGTGACCTTGACCTTTTACCCAGTGACCTCAAATTAAATAGGTGTTCATCTTATGATCATGACTTACCTCCATGTCAAATATGAAGACTGTGGGTAAAAGGATTCTCAAGTTATTGGGCGGACAAGCTCTTTTTAGTCAAAATGCTCTTCTGACCTTGACCATTGACCTAGTGACCTCAAAATCAATAGGGGTCATCTACTAGTTATAACCAACCTCAATAATAAATATGAAGACTGTTAACCAAAGCATTCTTAAGCAATTGAGAGGATAAGCTTTTTAAACTAAAGGCCCCTGTGACCTTGACATTTGACCCAGTAACATCAAAATTAACAAGTGTCACAAAATGGTCATGACCAATCTCCATGCCAAATATGAAGACAATGGGTCAAATGATTCTTAAGTTTAGCCAAGGCCCTTGTGACCTGGATCTTTCATATCAAAATCAATAGGGGTCATCTGCTAGTCATAACCAGCCTCAATACATATAACCAACCTCAATTCCAAATGACCAAAGCATTCTAAAGCAATTGAGCAGACAAGCCTTTTGAAGTCAATGCCTCGTGACATTGACCTTTGGCCCAGTGACCTCAAAAGCAATAGGGGTCATCTAATGGTCATGACCAACGTCCATGCCAAAGATGAAGATTGTGGGTCAAATGAATATAAAGTTATTGGTCGGACAAGGTTTTTTTATTCAATGCCCCTCTGAGCTTGACCTTTGACCCAGTGACCTCAAAATCAATCGTGGTCATCTAATAATCATGACTAAACTCCATTCCAAATATGAAGACTCTGGGTCAAAGGATTCTTAAGTTATAGGGCGGACAAGCTTTTTATAGTCAAGACCCCTGTGACCTTGACCTTTGACTCAGTGATCTCAAAATCAACAACAAAGGTCATCTAATGGTTATGATCAACCTCCATGCCAAATATGAAGACTTTGGGTCAAAGGATTCTTAAGTTATTGGGCGGACAAGCTTTTTTAGTCAAGGCCCCTGTAACCTTTACCTTTGACCTGGTGACCTCAAATCAATAGGGGTCATCTACTAATCATGACCACTCTAAATACCAAATATGAATACTGTGGGTCAAAGGAATCTCAAGTAATTGGGCAGACAAGAAAAAACCGACGAACAGCCAGACGGACGGAGAGACGTCCGGACGGCCAGACGGACAAACTGATTTCAAACTTTGTTGTGCGGGGGGTATAAAAAAGTCCAACAACAACAAAACGTAAATTATATCTTCAAAATTTATTGACACATGTCACGAGATCACTTTATCAGAACATTTCAAGGAAAGTCATTTAAATCACAGGAACTTTAAATTCTATCAATATTAACGATACTATGCAAAATATACCCCATATAGTATATATATACTATATAAGGGTATTTTTGGATATTATCATTAATATTTGTTATTTGATAGAATTTTAAGTTCCTGTGTTTAAACGGACAAATAATACCCCACACACTACAATCACCATCATTAGCAAAGTACCTAGGTGTCACAATATCAGGTAATCTAACTTAGAACATTCATATTGACAACATTGTTAATTTAGGGCACACCAAGCACTAGGTTGCTAATGGAGAATTTATATCAAGGTTAATCCCGATCAAGGTTAATCCTGAGCGATTCAAAGTGCGGCCTACTAAATACTTGTCCGACTCAGCTTGAGTACAGTTCCAGTGTCTGGTAATTATAAACTGGAGGTCTCATTGACCAGATTAAGTCCGTGCAGTGTCGTGCTACCCGTTGAGTAAAAAGGACTCCAATCGAACATCAAATGTTTCAACAATGCTTGACTCCCTACAGTGGAGGAGACTACAGAAAAGTCGCATAAATCAGCGCATTATTATATTTTAAAGTTTGTTTTAAAATAAGGTTCACATTCTCCTTCCAGATTAACTCAACCGATAACAAGACCAATTAGAAATTCCCATTGCAATACATGTTTTCAAAAAATTCAAACAACTTTTACTTAATTATTCTTTCCCAGAATCATTTATCATTGGAATACCTTGCTCCCTGATGTCACCATCCTATCTGAGTCAATTTTCAAAATGGCTATAGGCCATATTGAACTAGTATCACCAAATCACACCAGATATTTTTGTTTGTTCGTTTTTGTTGTTATTTCAACTATTTTAAACATTTACCTGTGCTTATCCGTCTTACTAGTGACACGCAAAGCAAGGGTTTCTCTGAATGGAAGAAGGAGATAAAAGACGATGTTCATATAAATTATGTAGAATAATAACGATTAAATTGCCAACTTTAATGAAATCTCACAGCATTAGACAAGGCTACAAGTAGAAAAGAAGATTAATAGGAAGCTACTCTATATGCTCATTAGGGGAAAAGAATTAAGACGACATCATGGTATACATGCATTGTGTCCTTGAATAAGGCATCATTAATTCTGAGTAGATCTTTGTGTGCGCCAACAAGATCGTTTTGGATTTTGTACAAGTAGGTTACATCGCTGATTTGCCAGTTTTGCCAGTTTATTTGGATGTCACAATATTTGTAGATATATCTTCGTCTTGTTCTTCCTTATAGTGACATAAAGTTTCTTCTTCATGCATACATAGTTGTTCCAAGTATTCAGCATCATCAGAGACGTAGTGTTGCGCACATGAGCAAGGTTTCTAGGTCAAAAGTAGAATTTAAAGGAAAACGCTTGCAATGTCTACGAGACGCACAGCCAAGGTCCATATATACAAGGTCAAGGTCAATATAGATAAAGAAAGCCTTGTCTTTAGATCAATGTTATCTCACTGGTCGGTCCACAGCAAAACCTCTATATGCATTGAAAGATTTAATATGATTTGGCACAATTGTTCATCATTGTGAAGCGGAGCGTCGCACGCAAGTTTAAATCCGACTTTACAAATAGAGGTCAAAGCCAGTTAAACGTATAAAAGTATACGAACCATTTAATCATCTCGAATTAAAAGACTGACTCACTCTGATACAAATGTTCACCATCATGTGACTAAGCAAAACATGCATAATACAGGTCCATTTGCAAGGTCCAATACACTTGAGATTATGAAATGTCCAGAATTTGATCGAAGGTATCGTCTATATGCTCATGAGCAGAAGTATCTTGTATCAGATGAAAATCAGAATGGTCAGAGAAAAATCCTCATCGTGAGCAAAACTTCTACACGCCTTGAGGAACTTTAATTCAACTTGGCATACACGCTCACCATTGTAAGGAACTTCAGGCGCTGTGGCCAAGAAATATGTCAGATGAAAATGTGTGTATGTACCATTTTGTCATCATGAATTGAGGGATTCTTACACAAATGTTTATTATTATGAAATTTGTCGTTACGGACATAAACCATGTCCAAATCTGCATAGCCAAGGTTACAATGTCCAGAATTTGTTCGGCGAAAACTGTCATTATGCATGAAGGGATGATTTCAGTACAATGTATTTTTGCCTTTTTTTGGCTGCAGGTTCGCCATCGCCATCACATAACATAGTGTCGTCCTTTAACTAGGTCAGTAGGTAATAGGTCATGGTCACACATTGAGGCCAGAGAAAAAATCGTCCGCAGCTTATCCTGTTATCTAAGCCTTGTGTAAAAATCAAGACTGTGTATGATATCATAAAGGACTTATTTTCTGACAATGACGGCCTTGTTGTATTTTAAATCAACATGTGAATTACTTTTCCAAAGAAACGTCCTTCTAGAAAGCGTCATAATTTCAATACAATAATAATACATAACTAAAACGAGTCGACATAATTATGTGTATTATAAAATGTTTTCCGATACGTTGTAGCAAGAATCAACATGTCTTAAATATTTTCATTTTCAGAATGGTTGAAGCAATCTAAATTTGCAATTGTGATCTATAATCATTATTGGAAAAAGGCAAGGACGTATCCTATCTACTTTCCATGCTTTCGTTTCGATGGCTTATTCTCATAAATCGGGAATCCAGAGTACAACAATATAAGACACGTATTGCAATATGGAGATATCAAATTTATCTAGACTTACACATAGGTCGAGAAGAAGAGTACAGTTCCTGTACGGGGGCTTGATCGTGACGGTGATGTGGAATATAATCGCTGTTTATAAATATTTTGTAGAACCCTTTGTACAAAATCCAGTGTTTAGAAAATGGGCATTTTTCAAGCATTGGGTTACAAATGAACCACTAGTGTTTTTGTTCTCCTTGGTGTTTGTAACACTAAATGTATGTTTATATATCTGCACAGGGTTTATGCTAATGTCGGTAAGTGGTATTTGAATATTACAGATACTAATAGACTAGTAACCTAGCCAAACACTAAAACTGAACTTGAACCAGATTTCCGTAATTTTGCCTAACCGTTTGTACAGAAAACGTTAATTGCATATCCTGTTCAATTAAGCTTAGTACGAAATGTTGTACACTAATTCTTCTTATGCTTGAAATATGATGGGATATTGAAAATTCTTATTCATTTATACTTCTAATGTCATTTTTATGCGTACATTAATTTCTTCGCGAGGAGCAGCAACAACCCCTAAACTATCAATGACGTATCGTATGAGACTTGAAATGATATGTACGTGGGACTCAGACTGATATATATCTTTTTGGATTTGGAGGTCATTATTTAACAAAATATGACATTACTGTTCTATTTTCGGTTTCGAGCATTTAATTTAAATATCGATTTATATCTGCTGATTTGCAATAATTTCGGAAGTCAAGCGTGGTGTTTGTATCAGTAAACCGCCGACATTTGAATACATTGTATACTATCTTATTATCATAACTGTTCTTCCAGTAAACTGTGGACGGATATAATTATTTTAACTATCATATTTAGCATGAAAGTTGGTTTTCAAAGACATCGCTTATCGATGGTTTTATATGATAATATCAGTCTACCGGACATGGCATAATATACAACCATTATTGGATTTAGTTTAAATGTAATATACGAAGTTCATACTGCAAGTAGGATATTTACCGGATACATGTGCAATGTTGACAAGAGTTTCTCTGAGACGTTTCATTTGTTTATATTGTGCTTTTCTGGTAGTATTTGTTCCAGCATCATACCAGTTATATACTCTGACAACAATAGTTGCTCTGTCCGAAGCAAATGATTCTAGCTACCCGTCATTCTGGTCACGTGGTCCAGTGTATGCAGCATGGTTTCATGCCAAGCCATGGAGTTTAATACTTGTACTTGTGTTCCTTTATTTAAGTGTCTGCTGCTTGATGTGCTCTTGCTATATATTTATCCAAGTAAGTTGTAACTTGTATTATTTTTTATAATCGAAAAATTAAGTATACACCCCTCAAAAATGGCCCTAACAATAGCAAATGAAATCTACATGTACATTATTATGGATCATCATACAAGAAACTGGTATATACTAGTAACTTCAAGTTTCAGTATGCCTATAACATTAATAATTTCAGTTGGTTGTCATACTTCTACAACTTAATCATTTTATATGTTTTAGGTATGTACAATCCAATATACTCAAACGAATTGCGTTTTTCTTGCAGCCAATTGTACAGATGATTTGGAGCATTCTTAAAAAGTATATTCCATGTCGTATACGACGCCGCACATGGTGTTTCTGCAACTGTTCATGTAAAAGTTTGGAGCGAGTTTTGAAAGATATATACGACAATTATTGCAACTTAGAACCTGAAAATGATGAAGTTCTGGACGATATTACCAAACGATATATACTTTCAATTCTTAACGGTTGCAAACAAAAGTTTAAGATGAAAAATATGCAGTATCGACTAGTAGGAAGTTCCGCTGAAGGTCTAGGAAAACCCTACACTTTAGAATTGAACAAAGGTTACTCAGACCCGCTAGTAAAGTTCCTTCTTCGATTCTTTTGTTGTTGTTGTCCATGCTCAACAGCATACACGAGTCTCCGAACTGACTTTGATATTATTATGGAATGCGACAATTCAAATACAAACTTAGGCCGCATCTTTAAACTAGAAGATGTTGGAAGCGAATCTTTTAATCCGGGATTTGTTTGCCTACATTGTTCACATACGCGGGAAAATAATTCATTGGCTTTCTTGTGTACAAATGTACAAGAACACAATTACTTATCTTCAAGCGCCGTTCGTAGCAATATATCTGACATAGTGAATGATTCCTCGGAGAATGAATTACCATCTTCTAGTATATTTGGTGTTTTTAAGCATCCCCCAGTTATAGAGATAGAAGAAAATGGGCCCGCTGTAAAACTTGTGACGTACCCGCTTGGACAAGCTTGGTACTGGAATGACGATCAGAAAGTGGTGTCTTTCGAGGGAGATATTGTTTTTGGTATTCGTTATTCAGAGGTATGGCCTACGTGTGCGGCAGGATGGGAGAATCGACCAAGACTATGGCCATCTGCGGATATTGTCAAGGAAATAGTGAAAAGTGGGTTTATTCTCGTTCCAAAACCGTCACACAACCGGACAGAAAAGGACGATGAGATTGAATGGCATATCTCATTTCCACATTGTGAAACCTATTTGAGCAAGAAAATTCCAAAAGTAGCCAAGGCCTGTTATTTAGCTTTGAAACTTGTTTTGAAAAATCACTTGGTATACCACTGTGACAATTTAAAGACATACTACCTAAAAACTATTCTGTTATGGGAACTTGAAAAACATCCGGAGGAGTTCTGGGAATTAGAAAATATTGTTGAATGCTTTGATTGTCTCCTTAGCCGACTAATTTCCTGTGTTGATACCAAAAAGTGTCCAAATTATTGGATAGAGTCTCTAGATTTATTTGAGAAGATAGATAGACAGGAGTTGGGCTCTCTGGTGAATGTATTAGTTAAGATTAGAGCCAACCCAGCCCCTTACATTGAAGACATTGGAAGTATGTGGTGTTGAAATATTTATAACAGAACAAAAAGTGACTAATAACACATTATGCTGTAAATCAAAACTACAGCTGTTGAGATGGTAGTGTAAACAACAAAGTACATGTATAACATTTGTGAAGGAAAATAGGGACTTTTTTGGTATTACATAGCATTCTTTTCATGATATTTTCTAGATTGATGCATATTATTGCATATTGAAAAGAATATGTGAAGTTGTATGCTACAAAAGTAATGGGAATCATATACTAGTATTAAAAACAACTTTGAAAAAATTGTTCCTTACCAGCATGGAAAATGCCATCTCATTTTATTTATGGTAAGAAAAAGTGCTCTTAAATTTCACTTTTTTTGACTGCTCTGCCACATAATTTTGCAGCAAAATACTTTCATACAATTAATGTACATTATCCACAGTATGTGGGTAACTTCATGTATTACTATGTTATAGATATAGGCCGAAAACTGTCCGATATGTAAAATATTGAATTTCATGAGGCATGTAGTAGTAATTTAAAATCTATTACTAATACTATCTTTTGTGATAAGATCTGTATGAAAATTATATTCATTTACTCAACAAAAGGTGAAACAGACCTATAAAGCTCACCTGAGTAAATGGAAAAAGCCCAACTTATTCTATAGTTGGTGCAGAAAAAAAGAAAACAAAATCTGTTGTTATAAATATACTTCTTTATCAGCATAAAAAAATAAATCAAATTTTGCCAAGATATATCTCAGATGTCTTTTTCATACAACATAACATGCATGTCAACAAAAGTGAAGCAGAAATAACAGAAATTTCTGGAATATAATGGGAAAACAAAACAATCAGAAAAAAATACTAACATAACAAAAGATGATCAAACTAACTAAACATTAATATTTAAAAGCAAAGTAAAAACATTTTAAGGCAAAGTAATTTGGTTATATTGGGATGTGTCACCCCAGGATCATGATTAAGATAACTTGTGTAGACACAACAAGGTGATGCTACATGCTATTTTGTTTAAAATACTGTCAGTATATTCAACAGCATTCAGTTCATTAGTATGGTTTACCAGGACAGCCCTTAGTTGCCAGACTGCCACATTTTAAAATTGCCAAACAAGCCATACTTTCCAACAAAATGGTACATCAACGGGTTGCCAGAAGGGGGATTTGCCCCGTTCTGTTTTTTTTTTTTTTTTTTTTTGGGGGGGGGGTTGAAGGGGGGGGGGGGAATTCCCCCTCATAGCCAAGAAAATTTTGGACTTGTGACAAGCTAAAAATGGCCTTAGGTTGATCTTAGGGTAACTAGTAACCAACGCTGAAAAGCCTTTTACTCTATCTTAAGTTTCATGAGTATTGAAGCATTTTTCATAGTTTCATAGCAGTTTCAACTTGCAACAGGAGGCTTTTTAATGAAAAAGGCCATTTTTCACAATATGCTCATGAAGGAAAGGGTTAAAAGCATACAAGAAACCTTTAGTCAGTAAAAGTTCATAATCACCTGAAGCTACTGTCAAATATTAGGGAAAAAATCATTAACAATAGGAAAAGGCAATATTTAATTCGGATAAAAAAATTAATAGTTACAAAAAAGAAAACTATTCATAATAAAATTGGCATATTATAGGAAAATATGCTATTTATTTGAAATTAGAATACCTAAGTATTCAGTATATAATTAAATATAAATAGACAGTAAAATCATACCAAGAAAAGCAGCCTGAAGGGGAAACAAGTATCAAAAGTACAACAATTAACTCACATGTGATTTAATTCAATTTCCTAGTTATGCCTATTTGTATTACTCATAGCAAAACCATTTTTGTTTAATATTTAACTCAAAAATTTCTTTTTAAATTGATATCATTTTGGATAAAAAATTAAAAATATGTACAATATTCTTACTTTATCTATTTGTTTGAGATTGTAAAATGTAATAAAAGTAGGGGAACATATTAACACAATGGTCATCATTCCAAGCTAAGGAAGAGGTACAGGACAATTTTATAAAAAGATTCAAATGAACTTCCTGTATTGAAATATTGAAGTTCTAGATGACATGGAACACATTGACACATAAGCGGTGCTGCTAAATTTAATGTAAAATCAGATAACAGACTTCTATAGGATAATACCAACAACTTCATGGTTATACATTTAAATTCCAATACCATACTTATACTGCTAAACCAACGTTGTGAAACTGGGCTGAAAGTAGGGTAGAATCAGAGGGTAACTCAAACTTAGTTTTTCAGGGCAAAACAACAGAACAACAGAGTTTTAACAGCTTGAGGTTTTTTGTTGTTTTTTGTTTAAAGACTAGTTTAATTTTCTGATATTGCATTTATAATATCAATGTAAATATGGGTAGTACGAGGGTTGTTCAAAAAGTAATAGGACTGCAGTTCTACTGTTCACATTTTTCAATTTACGTGCACAATTTCACAAGATAATAATATCGGAATATATCCTCTATATGCAGTTAAAAACTCGATAAAATATGTTTACAAATAACGAGTCTGTGAAAATTTCAAATGACCATTGGTACGCGACCCGGCGCACGCTAACAGCACAATAGATGATGTTTATGACGTCGTAAAATAAAAACAAAATGTATCAAGCGTCATCCCTTTGAAAGAATTACCCCTAGTGTTCTAGGTGTCTAAATCATGTAACTTTGACCAGACCTCATATGTGGAGATGAAGCGGGAAAAAAACGATCACATTCTTGTTCCACTCTCCGAGAAAAAAAGCCCGATAGCCGGCCACTCTCCATTTATTCTCTTATTTTTGTATCTTATAGTTATCACTAAAGATTAAACATGCGTTAACTTATGATGTTAATGAAAAAGCGATTAATAGAATTATTTTACACATATCATCGTACGTTCTTAAAACAATATGATTATGTAAGTAAAATAACCATAGTTATCAACTGAAAAGTATATTTTCCTACTAAAAACAGCGTATCATTTTTAAAAGAAAATCGGTGAAATATTAATAATTACCGTTAATCATTATGATATTAATTTATTGATAGCACATATATCTAGTAAATGAAATAGAATTTTGTTTGAAACAAATCATTTAGGCAGAACTGAATGATGCAGACCCGATGCAGAAATCAAACATGCCGGACAGTTCATGGACTGTTTACCGTCGATCATTTTGTAGCGCTTTTTCATTTGATGTCACTAACGTCCCGTCAATTTCCCGCTATCATTCTCATCCTTTCCTGTTTATGATTTCGTATGTGCAGTTTTTGAGTTGTTTGCGCAAGCTGAGAACGAGTATCCTGATAGCCGATTAATTGTACTGTGTTAATGTTATGTTTTCATATGTATCTGAAGGAATATCGCCTATTTGTTGGCAAAGTTTAACGATCGCACACATTTTCAGTTTTTTAACGAACGTCAAATTTCTACATTTAACGTAATGACCACTGCTGTTCAAAACTTAATGATTTAGCCATTTCATGTCTGAATGACCTCAAATTCGGGCATAATGTCACTTAAATATTATAAATTGTGTTGGTGGAATTAATTGGGGAAAAAGAAAATAAATTATGAATAAAATAAAAGTTCAACTAAGCTTCGATAACCTTTCTATGTGCTGCGCCGGGTGCGTGTTACCATGGTTATTCAATAACACAGGGAACACGCGTGAAGCATAAGAATTCAATATTTTTATGTTTAAATTGAAGAAAACATTTTTTGATCACTGTACATATGAAACTATTCTAAATTAAATTGAATATGAAGATGCAAGACTCTCAGTCCTATTACTTCTTGAACAACCCTCGTACATGCAGACTGTCACAGATAAATATCCCAGTTGATAGAAACATATATGATTAGGGCTTAATCTCTGACCTAATTGTGCTGCTAATTCATGTTGCAAACAATAGTTCAATATTAAACAAGATATGTTTGTAAAACATGTATGCCCCCTATCAGCAGCCAATTAGTCATGTGATAAGGTTATTATGCATGACTTCTGACCCAGTGATCAAACAATTAATAAGGGTTATCAAGTATCTTCTGGTCATGACCTTAACCTTTGACCCCTTGACCCAAAACTCAATAGGGGTCATCTGCTGGTCACGACCAATCATCATACAAAGTTTGAAGTTCCTAGGCCTAAGCGTTTTTAGTTTATTGATCAGAAACCGTTTTAACATACAAGGTCAATGTGACCTTGACCTTTGACCCCTTGACCCCAAAATCAATAGGTCATCTGCTGGTCATGACCAATCACCAAACCATGTTTGAAGTTCCTAGGCCAAAGGGTTCTTAAGTTATTGATTTGAAAGCATTTTTACCTACAAGGTCAATGTGACCTTGCCCTTTGACCCCTTAACCCTAATATCAATAGGGGTCATCTACTGGTCATGACCAATCACCATACCAAGTTTGAAGTTCCTAGGCCTAAGGGTTCTTTAGTTATTGATCGGAAACCATTTTTACCTAAGAGGTAAATGTGACCTTGACCTTTGACCCCTTGACCCCAAAATCAATAGGGGTCATCTACTGATCATGACCAATCACCATATCAAGTTTGAAGTCCCTAGGCCTAAGGGTTCTTTCGTTATTGATCGGAAACCGTTTTTACCTACAAAGTCAATGTGACCTTGACCTTTGACCCCTTAACCCCAAAATCAATAGGGGTCATTTGTTGGTCATGACCAATCACCATACCAAGTTTGAAGTTCCTAGGCCTAAGGGTTCTTTTGTTATTGATCAAAACCGTTTTTACCCAAGAGGTCAATGTGACCTTGACCTTTGACCCCTTGACCCGAAAATCAATAGGGGTCATCTACTGATCATGACCAATCACCATACCAAGTTTGAAGTTCCTAGGCCTTAAAGTTCTTTAGTTATTGATCAGAAATCGTTATTGCTTACAAGGTCAATGTGACCTTGACCTTTGACCCCTTGACTCCAAAATCAATAGGGGTCATCTACTAATCATGACCAATCACCATACCAAGTTTGAAGTTCCTAGGCGTTAAGGTTCTTTAGTTATTGATTGGAAACCGTTTTTGCTTACAAGGTCAATGTGACCTTGACCTTTGACCCCTTGACCCCAAAAACAATAGGGATCATCTACTGATCATGACCAATCATCATACCAAGTTTGAAGTTCCTAGGCCTTAAGGTTCTTTAGTAATTGATCGGAAACCGTTTTTGCTTACAAGGTCAATGCGACCTTGACCCCTTGACCCCAAAATCAATAGGGATCATCTACTGATCATGACCAATCACCATACCAAGTTTGAAGTTCCTAGGCCTTAAGGTTCTTTAGTTATTGATCGGAAACCGTTTTTGCTTACAAGGTCAATGTGACCTTGACCTTTGACCCTTTGACCCCAAAATCAATAGGGGTCATCTACTGGTCATGACCAATCACCATACCAAGTTTGAAGTTCCTAGGCCTTAAGGTTCTTTAGTTATTGATCGGAAACCGTTTTTGCTTACAAGGTCAATGTGACCTTGACCTTTGACCCCTTGACCCCAAAATCAATAGGGGTCATCTACTGGTCATGACCAATCACCATACCAAGTTTGAAGTTCCTAGGCCTAAGGGTTCTTTAGTTATTGATCGGAAACCGTTTTTGCTTACAAGGTCAATGTGACCTTGACCTTTGACCCCTTGACCCCAAAATCAATAGGGGTCATCTACTGGTCATGACCAATCACCATACCAAGTTTGAAGTTCCTAGGCCTAAGGGTTCTTTAGTTATCACTCGGAAACCATTTGGTCTACGGACCGACGGACCAACGGACCGACGGACCGACAAGTGCAAAGCAATATACCCCCTTTTCTTCGAAATGGGGGCATAATTATAAGACATTTCAACATAACACACTTTTGGTGAAAATATGGAGGAATAGATCAATGCTTTATAGATAATTAAATTTTATCCACATGTTAATTTAATTATCATACATTACATAGCAAAAGAAACAATGCATCTAGCATTATAAATAAATATTTATATATAAAATTATACAGGAAAATCCATTTTCCAGAAATGATAAATAATGGACTATATAACAGTTAAGACATTAATTCAAAACTAAAACCTGTCAATTGTGGCAACAACAGGTCAATCTCCAATTGTTTCTTAAAAGAATAGTAAAATAACATTCAAAATAAGCTTTACTCTTAAGTAAGAAAAACTTGTAAAAGAATATCTTTAAGTTTTTCATATAATATCTCATCTTCATGCAGTAGAAATTAAAACAATCTAAAGTATACATAACATTGTAGTTTATGGTTTAAAATAATGTGACCTGCTAAAACAAAAAATTAAAGATGAGCAATCTGTCTTTCTTAATTTTACCAACTTGTTTAAAATAGTTCAAAATGGTAAATTAATAAATTAATCATTTATTCTTTGTAATATCACAAATGTAAAAGAGTGATAAATGTGCTGTACTAACAAGTGAGAATATTTTAAAAAAATCATATTAAATTAGTAAAATTACAGGTAAAAGATCACAGTAAAATATATTTACATGGATAAAAATACTTAATATGTCTTAATATAATATTTCCAAGCAGGTTAGTTCATAGTTTACCCTTATTACTTTTTTTTCAGACTTACAATTAAAATGTTTGCATGAAATATTAACAAATCGCTGATATATACATGTAGTAATAAACAATAGATATCATTGAAATAAATCTACATTTTAAAGAAACACCACAGAGTTCAATTGCCTGAATATTTAAAATTTGTAATTCTTACATAAATTAAGTGATGCACTTAAAATGAAAAAAAGTCTGCAAAATATAATGAGATTGAGGGTATAATCTGAAATTTTGCACACAAGTTATAAGAATAGACCACCATTTTATGATGCCCCCCCCCCCCCAATTTTTTTTTTAAAAAATCAGACCCTTCATATCAAAAAACTTTCAGTGCAGCCTAGTCCCTTGAAAGAGAAAACAGAAAATCAAAATTTCGATAACACATTAACACCAATTTGAAGAAGACCAGGAAAAACTTGCATGGATAACTTTCTGAAAGAGTACATGTATGTACAATGTATCTCCCTTTACACTACTGAACAATAACAAGTTCGAAAAATAGCACCATGGAAATATAAAGCCAAGAAAACTTAAGTGTAATTCTAAATATGTATGTCTGCTACACATAACAGTGATAGAGAAAGAAAAACTCAAATTTACATTGCAAAAATCCATTAAAACCAACTATCTATATGATCTAGAGCAATGAGATTTTTTAATGGTGCATGTATGTATCATATAAACTGCTGTTTAGACAATAAAATAACATAAATATATCACATTCCGCACAAAAATACATCTTCAATTATAACATAATTTAACATAACAGTCTTTGTTAAACACAAGGACATACATGAACAAGGCCATCCTTAAAAAAATGTTTGTTTGCAGTAACGCGACCGACTTACAAAATTTGCCCCTACTCAAAATTTTTTTTTCATGTTCTGGATAAAAATTTTTTTGGGGGGGAATCAGAAAATTATTGTTTTCGTTCTGTTAAAGGTTAATAGAAGAAATAAAATGTAGGTCTTATTAAATTAGAATTCAGTTATCAATTTATTAATTGTTACCAGATTATCAAAGCATATATTGTCCAGCATTTTGAAATTCCATGTTTATTTGGGAGTACAGTTCAATAAAAAAAAAAATCGACCTACCTACCCACCTTGAAAATTCTGGGTCAGGTTAGTGCAAACAAACATTTTTTTATGGATGGCCCAAGCTAACTAATTATAATGATGATTATATGCTTATATACTCAAGCTTTAACAAAAATGTATACATTAGACTTCAAATGAATTTTCATATAAAATATAATATCAGAATAAAAAGATTTTTCAGCCATTCCCTGACATGCTCTTACGTCTTCTTGGACAAGTTTAATAAATTTTTTAACATATATATTACCACAGATTTAATATTCACAAGACTTAAAACATTTTAATAAGTTTTTATGTCTTGCACATGTTTTTGTATGTTGTATTTTGATATTATGAACAGCATAGTCAACATAAAAGTAACATTTATATATACTACACATGTTAAATATACCAGTGTGAACAGTGTGCTTTTGAGAAGTGTTATATCCCTTTTGTTGATTTAAGTTGAATATACCCAAAAGTCTGCAGAGTTAATGTGAATATACAACTTTACAGTATCAACAGGAATGGTATCATTCTTCAGAATGGTAAACACATGTAATTTTCCTTTTATCATATATACATAAGGAAAATATGAACAAAATCAAAGGAATTATTATTCCTTCAGAATGAGCTTATCATGAATTCAATGTTAATACAGAGACATTTTTGGGGGACTTTGTTTAACGTCACTCCAACACAGTATAGGTCATATTGCGACTTTCCGGCTTTACTGGGAGAAAGACCTCAGGTGCCCCTGTGTGCAGTATTTCAGGCATAAACGGGCACCGGAGTAGAACCACAGACCTTCTGTAAGCTAGCTGTATAGCTTCCTCATATGGAGGAATCCAAAGTCCCTGTCGGGACAGACATGTCAAAGCAACTTAAGCAATATAGATAATCAAACCAGTGATACATATTCTTCAGTTGAAAATGACCATATATTCATCAGAAAACTTAATAAAGAAATACATGTTATGGCTGCTATACAAAGACAAAACATTATATGATAAGAAAATGTTAGTGAAATTTTACAGCTGATTCTAACACGACCCGCATTTTCCCTATTGAACATAGAAGAACCGAAAGTGTGTGTTATTATGCAACAGATGCACAGTTTGACGTTCTATATTTAGACATGTGACGTAATCATTATACACGTGACGTAACCACTAAAAATCTGACGCGCTGACAATAAGTTCAGGAACAAATCGGGCTCAATTTTGCTTAACTATCAAGTACCGCAACATTTATTTGTTAATGTCGTGTTAGAATCGAAATAATATATCCAAATCAGTGATTTTATCGCTTGATTACATCACTGTTTGTCGTTCGGATGGGCATCATTATATCAGTTGGGCTACGCCCTCGTGATATAATTCCTCGCATACCAACTCCAAACAGTGATGTTATTGAGCGATTAAATCACTGTTTGGGCTATATTATTTCTTAATTAACATTAAAATCATAATAATAAATACATTATATAAATAACAAGCTCAGATAGAAACCAGATAACATAATATTTATAGATGAGTGATCTACACTTTTGTTTGACAAATTTCTACTCTTAATCTCAGAATACATAACACATAAACCATTCATCTTATACCTCTGTGACTCTTTTACATTCATCATTTGTACTTTCTTCATGATGAGCTAAATGTAAGTCTAGATTCATTCCTATTGGTTTCTTAGAGAATGGTTTTGGCTGATTGGAAACATTATTATCCTTCGTGGAATTAGTTTCAGTGTGTGTCAAAGATACCGCAGTCATGTCATCCCTATTTACTTGTCTTGTTACAGAAGTATTAACAGGTAATTTTTCTGTGGAATTAGAGTTAACCAAATCTGTTTCAGGTGTAACTAATGAATGTTCACTTTTTTCTTCGTTAGTACTAGATCCCAATTTTTCAGAAAAATGGGTCACAGTAGGAAGTGGCCTGGAAATGTTTTTCTCTTCTTTATGGTCTGTTTCAGAAAATAGTGCATTCAAAGACTTAAGTGAGGGTGAAGAAGTATTTTTTCTTGTTTTTAATTCAGAATCTTCACTGTTGCTGGCAGGTTGCTCCAATGTTTTAAGAGAGGGAGATGATATTGATGGTGACATTGTTCTTCGTCGTGCAACAAACTTGGCAAGAGCTTCAGCATGTGTTGGACTATAGGATTTGTCTCCCTTGTTCAAATCTTTGTCAGAATGGCTCTTTTTTGTTTTCACTGCTGACTTCTGGAACATTTCACCAACATTTCTACCATTCAACTGTGGTGAATTATCCATAGGAAAACTGCTGCGACCTTTGCTTCTTTTTTTATCTTCAAGCTTCAGAGCTTTAAATGTTTCATTTAAATCATCATCACCACTTATAACTGCTGGTTTGTCACTAGAATGCAGTAATTTGATTTCTTCAACAGATTGTGTGACTTCGGTATCTCTCCCAAGTATCATCTCTTTCATTTTAACAGACTCTTTATCTGCTTCTTTGCTGACATGAGGGAAATTTCCATCAATCTCATCAAATGCTTCTCCATCTAGATCAGGTGACCCAGACAAATTCTTTCTCTTTTCTATTTTCTTCTTGTTACCTTCACTTGATCTATCAGTCCTAGCTTGTTTAGGTGAAGGGCTTTGAGCTAATTTAACAGATTCTACTCTGACTTTTTTAGCACGTTGCCCTTCATCAGACACTATAATGTCTGTCTGTATTCCTGTATCTTTTAACTTTGTCTTTTCTGTTTCTGTTGCAAAAAAGAAATGAAAATTTATTAAATGAGAAAATAAGTAAGCTGCAAAGCATTAAAAATTTATCTCAATACTTCATAGACAATGTTTCTTTGTCAACAATAAAGGAATAACTTTGAAGAAAAAAATTGGATAACAAGAATCAGTCAAGACTGCCAAACCTGAGAAAAGTTATAAAAAAATTCATTTAACCTTTTACCGCATGAGCATATTGTGAAAAATGTCCGTTTTCACTGAAAAGCCTCCTGTTACTAGTTCAAACTGCTATGAAATTATGAAAAATGCTTCAATACTGATGAAACTTGGCACAAATGTTGACTGTTGAGATAGAGTAAAAGTCTTTTCAGAGCGTTGGTTACACGTTACCTTAAGATTGACCTGAGGCAATTTTTGGCCTATAACATGTTCAAAAATTTCTTGGCGATGAGGGGGGCTACTGCCACCTTTCATGGCAACCTCTTGATGTACCTTTTTAATAGGGGGTGGCGCGGAAAAAGTGATCACTTTTTTAACAACATTTCTCAAATGAAAAACCGTGTTAGGGGCCTAAATAGTGCATTTTTTACTGTTTGAGGCAAAAGAAGGGGGGGGGGGGGCGGCGAAACGTCGTCATAACACGTCTATTTGAGGTAAAAGGTTAAATACAACAAAGGGCTATCACCTCAAAAAGTACTCAGTTTGTATATGACAGCTATTTACACCTGAAATTTCAAGTTGATAACTCTAAACACTTTGTGACAAAAAAGTGTAAAAATTGGCTTAAAAAGAATGATGTGACTTTTTATTATTCTTGTGCACTGCACTCCTCCTTAATAAGAACAAGATCTACCTACCAATAAAGTATCAAGTTGATACTTAAAACACTTTTTGCTATGTTCTGGACAAAGCATGAAAAATTATGAAGGGCAATAACTCAAAAATTATTAAAATGAGACTAATCATTCTTGTGTACTCCATTCTTAATATGATCTATTCACCTGTGAAGTTTCAAGTTGATATCTCATATATATGCTCCAAACAATAATGAAAATGAAAAAAAAATACAAAAAAACCACAACAAAGGGCAATACCTTAAAAGCAATAAAGGGAATACTTATTATTATTGTTTCAATTTGATATTTCAAATACTTTTTGAGTTACACTCCTGAGAAAAATGTGGGACCGTAGGACGAATGGAGACTATAAACATACCATGCTGCCTATTTGGCAAATGTTTCATACGATATAGGAAATGGTTGACAGCCTGATATGAGCCCTGAGAAGGAAATTTGCCTGGATGCTATAACCTTAGGCCATGTTCCAGAGTAGGCATTATGCAATTATGCCATGTTCCAAAGATGAGATTATGCAAGTACACTTTACCTTCGTCTCAATAAGCTTCTGACTGAACCTTTTATCTTATTTTCTTATGTATAAATGTTTGGATCTAATCATCTTAACCCTAAGCCTGCTGGCAGCAACAGATTCTTACCATGTGACCAGGCAGTGCACGTGTGTTGGCAGATCATGGTCTGCACTGTTCAATATTCAGTTGGTACATATTTTGAGCATTTTTACCCAGATTGAAAGACGGACAAGTCTATTCACGATTTAGCCTTATAAGGTTATAAGCCTATAATTTGTCTTACTTGGTGTTTCACATTGCCAGTAGAGTGTCTGGATAGTATTAGTGACTGGTTGAGTGTCCATGTCCCAGTTTGGCATCTCAGTATGTGACATATGGAAGGTCTGTAGACATTCAGGTATATCAAAAGACAAGACTGCTCTCAGTTGTACACATGTGTCCTTCATTAACTAATATATAAAAACATTCATCAAAGTACAATGTATATTATAATGTAATATTCTATACAATTTAAACTGCCATTTACCAATAGCAAGCAGTAATAAAATTGTAGAGTTAAAAGTTAAATAGCAAATTTTCAAGATTATGTAACATAGTTACATTAAAAAATGATGGGGATATTTAATTATATCAAAGTAATTAATAGTTTCCAGCAAAAGAAACAAGAGCCACCCTTAAGCAGGGACAACACTAGCCTTTTTCGTATTTCAAAGGCAAATACATCAGAAGAACGTTGTAGTTTTCAAAGAAACATATTTTTGTGTACAGAAATACAGATTATTATTCAACATGTCAATGTTGCCATTAGTGTTTCCTTTATCAAAGTATGAATCAAATCTGTCCATTAATAACAAAGAAATGGCAATTTGAGCAAAATTCAATAACTTGACCATGTAGGTCAAGATGAAATTAAGGTCAAGATCAAACTTTAAATAATTCAACATTTTGGTTTGGTAATTTATGACTTGCATTGCTTCACTTCACATAAAATATATTTGTATATTTAAATATACAAAAGATGGATATTCAAATAATTAAACCATATATATAAACATTGAAACATGTACTAATTCATACTATCTCATGAAGTATAACATAAAAATCACCTTTAACTGAAGAGTAGGATTTTTTGTGTTACGTATGTTAGACAGTTTTTTCATCAGTTCTTGTATGTTAGTCTTGACAGCACGACATTTTTCAAGTTCAACAGTAACTGGTAGCTGCCTTGTTTGCATTTCATTATCCAGTGTATGCTGTAAAGTAATATCAGAATTATTAGTTTATACAGAAAGTTTTTTCACTGCAATAAGCTTCTAAACAAACACTTGAATCTGTCCATAGAACCATCAGTATTCAACAAATGTAAAGTTTCATGATCAAGGAAACAATGGATTGCTCTTATGGGGCCAGCAATCCCTAACTACTAGACCTAAGCCACAATACATGTACAAGTATTATTTACTTAAACATTTCAAATAAATGTAATTATGATAAATGCTAATTTTTGTAAAAATGAAGTTTATAATCAGGACCATAAATTATATTGGTAAAGAAATTCTTAGTAATTAATGTATGAATTATGATTAGATAAGACCTTGAGCTAAAATTCCATATTTATAGCCTAAAGTCTTTTTATATCCAATAATGACATTATATCTAACAAGTAAACTTTAGCCTCCTGGGCTGTGGAAATACCAATTTTTCCCCTGTCAAAAGGCAAGTGTATTTATAGGTGTTCTTTTTCTGGTTACTTCCCTTGGATTGAGCTAATTCACAAGGAATGCTATTTTAATTTTAAAGTTTTGCTTTTTCGAGGTGTAAATTGGACAATATCTTTCAAAGTTAAACTTTACAAAATAATTTTGTGAGACGTTTTTATGTGATATTTTTAAGTACAATGTACTTTACTTTCATATGAATTATATTGCAATTTTATATTTGGTAAATACAAAAATAAATAAGACGAAAGTATACATATACAAAATGTTTATATGAGCCGCGTCATGACAAAACCAAAACCAACATAGTGGGTTTGCGACTAGCATGGATCCACACCAGCCTGTGCCTCAGTGCAGTCTGATCAGGATCCATCCTGTTCGCTATCAGTTTCTCTACTTGTTATAGGGTTTGTAAGCAAACAGCATGGATCCTGATCAGACTGCGTGGATGCGCAGGCTGGTCTGGATCGATCCTGGTCGCAAATCCATTATGTTGGTTTTGTCATGGCGCGGCTCATATACATATACATGATAAGTAAAATCAACATTAGAAATTTAAGAAAAAAAACTAGCAATGTGTCCATAGGACACGGGTGCCCCCACACTCCACTTTTTTGTCAATCTTATGACTTTAAGTCAAATATTTTTTAGGCTACATGTGCCACAAGTTAAAAACTAAAAATCGTTTACTAAGTCAATGACAAGAACTTGACAAATACTGAATAAATCCACAAGCAAACCTCATGGTGCATAAGTACATGGCTGACCAACATTCTTGTAAACTTTCAGACCATAGGTCAAATATTTTTTGAGTTATGCATGAACAAGTTGAAAATTGCAAATTTATACTAAGTGAGGGGCAATAACTTAACAAAACTGAAAAAAAATCCACATGCAAAACCCCAGGTGCATAGCTTCACAGTGATGTTGATCATTATTCCTGTAAAGTTGGTTGATTCTAACTCAAGCACTCGAGGAACAAATAACACAACATAATGGAACAGTTTTCACTAAGTCAAGGGCAATAAATCTGACAAAACAGAATAAATCCACAAGTGAAACCCCAGGTGCACAACTTCACATGCTGAGCAACATTCCTGTAAAGTTTCATGACACTAGATCAAATACTTTTTGAGTTACGTGCGACACAAGTTGAAAATTGTAAATTTTTACTAAGTCAGGGGCAATAACTCTAAAAATACTAAATAAATCCAGAAGAAAATACCCAGGTGCACAACTTCACATGCTGATCAACATTTCTATAAAGTTGTATGACACTAGGTCTTTTTTGAGTTACGTGCAAAACAAGTAAAAAATTGTAAATTTTTACTAAGTCAAGGGTAATAACTCTAAAAATATTAAATATATCCACACGAAAACACCCAGGTGCACAACTACACATGCTGATCAACATTTCTATAAAGTTTCAAGACTCTAGGTCAAATACTTTTTGAGCTATGTGCGACACAAAAGAGAACGGACAGACGGACGGAAGGACGGACAGACTCGCAAAGTGGTACTTATGTGACTTTTCCTTTGATCTTTTTGGCCATTTTTAGTCACACAAGGCTTAAAAAAAGACACACAAGTAAAAACGGAATGAATAGGATCAAAGAGAATTTACTGTTACCCACGGTAAATCTAAATGCCCCCCCCCCCCCCCCCCCACACACACACAAAAAAAAAAATTTATGGTTCTTCCTTTTAGTTTAAGACTTTTGACAGATACATGTATATGGTCCAGTATATATCGTTGTAAATATATTCAACCAAACCCATCATTCAGGCATTCACAACCATATTTGAAAAGGGGTGATCTCTCGGAAACATGAACATTAAAATTGAAGACTCTGTTTGATTTAGTCTGTTTATGAAAATCTTTTTAACTTGAAAATCCCACACAATTCGTCGCCCTAATTCCATAATGATGTAAGTCGTGTTTTTACCATTTTGAGAAAATCGACTTCAAAGTTTTAACAGGCTATATCTTCACACTTACTCAACCAATTTTAATATAAAATATATCATAGAGTGCAGAATTATTTTAACTGTTACACTTTTAATTACGAAGAAGTTCCTGTAGATAGTTATTTTGAAAATCAAAATTAAAAAAATTAAAAATCACTGAAAAATATATTTTATTGACAAAAATACGAGAACCATAATGCTGTATTCAGTTACAGCAATGTGACCCTAAAATATCATTGACATTTAGGAGTTACAACAGTGTGAAATAATGACTATTTAACTGTTTTATACTGAAATTATATTAAATTTAGACGTAACTAGAAATTGAATGCTTTAACGAATAGTCTAGATCCACATTTATTTAGGCACCACAGAGCATGGAATGTAATCAGGATCAAAACAGTAAATTTAGTCTTAAAAGTCAATCATAGAAATCCAGACAATGCGGTGAAGTGTGAATAGCCACGAACAGGCATTTTAAGGTTGAAATTGAACTCGGGCTTCATTATCTTATGACCATTTACATGAAATAATGAGCCTTGCAAATAAACAAAAAAATAAGATATTACTGATTTGTAAATGTATCACATTGAGTTAAAACAAAACGAAAACAAAATTTAGAAACATCGTCATTGTATTGATATTTACCACATTAAATAGCAAAACTTTTATCATATGATATGCTATTTTTACATTAAGACTGTACACTATAAAATATTTGGAATTCAGATTTACTTTTGGTTTCGTTTATTATATCATTAATTCATTCCAAATTCAATTTTGAATACCTGTAGCTTGCAGACAAACAGCATGTTGAACATAATTTGACTTACAAAACACACAAAAATGTTTGAAAGATGTAACTGCTTAAGCTTTGAAAAACAACATCAACAATGAGTTCCTTTCTCTGTAACATAAAAAAGAATAAACCTATGTATTTTACTTTTCTAAGAACAGCATTACTTAATGTTTTGTTTTCAAAAAAATGAAAAATATGAAACACAACTCAAAGCTCACAAATTTTCAAAGATGCTACAGATCTGGATATGGTGTTTCAATGAACTACTGTACTTCAATTACTACATGTATTTATATATAAAGTGGCATACAACTTCTTTACATACAATAACAATTAAGTATACGTTTGCTTTTAATGTTTTTAACTGAACTGTTTACATCAATAACTCATTCGTATAAAAGCAATGCTCAATATCTAAGAGTTTCAGTCAAATATTAATTCTATTTTACTTCAACAAACGTTTGATGAAACAAATATGACAATTTAAAGATTTCTTAATGTTTTTATATGGTCTTAAGACTTTGTAACATTTCTTCACAAAATCATTCTTTTCTACGTTTCAATCGAATGAAAATTTTTAACCATACATTTTTTTCTTTTTAAAAAATAGTTTTTGTAATGGATAATTTTCAGTTCAAAGGTTAATTCAAATCACTTGATAATAACAGGTAGAACTAGACCTATCACTGAAGGTGATTAATACCCCCACCAGCAACTTTGAATTTTGAAAAAAAAGTAGACTGAAGAAAAATTTGAACAAAAACTATCAACTGTGTACAAAGAAATATTTCAATTAATTGTAATCACAACTGGGGTCTTGAAATAAGCTTGCTATACACCAAGTTTGATTACAATATCTCATTCCTAACTCTAGTTATTGTCCGAAAACCATTTTTCTATTTTTAATAACACTATAACGGTGACCTTGACCCTAGGGGGTCCAAATGCACTACCAACCCAGGTCTTCATATAAGCTTCCTATACACCAAATAAGATTATAATATCTCATTCCTAACTCTAGTTATTGTCCGAAAAGCATTTTTCTATTTTTTCGTAACGGTGACCTTAACCTTGACCCCAGGGGGTTCAAATGCAATACCAACCAAAGTCTTCATATAAGCTTGCTAAACACCAAGTTTGATAACAATATCTCATTCCTAACTCTAGTTATTGTCCGGAAACCATTTTTCTATTTTTAGTAACACTCTAACGGTGACCTTGACCCTAGGGGGTCCAAATGCAATACCAACCAAGGTCTTCATATAAGCTTTCTTTACACCAAATTAGATTACAATATCTCATTCCTAACTCTAGTTATTGTCCGAAAACCATTTTTCTATTTTTCCTAACGGTGACCTTGACCCCAGGGGGTTCAAATGAAAAACCAACCCAGGTCTTCATATAAGCTTGCTATATGCCAAGTTTGATAACAATATCTCAATCCTAACTTTAGTTATTGTCCGGAAACCATTTTTCTATTTTAGTAACGGTGACCTTGACCTTGACCCCAGGGGGTCCAAATGCAATACCAACCCAGGTCTTCATATAAGCTTGCTATACACCGAGTTTGATTACAGTATCTCATTCCTAAGTCAAGTTATTGTCCGGAAACCATTTTTCTATTTTTAGTAACAGTGACCTTGACCTTGACCCCAGAGGGCCCAAATGCAATACCAACCCAGGTCTTCATATAAGCTTGCTATACGCCAAGTTTGATAACAATATCTCATTCCTAACTCTAGCTATTGTCCGGAAACCATTTTTTCTATTTTTAGTAACAGTGACCTTGACCTTGACCCAAGAGGGCCCAAATGCAATACCAAACCCAGGTCTTCATATAAGCTTGCTATACGCCAAGTTTGATAACAATATCTCATTCCTAACTCTAGCTATTGTCCGGAAACCATTTTTTCTATTTTTAGTAACAGTGACCTTGACCTTGACCCAAGAGGGCCCAAATGCAATACCAAACCCAGGTCTTCATATAAGCTTGCTATACGCCAAGTTTGATAACAATATCTCATTCCTAACTCTAGCTATTGTCCGGAAACCATTTTTCTATTTTTAGTAATGGTGACCTTGACCTTGACCCCAGGGGGTCCAAATGCAATACCAACCCAGGTCTTCATATAAGCTTGCTATATACCAAGTTTGATAACAATATCTCATTCCCAACTCTAGCTATTGTCCGGAAACCATTTTTCTATTTTTAGTAACGGTGACCTTGACCTTGACCCCAGGGGGTCCAAATGCAATACCAACCCAGGTCTTCATATAAGCTTGCTATATGCCAAGTTTGATAACAATATCTCATTCCTAACTCTAGCTATTGTCCGGAAACCATTTTTCTATTTTTAGTAACGGTGACCTTGACCTTGACCCCAGGGGGTCCAAATGCAATACCAACCGGAGTTTCCACATAAGGTTGCTATATACCAAGTTTGATTACAATACCTCATTCCAAACTCTAGTTATCGTCCGGAAACCATGATGTGGACCGACCGACGGACCGACGGACCGACCGACTGACAAGCTGACTCCTATATACCCCCCCTTAACTTCGTTTGTGGGGGTATAATTACCTTACGAGTTGGAAGTAGATGTACAAGAATTATTTTTAACTTAGAAACTTAGATTAATTTTGCTTTGCATGTTCCAATTACATAATAAATTTCAGCATAAGATTGAAAATGATTATGTTGACAAAAAGGTATAGACTTACACCCTGATTTATGCAAAATAGCTGAGTAGGTGGCATTTTGTTTAATAAGTATTTGTTGTGCAAATGACGTCTCTTATTCAACGCTAAATGGTGCATCTGAGACAACTCTCAGCTTTTAAACTTTTGTTATAGGGATATTGTCAACTTTAACCCACCATATAGTCTTTGACGTTTGGACGTACTGTTTTAAGAACACAAACGAGTGATGTAGGACTGAACACTTCTGCCATTTTAAAAGTGTTTTGTCTTTCTTTCTATATGACAGTGGGTATTGTTAACCACTCTGGATTGCATAATGCCTTGGACAGCAAAACTTTTGATATTTTTGTGATCGTTATATGAAAGTGCAGAATTTTGAAATTATGAAAATTATGAAATTATGAATTATGAAATAAACATGAAGTAAACACCACCTAATTTAACATCAGTTATGAGTGGTAAAGTTATATGTGTAAATTTTATTCGAATCACTTAGCACCAGTACGGTAATTTGTCTTATATAGTTAAAGACAAAATGTAACAATGGCAGTAGTATGTTTCTCATTTGATGAGTTTTGTTTGTAAGTTAAAAGTATAAACAATCTAATGCAAAACCTGTACGTATTTAATCTGAATATGTACAATGTAACATTGATCAACCAATCATATAATCAATCACATATCAAGTTATGAACAGCTGATACTTGTGAATATTGAAAGTTTGTATCATTTTATCCGATTTCCATGCTATCCAAATTTCATAACACAGCATGGTGCTTTGAATTTAGCTCAAGTTTTAAGAGTAGTTATTATTTATTTTTAAGGTTTGAAACAGTTCAATAAAATATTAATATATAGATAATTAGATAACATCTAAAGCAAAACACTTACATGTTATCAAGAAACATAAAACGTAAAATGTTATTCCTGATACCTTGAAAAATCTGCCATTTTGTCAAAATAGCATCACGTGACTAGAATCTTAACAAACTATTGGTTAAGAAGTTACGATATTATGGACTGTATTTTTACCACAATTTTTGGACTTACAGCACTCTGACCCATTCAATATATTGTTACAGGCAAGAACCAGAGTGATGTTGTTTTTACCATTAGACAGAGCAAAAAATTACGAACATTTTGATACCAAACACTCATTTTTTTCAAAATTGGAGTTACAACACTCTGGAATTAGGGCGACGAATTGCCTTTTTTTAAAATAGTTACAGCAGTATTGTATGAAATTAATACAATATACAATTAGAATCAAAGTTAGGTAGTTTTAAAAATTTTCTAAAATTTTCTGCAAAATGCCGAATAATTTTTCCCCGATTTAATTAAGCCAGGGGCATTTTCCCAAGTAACTAGAAAGGCCTTGCTTAAAGGTATTATGATATACCAAATGATCACTGAAAAAAAAATTTACTTTCAGTTGCTCTTGTTGCTGACGAATGAGAGACATCAATAATGATATTTGGTGTTCTAGTCTTTTGCTAACATGTTCTTGATTATCCTGTCAATATAAAAAGTTACACATATACACATATAAGATAAGTAACTTCATGTAATTGCTATTAAATATGTTCTTCATAAACATTAAGTTTAACATCTGGATGTTGCATGTACATATTTATAACTCTTAAAAGTAGAATTTTTTTTTCAATTTATAGCATAGAGTCAGTAAAGTTTTGGTTCTTCTGTCCGGTATGAGATATATTCTGATTACTTAATGATGCTGTGAGCCAAAGTTCAAGCTGTGAAAACAAGAAGTTGTGTTAATGAAACAAAATCTATATAACACATTTTAAATTTTTTCTTTTTAATTTTTAAAACTCAAAAACAATTTTTACATTAACCAACATTTATTTCACAATTGAGCATGAAAACATATGCTTAAAAACTATCAAAAACAAGAGCCCGGTTTGAGCTGGGTGATGCTCCCCAAGTAGGTTTTGGACACAGGAAAGTACACCTCTTGTAGTTACAGAGTTAATATGTCCCTGGAAAAAGGTTCAAAGTGCAATAATTCCAAAATAAGGCAAGGCAGAGTTATTGTTCCTTGCACTGCACTTCTAATCAATGCGATCTATCAACCTACAAAGTTTCTTGTTGATACCTCTTATGGTTTCCGAGTTATGTCCCGGACAAAGTTCAAAATGTAAAAATGAACAAAGGGCAATAACTACAAAATTTGGCAAGGCAGAGTTCAAGTTCTTGTGCACTGCACATCTACCCATTGAGATCCATCTACCTACAAAGTTTCATGTTGATATCTCTTGTAGTTTTAGAGTTATTTCCCGGACAAGATTTTTTTAAAAGGGGAGATAATTCAAAAATTGGGCAAAACAGAGTTATGTTTTTTTTTGTACTGCACTTTTACTCAATGAGATCTATCTACCAACAAAGGTTCATGTTGATATCTCTTATAATTTTAGAGTAATGTCCCAGACAAAGTTCAAAGAGTAAAAATAAACAAAGGGCAATAACACCAATATTAGGCAAGGCAGAGTTATGATTCTTGTGCACTGCACATCTACCCATTGAGATATATCTACCTACAAAGTTTCATGTTGATATCTCTTATAGTTTTACAGCTATGTCCTGGACAAGATTTTTCCAAAAGGGGAGATAATTAAAAAATGAGACTTAACAGAGTTATGGTTCTTTTGCACTGCACTTCTACTCAATGAGATCTATCTACCTACAATATTTCATCTTGATATCTCTTATAGTTTTAGCGTTATGTTCCAGACAAAGTTCAAAGTGTTAAAATTAACAAAATTAACTCCAAAATTAGGTGAAAAAGAGTTATGGTTCTTGTGCACTGCACATCTACCCATTGAGATCTATTCACCTACAAAGTTTCATGTTGATATCTCTTATAGTTTTAGAGTTATGTCCCGGACAAGATTTTTCTATAAGGGGAGATAATTCAAAAACCAGGCAAAAAGAGTTATGGTTCTTTAACACTGCACTCCCCCTCAATGCCCTCTACCACAGTATGAAGTTTAAAAAAATTATCTCTAAGGGTTTTCAAGTTATGCTCCGGACAAGACAACGGCCGGACGTTCTCACAGGACAGTAATTATGTGGCTACTCTATTGTTCTCTCTATTGTTCTTTTTAGCCACGCAAAAGAAAATAGCCACATAAAAGCATTACGGAATGAATGACATCAAAGAGAAAGAACAGTTACCTATTGTCCCTCTAGCCACATAATTACTCTCCTGTGAGTGCGGACAGACAGACGGACGGACGTTCTCACAAAATGGTACTTAAGTGACTTTTCCTTTGATCTTTTTGGCCATTTTTAGTCACACAAGGCTTAAAAAAAGACACACAAGTAAAAACGGAATAAATAGGATCAAAGAGAATTTACTGTTACCCATTGTTCTCTAAGTCACACAAGTACCTCTGGGTTCGTAAGGACAGACGGACAAGGTGGCGACTATATGCTCTCCCTTCGGGAAGCATAAAAACATTGGAAAGATAATTATTGAAATGTACCTGTATTCCACATAGAATACCTTCAAGTTGATTTATCTTATCATTTAATGGTATCAATTCCTTCTTTAACTTTGTCAAAACATCTGCCACCTCTGTCTGCAACAAACATACAAGACGCTGTCTTTTTCTATTCAATAAATTTATTATATGCTTACAACAAAAATGTCAAGGCAGCAATTTGTTCATTCATACTTCAAAAATAAATTTCTGTTAGTTTTATGAGCAATCCTACTTGATTTAAAATGGGGTGAACATTTTGTTATTTCTAACAGTTGAGAGACCTCAGGAGTAGCTGCACACAGACATTTAAACATGTGCAACCTTCATTGTATATTTCTTTATGTTTGTTCAACAACATGTACATCAAGTTTTATTAAAAATTCAGAATTATATAGCTTTGGATGAATGCACCAAAACAATATACCGTAAAATTCCTAATAAACGCCCCTCCCCTAATAAAAGCCCCCCCCCCCCGGCTTTTTAATGTGGAAAAAAATCTGCTCATGAGTGGTGAACTCTTTAATAAATCCGTATTTTTATTCAAATCCTTCAGAATCCATTTTATTTCATAGTAAACACCAAAATGTATCACATGAACTTTAAAATCTGAACACATTTTAATGTTATTACCAACCCATGTTACACTAAATGTATTTTCAATGATTTTTGGATTTAGGAAAAACGTGTTGTAATAATAGCCCCCCTTTTGGAAAATGTTTAGCCCCCAGGGGCGTTTAATAGGAATTTTACGGTACTTCTTTTTTTTTTACAGGCTCTAGCATACATTTATAGCTTTGCTCTCACCTGATATGATATTGCTGCATGTTTTAAAGAACCAACTCTGTGTTTAGCCTTGTATGACTGATGATTAAATCTTTCACATTGTACACAAATAGAGACACTGCAACTATCACAGAATCTATCCTCTGTTTTATCATGCATTTTACATATAGTTGGTGTAACTTCCAGGTCAGTATTCCATGAACTGTCAAATACATCAACTGGTGAACAAGTTTTATATAATTCTACAATACTTTCCAAAGCTTTATTTGACATTAAACCCTCTTTAGTAACTCTGTTGATACTTATTGGTGCTTGGCAAATTGGACAATTGAACGAGTTGGGCGGACCGATACTTATAAAACTGAAGTGCATTCCATTTTCTATTATTCCGTAGACACACTCCTTGCAGAAGTTATGACCACATGTTAACATAACTGGTGATTTAAATAATTCAAGACAAATTCCACAGATTAATTCTCCATCTATTCTTTGCATCAATGTTGTTGTGAAACTCCCAGAGTTCCCTGCCGCAGAAGCCATTTTGTTTTGGTTATTACATGTACATATGTCCAAAACTTTTTGTCAGTGCATCTGTTTCAACCTATAAATAGAATATAGATATTGTAACTTTTATTGTTTCTTCTCAAATTTGAAATAGAATAAACATTGTGACTGAATGGAAATTAAAACATTATTAAGATAATCCTTCAATGTTTCCTGTTGTAACTTATACATATGTGACTAAGGGTTTTCTCTGAAGTTAAGATCCTTAAATGTCCTTAAACTTAATGTGGGCAAAAAGAATCACTGTCTCATTTATTGCCTGTTTATTAAAATTTTGTTAAATGTCCTTAAACTGGGCAAAAGTATCAATGTATCATTTATTTCATTTCTATCTAATTTTCATTCAATGTGTATAGTTTATTACAAGCAAAAGCACCAGTCCTGTTGCCTCTATAAACACATTAAAAGATATATTGCAACAAGCTTATGTGATTCACCTTGTATTAATTCTTGAGATGAAGTAGAAGCATTTACCCTCAAACTGATTTATTTCCTTATCAGACTGGATTTAGCCAGTTTCAGATTATCATTACATGACATATTATACGTCAAAAATATTTGAGTCAACATTTTTTTGTCATATTAATAATGGCTTTACTTACAATTAATGCAGCAGTCATATAAATACAATAGAGATCTCTTGAAATCTTGATCTATTACTCTCAAATTATTTTTGAAACCATGCAAAAATTATTAAGCGAGCCGGAGGTAAATTCAACCAGCTACATGATGCTGTAGAGATTATACAATGTACAAATGTAGGTATAGGCCACTTCCAACATCCTTACTGTTAAAGCAGCAGGCCTCCATATTAATGGTTATTTTCATGAAAAGGGCTAGGTTCAGCAAGAAAAATTGCCCTGTGTCAGAAATTTATCAAATTTCAGTAAAAGTTCATATTTTTGTGCTTAATCAGAAACAAGAACACACTTTGCGATTATTTTATTTATTTGGTTACCATAGCAACCAAGCTAAATTCAGCATTTTTTTCAGTTTCTAACATGTTTCGGTCTCATAATATTGTTTTTTTTATTCTCAAATACGCCAACTTATTTTCCTTCCAGCTTTTGTAAGGTTGGTGTTGATATTAAAGCACTAAATGAATTCATTAACGAAAAATTCCATGGTAACTTAAACAATTTTAATATCTTTGACACTGCAAAACAGCGAAATTTACAGAATTGCTTACATTATTGCAATTTGGACTATTGTTAATTTTATCAAATGAATAAACTGTAAGCTCTTAGTACAATGGTAGATTTAACATATTTTTTGCACAATATGGAATGTGATTGTTTCGATGGTCACAATGTTGCTATGGAAATATGAACAAGTTTTACAAACTTGACATATTTTCGAAGCATAGAGGAATTATAACAGATATGGCGGCATTTAACCATGACCATACTTTTTTTTTTAAACATTTGAGTGTATTGTCTTCATACTTGGCGACAACAATCTTTGGGACAGGACCTTTAAGTAGACTAGACTAAACTTGACCTTTATTTATAAATGACCTTGACCTTTAAGGTCAATTGTCTATATTTGGCTTTTATTTTTTTTCTTATTTTTGCTATAAGTAGCTATTTCTTTGTTAATTTTAAATGAATTATCTTCTAACTTAAACACAATAATCTTTTAGGATAGAATCGCAAGCTAACTAGACAAGACATTGACCTTCTATCATAAATGACCTTGATCTTGAAGGACAAATATTATTTGTTTTTGTATCAGACTTTAACTTTGTTATTTATAAATGGATTAACTTCATATTTAGAAATAACATCTTCTAACTAAGGACCTTCATGAATATTAAACTCAAATTGACGTTGACTCATTTTTGACCTTGAAGGTCAAATTATAGAATTTTCACTACTTATATATATTGCTTTAATTGACTGTAACTTGCTTATTAATCAATGGAATATCTTCATACTTGGAAAAGTCCATCTTATTGGCTGAACTGCATTGACCTTGAGTTTTCAATGATATTGACCGTCAAGGTCATACAATTGAATTATGGTTAAGTTGTCATAATTTTGTTATTTATCTACAGATTTGTATCATACAACACTTGTGACCAAACGGACATGTTGAATGATTTAGATATGACCGTGACCGTCGTATGATTGATTTTTTATTATAATTTCTTTTTTCATTTTATTTATGGAAATCATTCATACTTGAACAAAACAACAAGTATTACTAGACAGATCTTTCAAGCTTTGAAAAAAAGGAACAACACTTTTTTATTTATTTTTCTTTTTAAAGATTTGTTTAAACCATTTATTTGTCTGCTTTTAGAAAAAGTATAAAAGTCAAGCGTGCCCCACTAGCTCTTGTTTCACAAAGTTTAATGTAAATACTTAATAATTCACATGGTCACCATATTCAATGTATTGAACCTTTACAAATAATGCATTTGATTTTCAGAAGTTTTCACTCTTGGTTTAGGACATAAAAATTCAGTTCTATGATTTGAGGAAAAGTGAGAAAAATATTTAGAAGAAATTCAAAAGAAAGAGGTTACACTATTTTAGAGAGTTGACGATTAAAGCAGCATGCCTCCATTGAAATATAGTTGCATATAATTAAAAAAATAACCATTAATCACCCATAACATGTTAATTATTACTCGAATCTTGAATCTTTCTACTTTTCCTAAAGTTTAGTAAATTTTTCTCAAGTTTGAATTTATCAAAATATTTTCACTCATGAGGCATGCTGCTTTAAAATATTATAACCCTTTAGCAATGTGACTGATTTATGACAATCATCACTGTTCAAGTCAATATTAAGTGATAAAGATGTAAAAGCATCAGAAAAGATTTGCCATGACGAGGATCAAAACTTACATGATAAAATGATAATGCTCAGCTCTAAAGCATTGATTCCCTAAAGTGTACTTATATACATGTAAATAGGTAGGTGCATGCACTCAACTCAGAGTCAACTGTTTCATTCAAATAAAATGGGGTACATCTGATTACCACAAAGGTAGAGCATTGAACTGTGAATCTGGCAACCCTGGTTTGATTCTTGGAGGCAGGTCACTCGTTTAGTCTCAATATTTCGACTGCAAGACCGACCGATTTTATAACCTGATTTTTCATAGATGTCTGTCTTCGAAAGGGCGATCATCATCTATATAATAAAAATCACTAAAGCGCACAATTTGTTGGGCTAGTCACTCGTTGTGATTGATCATGAAATACTTTTAATGGTCATTCGCGCTGCACCTCTGCTATTGCAAGGTATAGGGAACAATAGGGCTGTGGCCCAGTGTTGGGTTCTTGTAAATTATAATCCTCTTATCCGGTTCTAGGACAAAAATGTATATTTTTGGTCCCAGTCCGATTAGGCCTACTGTATCATGCTAGTATGAAATTGGAATAAAATGAAAGTACACCAGTTTATATGAACGTTTGTTATGCGTCCTTTGTCTGTTATGCTAGATATCGACGCAATAAAAATAGAATCAATTACACTTATAGTTTACTACATGGTATTCTAAATATTAGAACATCTTTTATTTGAGAAATAAAATTAATAATTTTACATGTAAACATCTTCGGATTTTCCCAAATTTCCCTCCACTTTCGGTTTGAAATCAGACTGGCTCAAATTTTTGTCTGATTCGTAAACCAGTCAAATGTCAAAATTCGTGTTTTTCCGTGAATATTCGGAACGCATTCGCAACTTCCGCTAATCAATAAAAGTTAATGTAAACAGTGTAAACAGAGAGTCTGGGATGGCAAAGCCAAAGAAATTTGTGAATTCTGTCTTTGAGAATTTTGATTCTACCGATGATGTGTGTGCAGAATGTTTTGATGCATATGACGAGGATAGGTATGTCATTTGCGTTTTATTAAGGACGTATAATGAAATGATAAATTACATGTTTCAGGTGTTTTTAAGTTTCTTACCTTTATTAAAATTATATATTTAGAACGATAGATTTTATTGCCTAGAATTAAAAAGAGTCACTAAACGTGACAAGTCAGAATAAGATATTTACAGAAAAACATAGGTAATTTCTGTTTAAGAAATTAAAAACAGTTTGTTTATCAATCCCAAATTAAGTAGCCAGTGCACCTACAGGTCTTGACATCCTGTTCGTCTGTCTTGTCATTAATTGTAAATTATCATAAAATGATATTCAGTGATCATCAAGAACTACATTACTTTCCGGCACCAGTTTACTAAACATCATTTATAGATCAAACAAGTCTACTGTGCCAAAAAATATGCTGTGTACAACATATTATTCCTTGTAAAGATAATAATATACAGTATGTAGTTGTAAATGGGTGCATGATAGTAATTATGTTCTTGATGATCATCAGGGATTATTTGATGATATTTTTACCATTATTGGCAAGTCAAATGAGCCAGTAGACTAAAATATGAGAACTACAGGCTGTTATAGTCAAAATATATTGACATGCCAAAGCTAGATTCTGATATACATTGTGTATTTTTGTTTTGGGTCAGAATCCACAGACGCTTGGGGGTCAGATCCTGCCCCCCAACGTGATACGCCCCTGTAAACACTCTGTCAAAAATATTTTAATATTTAAACACGAATGGGACATCTGCTACAACGATACAACTGGTTTTCGATCAATTTTTACATATCTGAAAAAATTACCTTTTACCATCAAGTCTCAATAAAGTACTTTATTGAGACTTGATGATAAAAGGTAATTTTTTCAGAGTGTTTACAGGGGCGTATCACGTTGGGGGGCAGGATCTGACCCCCAAGCGTCTGTGTCAGAATCTCACTTCTAGAGGGGAAATGTTTCACATACACAAAATATCTCATCGTGTAGTACACTTACTTGGACTACAGCTGTTATAGTTTGTTTGCTCTGTGCAGAATAAAAAATATCACTATAAGCGTTACATCTTCATACTTTGTAGGACAAATGAGCCAAATGCCTTTTGAGCTGGCTGAGGTAAAAGCTTAACAATAGTGGTCATTATGATAATTATATCTAACTATTAACATGATATTTTTATGCACCAGTCATTTGTTACATCAGACACTTGCTTTGCCATTGTAAACTATTCTGTAACTTTTTAACACAAATATTGGGCATCTTTCATAACTTTTGGTTTTCAACAAAAATAGCAGGGGATTAGCTTAAAAAGCACTAGATTTTACCATTTAATTAAATGGCTTTGGGCAAGGTTGAGAATTAATTATGGCATGTGTGATAATTGAAAGGCACATCCATGGTAAGGAAGAGTATGGCAGATAACATGTTGTGCATTAAACATAGACAAATTGTGCCAGTGTATTAAACAGGATGGACAGTGCCCTAAATCATAGCCTAGTTTTCCCATTTTATCCAGTCTGATTGCTAATCTTTGTCCATGTGAATCCATGCATGATTTATGTCATCGTATAGCAAGAAATTCATGTATGCCTAGGCTTCTGCTTAATGATTTGGAGGTTTTGAAAAATTCATTTGGTGGTAATACTATTTTATAAAATAAAAAAATGTACAATTCTAAATAAAAGAAAAACATATTTGCACAAAGTATGAATGGAAAATAATACACACTAGTTAAAAGTTCTTAAACATTGAAGGAATAATAAAATTGTGAATGATACTTATTTTAATATATTTTTAGGACCAATGAAAGCTGTATGCACTTATCGATGATTGAATTTATTAGCCCTTTTCACTTTTCAAGTCCAGGGAATATTGCATGTTTCAGAGTGTTGGGTTTTTTTTTCTGATTACAGAGATGGAGTCTTAAATTATGCTGAATGTTCAAAATTGATCAGTGACTCGCTGCAGTCAAAGACATACAGTCTCACAGAGGAGCACAAAGAACGCATTTTTTCACTTCTAGATGAAGATAAGGTATGTAATATATAGTATAGAAGTATACATAATAAATCTTATACTGTTCCATGAAATCAGCCAAAACATACTTTACCATTTCATGTAATCAGCCCAAACATTTTTACAATTACATATAATCAGCCAAACATACTTTACCATTACATGTAATCAGCCAAAACATTCTTAACCCTAACATGTAATCAGCCCAAACATTATTTACTATTACATGTAATCAGCCCAAACATTCTTTACCATTACATGTAATCAGCCCAAACATTCTTTACCATTACATGTAATCAGCCCAAACAATTTACCGTCACATGTAATCAGCCAAACATTCTTTACCATTACATGTTATCAGCCCACACATTCTTACATATACTCAGCTAAATTTACATTACCATTACATGTAAACACCCAAACAATCTTTATTATTACATATACCCAGCCAAACATTCTTTAGCATTACTTGTAATCACCCAAACTTTTTTTTTTTTTTTTTTTTTGAGGCCCCAACTGGGTAACCCCGTTTATTTACCCCGTAATAGGTATGAGAGGGTCGGGGTCATCCCTCTGATACCTTACATGATATCTACGTCATAATATTTAAATCATCATCTATAATAATATTTTTTATATAATTATAATATACTAAAACATTCAATCAAATTTCATATAATATGTATAACAATTATGTATGATAATGTATTTTGCAACAGCTTCAAAACAAACAAAGAATATTGGTTTGGGGTAAATTGATTTAGTGTAGCCTATTAGTTTATTAAAGTTCTTACAATTTGCCATCCTTCATTTACATGTTTGGTCAAATTTGTATTTTTGTAAATATTCCACGCCAATTTAAGACTATTTTTAAAACCAGGTATTGTAGGTAACACGATTTTTTTCTTTGACAAATAAATATCATCCAAACTTACTTTACCATTGCATGTAATCACCCAAACAATCTTTATCATTACATATACTCAGCCAAACTTACTTTACCATTACATGTAATCACCCAAACAATCTTTATTATTACATATACCCAGCCAAACATTCTTTAGCATTACTTGTAATCACCCAAACCTACTTTACCATTATATGCAATCACCCAAATTTACTTTAACATTACATTTAATCTACCAAACATTTTTTATCATTATATGTAATCTGCTCAAACTTACCTTACCATTACATGTAATCATCCAAACTTACTTTAAATTACAATGTACATGTAATCAGCCAAACATATAACATGTTATCAGCCCTTTTATACTATTGATATAATTACTTTTGTATAATGTACCATTACGTGTAATTAGTCCCTTCATATTAAATGTACCAATATGATAAATTGTGTACATATACATGTACCATTACATGTAATCATCACTTTCATACTAAAAATTAATGTAATTAATTGTATTCATTTTATGTAATTAATTGTATTTATTATGTATTATTACATGTTATCAGCCCCTTTGTACTTCCAATATAATAAATTGTGTATAATTATGTACCTCTAGCATTACATGAACCGCAGTGATTGACAATCATTCAATGTGAAGTGAAAGATTGATATCCTAGCAGTCATTCTTCTTTATATGAAAATATTTAAGTGGAGAAGTTGGCCATTATTTGAGAAGATCAAGTCAATGCAGTAAAGCTTATCAGTGCATTGTCTGCTAAAGCATTACATTGAGAAAGATTTAAATAGATGATGTGTGTGTGTGTGACAATAAAATTGTTTTGTTAAAAAAGCTCCGAAAAAATGTGTTTATAGATTTAAAATTTGATTTTAATTTCAGGATGGTTTGATATGCCAAGAAGATTTTCGAAGATGTGGATATTACTGGTTAAAGCAGGTAATCTTGAAAAAGTAACATATATCAGAAGACATGTAATTTATATTTCTAGAATTTTCAGGTTCAATTTGAATGCTTAATAGTTTATTATTTGTTTTGACTTTAAAGTCATAAGTACAATCTGTTGCAATGCAAAACTTACCTCTGGTAACTGAGGGGTTACCTTTAACAGTTGATGAATCAAAACTGTAGTCTTTGTTTTTCCCTGCATGAACTTAAAATGCTACTATTTTATAAAAATGAGATTAGCCAAATCGCCTTTACTGTTTCGGTGCCATAATTATGATCTACCGGTAAAGTGTGTTTGTGTGCTGTAAAACTAAACTTAAACAAACAAAAAACAAGCAGGCAAAAAGTCTCACAATCATGGCATTAAATTTTAAGATATTTAAAGGATTTTACTGAGGTTTTTTGACATAACAGGACTGGATTTTTTTTTTTGAGATTTTTATACCATTTGATGTAGGTCTACAATATTAACTTGTGTACAAAATTTTATTCACTCTCTGACCTAAAAAATGAAAAAGGTTTGAAATAAGGCTATGAATTACATTAAATATTGATCTTTAGTTTAATTCAGAGTATATTTCTTTATTTTTCTGTTTTTAGTGCCCCTGTTGTTCTATGTGAGAATATCAAACATTTGGACCTCAGTGGAGCTCCTTTTATTTTCAAAGACACATCTAAAAAGTACATGTACTTAAATAGAAGTTATTCTTAAAAATTCAACAAAATCAAGTTGACAGTCTGATACAAAATAAAACAGAAATGAAGCTGCCTTGTTGCTTGGTTTTTCTTCAATGAAGGGATGTAAAACAATAACTTTAGAAGCCTCAATATATATAATTAGATATTTAAGTTTGACAGATGCTTATATAATAAATTGTTTTCATACTAAATCAGAAGTCAATTAATATAACATAGATATTTCTGGTTAAAGAAAGCAAAATCTTCCATGTAGTTTGTGTAAATTTAGCTAACATACCAAGCAAAACTAGGATGTGTAAAACCAAAGTTACCAAGCAACTCTTGCAATAATAAATTATGTCAATGCTGATATATCTTCAATATTTCAAGTTATGTTATAGAATACAGCAACAGTTTGAACATTTTTATTATCACAAAACTTATTATTTTAATTGTATTGTTACCACTTCTAGCTCTAAGGTCAGCCCCTTACTTGTGTCCTGGGGTTTTGAATCTCGTTGTGGATGTAACAATGTTCCATGTGGGAATGCTACAGTTAGCATAAAAATAGGTCAGTAAGTTCTACTGGTAGTGATGGCCCTTGACTAACATAATACATATAATACACTTGTGTGCCTTAGTTCTTTCCATTACTAGTGAAGCTGGCAAGTTGCCATATTGTGTTGATGTGACTCAAACCTTCTACCTCCCACTCCCCACCCCTATTGTCCATCTTCCCACCGAAAAAACAACCCAAATTACCACTTACATTATTTTACTAATGCATATATTTGGCGTAAAATAACAAAGTGTTCATTAATAATATATGAAGTAAACATTTTGACCAACGGGATAGGTGTTTATCAATAGAACATGGAAAATAATATCTTTAAAAATTCTTATTTGATCGTTAAATTAATACATGTCTTTGGTTTCAAAGCTAAGTGAAAGTTTAAATATAAAATAGATACATAATACAAACAATGGTAGTGTATGTGTGTCATATCAAATTGATTAATCTTTGATTTAAAATAGAGTGTTTCTTTACCAGTTATTTACTTAGCATGGAAATAAATAATTTATTAACAAATAAATGGATCTGTCAAACAATAGAAACGAGACCGGAATTCTGTCGTCTCAGTACTGACAATGTGTTAATCAATAGTCGTCTTTGATCAATCGACAGTTTACGTAATTTCTTGTTATGAACAAGCTGTATATAGAACATTTTATACAACATTTTATTTTGGTGTAACAGTAGTGTCAGATACTCTAACAGAATTGTAATAAAATAGATACAATGATGTAGAAATAGCTAACATTGTAATGTCTTAGATAGTCGCACACTCTGTATTTGTTTGCAACCTGTTTGTCTATATAACTGGTACAAATATCCATTATCTGTATGATGACATCAAGTATATGATGTCACCAAAAGAATTTTCTTTTGATAATTCCAATATTTGAATTAAAATGACCATTCAGATGCTAATAAGGAATCTAAGTAAACAATGTGTTTTAAGAAAAGCTAATATTACATTTACTTGCAAAGGTGCTAAAATACCATTCAACATCCTAAAATGCCTTTAAAGAAGCTGAAATGCCTCCAAATAAGTTAAAATATAATGAACAAGCTTAAAAAAATAGCATTTAGAAAGCCTTTTATATAAGAAGACATTAAAATGCCTTTTATAAAAGAAGACAAATGTGTCTTTAAGGATGCCATTAATGTATTTATATAACATTTCTTCATAGAAGAGCACACATTTTAAGAATATGATATTCCCTTACTTTTGCTAGGACTGAAAGTGACCTGAATAGATCTAGAGCTTAGCAAACAGGCTGACCAACTATTGCTTCAAACCTTCATCTTACTATCGGTCTTTTTGTAGTACAGATAATGGACAGTTCCAAAAATGGAAGCAAGCTGGACAAGTCCATTTAAAAATTTCAGTATATACTTGATGAAGTTGTAACTGTCATGTTAAATTGCAGATTGAGTTTAAGAATAATGTTTTCTATTTCCTGCAAGTTAAATATGTTCAGACTTTAACATTAAATCAGGTACAAGAAATGTTTATTATCGATTCTGTTTCAGTTATCTGGTACTAAATCATAATTACCTAGTTTTCATTTATTGATGTACTATTTTTGAAATTGCTGTGATTGATTGATTTATTGATTGATTTTTTTTATTAGGTTTAAGATGTCTGCAATGGGGTCATTAAGTGTAAAAAGGTTAAAAGGAAATGTTTTCTAAGACTTTGTTGAACAGAATTGATCACCTGGTATGGAAAATCGTTGGTTTAAGATTTAAGGGATTAAAAAAATGACATTGTTGAGTGGCAAATTTCCAGTAGGTTTAGTCTACAGTGATTTGACAATATAGTAATAGATTCATTCTTTACCAGACAAATAAGTACATGTACAGAAATAATTATTACTGGGTTTTTTTGGACTATGGGCAACTCAAGTTTTATGTTTTATGTATATTAAATGGCCAGACAATAAAATCCAAAGTCAAAATAAGGTTCAGTTTCTAATAGGGAATATGTCAATATTCTGCTCTCTGAATTTTGAAGCTTACTGTTCAAATAGTGTTCATTTTATTAATTTTTTATTTATCTATTAAGGTTACACATTAACATTACACAGTAACATGGACTTTTCTGGCATGCTTACAGATTTGTTCTATAAATACATTTCAGGTAGAAATATAGTAAATAAGAGAACTCTGTAATCAGTAACATAATTTAAAGTCAATATATAATAATCAATGGCAGGTACAACAATTACCCCTTACCCAGCTGGCCACAACTGTGCAGTCTGACCAGGTTCTATACTGTTGACTGACCAACCTTCAGTTTTCATTTTGATAATGGTAAGGTCCTGAAATTCGAGAAATAAAACAGGAGAAAGAGTGCCAATCAATTATGAATTAAATATTTAAACATTTAATATGTTATTTCACAATTAAACACATTTGATTTTTAAAAGACAATGAATTTATTTTCAAAAAGTTTTTAAAAAACCAACTCCCTCAACTTTAATATTTTCACCAGTTTATTTTTTATTACAAATGGTCCATGATGCTATTTCACTTTCACTCACTGTCTGTCACAAAGTAGGACAACAAGTCAGAGAATTCTTCCTTAAAGGGACTCCACTGAGGTTTTATGACATGTCCACAGGACTAGAGATAACTTTGTGAGATCTATGTTCCATTTGATGTACGTCTTGACCAATATCAACTTTTGTGCAATATTTCAGATCATTCGCTCACTCTGTTTTTCCTGAATAATTGTTTTAATCATAAAAATGACCCAAAATTGGGTGACGAATAGCACAAAATATACAATTTTCAATGTATTCTGTTTATATTTCTTAATTATATTTTGCATATCTTTAAGAGTTTTTTAAGTTTTAAGAGCCCCAATTATATGTAAAAAATCAAATTATAGTTATATTTCAGTTATATTTTTATGCTTTTGAACCTCCATGGAGTTCCTTTATTAGTAAGTTGATATATCTAATATAACATGATTGTATGGGCAATTATGACTTCATGTAAGTAGTCTGTATTATAGGTTGAAAAGTAAACCAGCATGTCTTAAGGTGAAATATACCAGTCATTATAATCTAGGCTTAAATTCACAGTTTATTTAGAGGTTTACATATAATAAAAATTTCTGACTGAAAATTTGGCAATTGTCTTCATGTTTAAGAGATTAAGTTTTAAATAAACTAGAAAATCTGTTTTCATACTAATATACTGCCAGTGTACTGTCTTACAATTTTAGAACTATTAAACCTTGCTCCTTGATCTCATTGTTATTTATACTTTGATTGTTACTTAATAAGTGTTTTTCATGTACTTGTGGTAAATAAACATCTTTCTAGTGAAGGCTATTAAAAAAGAATATAGGAATATAGGGAAGCACAAGCTGTAAATCTTTAAAAATGGGTTCAAAACCTGCAAAGGTAAATACATAATTATGTTTTCATTTTCTAAAGTTATTTTTCAGTATATTACATTTGTATTCTAGCAGAGAACACTTATATTACATTTAAGCCTTATATTATTAGTTATAAAGAATTTTGACAGGTTATATGACCCTATAAAACGGGTTGTTTGTATATAGCAGCTCAGGTTATATTGCAAACAACCATTATTATATGGCCATATTACCTGCCAAGAATCTTTATACAGTTGTTTGTATATAGTGGCCCAGGTCATTTTGCAAACCTCTGTTTATATACGGCCATATAAGTTTCTTCAAAAATCGACAGCATCCATGTATATAAAACTATATAAACGTCACAAATATCTAATGAAAAGTGACATTAGAAATGTGCAGTATTGCAAATATATGTAACTCAAATTTTTCAAATGGACTCTCCCGGCTTCCATTTATGGGACTGTCCAGTATCAATTTTAGGGATTTTTGTAAATTTTAAATGGATAAGCAGAACTTGGCCTGTTTTAGTAAAAAAGAAAGTAAGGGTTTCTTTAAAAATTGATCACATTCAGGGATATATGACAATTAAATGTCACGATTATAAGTTATTAAAATTTGCACAAAAAATATATTGTAACATAATTTCTCAAATGAACTATTTCTACATATTTTGATACAATAGTTTCTCCTATCACTGAATGCCTTAGGGAATAAATTTGATATATATTTAGTCTCTGGAACAAGTCTTCTTTAAAAAAAAAAGAAAAAAAAGAGGTGTTGCTTTAAAGTCTCATGTATTATACAAAAATTGGGTAAGATGAAAGAATACTTGTATTTATTGAGACTTTGGACTTAATTTCTTCCGGAAAAACAGTTCCAACAATTTTGCAATCATCCAATTATCAATTACATTGGTAAGTGCTTTAATCCCAAAACTCAAAAGTAGCAAATAATACCCGTGTATCTGTTTATTTTTAGACTCTTAAGCCAGTGTCTGCAATCATAATCATAGATGTACAGAATGACTTCATTAATGGTTCACTAGCGCTACAGAATTGCCCAGCAGGTCACGATGGAGTGGAAGTTGTTCCTGTTATCAACCATATACTAGACACTATACCATTTGATCTGGTTGTGTACACGAAGGACTGGCATCCTGACAACCATATCTCATTTATAGAGAATGTAAAACAGAGACCTATTACTACATCATGCAAGGTATACACTGTTGTCTTCCATATATTAAGCTGAGTGCTAATCCAGATGAGCCAAATTAAAGATTTCAAGCAAATATTTGAGATTTGAAATTGAGATAAAGAATCTAAAATTTTAAGAAATATAAAAATATTCACAATTCAAGTAATGATTTGTAAACATATTATATGCAATGAATGGTTGATTTAGCAGTATTTATCACCATATTTTTACTGCATGACTAATGCAGTAAGGACTATTTTTTCATATTTTGAGTATATTTGGCAATTAACATGGATTGAAAGTGTCAATTGCAATGTGTGAAGTATTTTCTTTGTTCACTTGACAATATTTTACTTTTAAATACATTTTATGAAAAATAGAATGAATGAATGAATAGCATAAAAAAGCATAAGCTGTCAAGGTCAGGAAGAAGAAAATCATAAAATCAAGAATATTATATAAACATTAAACCCATTTGGAATTGTCAATTTAAAGAGAGTTCAATATCAAAATACAAAAATCTAGCTACAAACAGTGTACAACTTGGTCACACTGCAACAAAGTGCAGGCTGTCCTAACAACATTGTATATCATTCTACACTTGTGACAAAGCCTACTCACAGTCCCAGCAGATTAAAGGTTTATGCAATGTACCTTTAAAAATGTAAGTTATATGTTTCATGCAAAATATGATATATATGCTGTTTATTTCAACATTATCACCATATTTTCTGCCCCATCTGCATAATCAAGGTAATACTGCCGTTAGCATATGTTATTTGTACACTTGAAAAGCATTTTTATATCCCCAAAAATTCTTAGTGACATATTATGTATGGCGTTGTCTTTCCCTTCGTGCGTAGACATTTTGTTTCCACAGGATAACTTTTGAAAGTTATCTATGACTGTTTTCATAAATGGCATGTAAGTATGTTACTTAAGTTCGATTTTCACTGCAATGGTCATATTATTGATATCGTTATTCGCCTTTTAACTTAAAAATTTTGTGAAATTATTGGTTTCCACAAGATTTCAATGATACCTTTTCTAGAGTTTGCTATCAAGCGTATATTTTGAAATTTCTATACACAAAAACATTAATCTAGAGGCATGCTAGTTTATGTTTGTGATCCATGTCTAAAAAAGTACATTATCATTTCTTTCATTGAGGGAACATTTTTAACCATAATTATGTACACGGTATCCATGTAATAGGACTTCTGTAAAGAATTTTTGTATCATCTCAGTTTTGAAAAATGATATCTAACAAGAGTTATTAACTTGCCCCTCAAAAGTATGTTTAAACTTATGTTAGTTGGTAAACTTGTTAATGAATTTTGTGTAATGTATTTGCCCTGTTTTGAATTTGGAATTGTCCATTTAAAGTCTCGAGGATTTTATTATTGAGCTACTAACAGTACAGTATAGAGCCTGGTCAGACTACATGGTAGTTCTGGCTGGCCTGACTGTGTACTGATAGCCAAGGCTTGTTTTAGTTCTAGCATGTTAAGGGTTAACTAGTTTAAGTATAATTTTGTTGAAATTTGTTACAGATAAAAGCAGAAGAGGCCAAAGTATATGATACTGTGGAGTTTGATGGTCCACCTAAAACAGAGCAGAAATTGTGGCCTAAACATTGTGTAAATGGTACATGGGGTTCTGAACTTCACCCAGATCTGAAGGTTGGTAATTGTGTGTTAATCATACATAATCATATGCATCATAATGTTTTGTAATATCCTGAGTATGATGGGAAGTGTCAAAGGTCTAGAGTTTTAATGACTGGTCTTCTTCATCACCAACACAGTGGAAATATGGAAATAATGAGTGTATGTCTCAGTTTAAATTAAAACAAGCCCCCAAATTATGTTGAATGTATGTGAGGTAGAAATTAATCAAGCAATCAAAAATTTTCTTTTTCTAAAACCGGGGTAGGGCCCTTTTACTTCATTTGACCCCTTACCATTAAATATCTTAAATTGTTTGAAGCGGGTTGGGGGGCTGGGGGATTTTGCACTTTTTCAGATCCCTCATGTACAGACCAATCAAACCAATTCTGCAATTTTCTTGAAATTTTTTGTGATTAATGTTTCCGGGGGATACTTTTTTTTCCAGTTTTTTGCCCATTTTTAAATCGGACAAAAAATTCTTTAACCCCCAAAACAAAGTTTAGGGGGATTAGGATCAGCTTTGTTGGTTCGGGTCGGCGGTCCACATCAGGGTTCCGGACGAAAACATAGAGTTTGGGGAATGAGGTATTGTAATCAAACTTGGTATAGGACTAAGCAACCTTATGTGGAAAACTCCAGTTGGTATCGCATTTGGACCCCCGGGGTCAAGGTCAAAGGTCACCATTACTAAAAATAGAAAAAAGGTTTCCGGACAATATCTAAGAGTTAAGAATGAGATATATGTTATCAAAACTTGGCATTTTAGCAAGCTTATATGAAGACCTGGCTTGGTATTGGCATTTGGGCCCTCTGGGGTCAGGTCAAGGTCACTGTTACTAAAAATAGAAAAATGGTTTTGCCGGACAATAACTTGACTTAGGAATGAGAATTGTAATCAAACTTGGTGTATGCAAGCTTATATGAAGGCCTTGGTTGGTATTGCATTTGGACCCCCAGGGGTCAAGGTCACCGTTACTAAAAATAGAAAAATGGTTTCTGACAATAGCTAGAGTTAGGAATGAGATATTGTTATCAAACTTGGCATATAGCAAGCTTATATGAAGACCTGGGTTGGTATTGCATTTGGACCCCCGGGGGTCAAGGTCACCATTACTAAAAATAGAAAAATGGTTTCCTTACAATAACTAGAATTAGGAATGAGATATTGTAATCTAATTTGGTGTAAAGGAAGCATATATTGAAGACCTGGGTTGGTTATTGCATCTGGACCCCCTAGGGTCAAGGTCACCGTTACAGTGTTACTAAAAAATAGAAAAAATGGTTTCCGGACAATAACTAGAGTTAGGAAATGAGATATTTATCAAACTTGGCGTTTAGCAAGTTATATGAAGACTTGGCTGTATTGAGCATTTAGGCCCCCTGGGGTCAAGGTCACCATTACGAAAAAATAGAAAAATGGTTTTCGGACAATAACTAGAGTTAGGAATGAGATATTGTAATCTAATTTGGTGTATAGGAAGCTTATATGAAGACCTGGGTTGGTATTGCATTTGGACCCCCTAGGGTCAAGGTCACTGTTACAGTGTTACTAAAAATAGAAAAATGGTTTCCGGACAATAACTAGAGTTAGGAATGAGATATTGTTATCAAACTTGGCGTTTAGCAAGTTTATATGAAGACTTTGGCTGGTATTGCCATTTAGGCCCCCTGGGGTCAAGGTCACCTTTACGAAAAAATAGAAAAATGGTTTCGGACAATAACTAGAGTTAGAATGAGATATTGTAATCTAATTTGGTGTATAGGAAGCTTATATGAAGACCTGGGTTGGTATTGCATTTGGACCCCCTAGGGTCAAGGTCACTGCTACAGTGTTACTAAAAATAGAAAAATGGTTTCCGGACAGTTTGTGTTCAAATGTTTCTTCAGACTACTTTTTTTCTTCAAAAAGTCAAAGTTGCTGGTGGGGGTATTAATCACCTTCAGTGATAGGTCTAGTTTATTTTAGAGGAAAATAAAAGAAAATACTGACTGAATTGGTCTGCACTGGTTGCATAGGTAGATATAGTCAATGCTAGCAGGCCAAGATCTATACATGCATGTTTATCTGTTATGATTTGTTCGCAATATTGTGTAATTGGTCCCTATTTGTCAAAATTAAAACAGTTACCAGCTATGTCAAAAATAACTCCTGTTTTTTCTGTATGTTAACATTTACTTCCCTTTATTTGTTGTTTATTTCATATTTGACAGATAGTAGAGGGCGCTTCTTATGTTAACAAAGGTTGTCATTCTGAAGTAGACAGTTACTCGGCTTTCTGGGATAACAACAAACTTACACAAACAGATCTTGTGCGAATTTTAGCCAAACATAAAGTAACTGATGTGTATGTCTGTGGTGTAGCATATGACGTCTGTGTAGGTTAGTACAGTTTTTGCTTATAAATGTTTGTTTGCCAGCAAAGGTTATTATATAAAAGCATTACATCTGTCATGAATTGGTTCTTTGGTACTACTGTTAAAATCTTGACTAGACCTTAAAAATCTAAAACTCTTCACATATATTCAGTTTGAAAACTTGGACATGTACAGTTTCGTAACTGTACTCAAGCCTAAAATGTTTGATGTACAAGTACAGCAACACTTAACAACTACAAACTTTTCTTCCCATGGCAGCTTTTGCTTATACACTTAACTAATGAAATTAATGTTGATACAATAGTAATTTTTTAAATTTTTGCTGCTGTAACTTTACAGTAATTTTGTAACATTATGATATGAAAGTTCTTATATTTAGGTTTCACAGCTTTTCACTCACTAGAGCATGGATTTCGTACAGTTCTCATTGATGATGCATGTAGAGGTGTTGACAATGATGCAATAGAGGAGACAAAGAGAAAACTCATGGAATCAGGGGGAATCATTGTACACTCATCAAAGGTAAAAATAAATCCTAGAGAACCACAAAGTTTTAAAAAATCTGACTCTTACCCTGCAGGAACCAACTGTTATTGTTAAGAAGAATTCAAATTATCCTTGTTCTCTGTTTCAGAAATCAGTGTTAATATGTAAGAATTGAGATAATGATTGTCTCTTTTTTTGTCAGTGGTTAAAATATTTGCTTATTTTACAGATGTGCAAATAATTTAAACTCATGAGTTTACTATTCCATCATTCAGATTTTGCCTATATTTCAGTAACTGATAGAACATTAATTTTGACAATTATTTTGTTGGAATAAGAAACATTTGACAATAATCTTTTTGGAGTAAGAAAAGTTTGATTATAATTTTGATGGATTAAGAAAATTTTGACAATAATTTTGTTGGAATAAGACACGTTTACAATAATCTTGTTGGAATAAGAAAGGTTTGTCAATAATTTTTTTGGAATAAGAAATGTTTGACCATAAATATGTTGGAATAAGAAATGTTTGACAATTATTTTGTTGGAATAAGAAACGTTTGACAATAATTTTGTTGGAATAAGAAATGTTTGACAATAATTTTGTTGGAATAAGAAACGTTTGACAATAATCTTGTTGTAATAAGAAACGTTGACAATAGTTTTGTTGGAATAAGAAATGTTTGACAATAATTTTGTTGGAATAAGAAATGTTTGACAATAATCTTGCTGGAATAAGAAACGTTGACAATAATTTTGTTGGAATAAGAAACGTTTGACAATAATTTTGTTGGAATAAGAAATGTTTGACAATAATTTTGTTGGAATAAGAAATGTTTGACAATAATCTTGTTGGAATAAGAAATGTTTGACAATAATTTTGTTGGAATAAGAAATGTTTGACAATAATTTTGTTGGAATAAGAAATGTTTGACAATAATCTTGCTGGAATAAGAAACGTTGACAATAATTTTGTTGGAATAAGAAATGTTTGACAATAATTTTGTTAAAATTTCAGGTAAAAGCAATAGTAACAGGGGAAGATAGACCGTCAGCTCTTGGTCTGCAAACAGCTAAAAATGTAGCACTGGCACGGGAACTTGTTAACAGAGGCATTGTGAAATAATTATATAATGATGACAGCTCCAGTAGATATTAATTGTGTCTTGTTGATATGTCATGTAAATCTTTTATAAATATGTATATTTACAAGTATTTGTAAGTTGTTATGGAAACAGGATTTACCTATTCTACCCAAGTGCATACAATAGAATTTTTGGCCTTATTGATGAACAATATTTTATTATTAATTATTAAGTTCTCTTTGTGTTATTTAAAAACATCTTTATAAATATATAATGTTTTTATATAAAAGTTGAACATATGATCTGATACTATATATTGCAAGTGTTCTACAGTTTTAATCATCATTAAGAAAAAAATCTGAAATATTTTTGAACATTTGTGTTTGATGATGCAACAGAAAGATATTTAAACCCTTTGTTTAATTTTTAACCAGGTTTTTCCGAAGGAAAAAAACTGGTTATTAGATTGAGGTATGTCGCGGGCGGGCGGGCGGGCGGATGGGCGGACGGCGGGCGTAAACAATTTCTTCTGTGCGCAACTCCTCCTACATTTCTCAACGGATTTTGACCAAACTTTCACAGAAGCTTTGTCATCAAGTGCCCTGGCGCATATTGTCGGGGTTTTGCGATTAGATAATATTTGACCTAATTATGGCCCTTTGTTTTTTTTTCCTTATATAAAATATATAGTGAACAATTTCTTCTGTGCGCAACTCCTCCTACATTTCTCAACGGATTTTGACCAAACTTTCTCAGAAGCTTTGTCATCAAGTGCCCTGACACATATTGCCAGGGTTTTGCGATTGGTATATATTTGACCTAATTATGGCCCTTTGTTTTTTTTCCTTATATAGAATATATAGTGAACAATTTCTTCTGTGCGCAACTCCTCCTACATTTCTCAACGGATTTTGACCAAACTTTTACAGAAGCTTTGTCATCAAGTGCCCTGGCGCATATTGTCGGGGTTTTGTGATTGGATAATATTTGACCTTATTATGGCCCTTTGTTTTTTTTTCCTTATCTAGAATATATAGTGAACAATTTCTTCTGTGCGCAACTCCTCCTACATTTCTCAACGGATTTTGACCAAACTTTCTCAGAAGCTTTGTCATCAAGTGCCCTGACACATATTGCCAGGGTTTTGCGATTGGTATATATTTGACCTAATTATGGCCCTTTTTTTTTTTTCCTTATATAGAATATATAGTGAACAATTTCTTCTGTGCGCAACTCCTCCTACATTTCTCAACGGATTTTGACCAAACTTTCACAGAAGCTTTGTTATCAAGTGCCCTGGCGCATATTGTCGGGGTTTTGTGATTGGATAATATTTGACCGAATTATGGCCCTTTGTATATTTTTTCCTTATACAGAATATATAGAGAACAATTTCTTCTGTGCTCAACTCCTCCTACATTTCTCAACGGATTTTGACCAAACTTTCTTAGAAGCTTTGTTTTCAAGTGCCTGGCACATATTGTCGGGTTTTTGTGATTGGATAATATTTGACCGAATTATGGCCCTTTGTATATTTTTCCTTATACAGAATATATAGTGAACAATTTCTACAGTGCGCAACTTCTCCTACATTTCTCAATGGATTTTGACCAAACTTTCACAGAAGCTTTGTCATCAAGTGCCCTGGCGCTCACTAAATTCCCATGTTTCTTCCAAGACATCATTCAAGTATTTTTTTAAAATTGTGAACATACTTTTTCTTGATATCGCACAAAACACCACACGCCAATATTGTTGACAAAAGAAAATGACAAGAGACGCAAAAATGTAAAAATTAAGCAAAAATAAAGTACTGTTTACCTTTCTAAAACATTTGGGAAAAAAAGGCGAATAGACAACATAAAATTTCTCAATCATTTTTGTTTGAGGAATATTAAAAAAGCCATAATTCCTCCTAAAAGTTCAATTAAAAACAAATGCCCCTTCATGACAAAGCTTCTGTGAAATATTTTGCTGAAAACCTGGTTGCATCGCATTGCGATGTTCCTTGTTTATATTACGCAGATAATTTCACATATATGTTAACACAATAAACATAATTATTTATTATTGAATATGAACCTATATTTTGAAGAATGATTAATTATGATCCAATGTGCATAAACTAATCTAAAGTTTTGAATTTTGAAATAAGTTGTATTATTCTTAAATATGGAAAGTCTTGAAATGTTATTTAATATAATCTTTTTGTGGGTGTTCTAGGCACTGTTTATATGTAATACCCATTCAAGTGATTAAATTTGGTTTGTGAAATCTTGTGTAGTACAAATTGTTTGTGTTCATACAATGTCCAAAGATTTAAAACTTTGTATAAACACCAGTCTGCTTACTGATAACCCTTTACCTGCTGGAACTGAAAGTGGTTAGCCTTTACCAAATTACCATCAGTATAGACCCAGGCCAGCTAGCGCATCCATGTAGTCTGACCAGGCTCTATACTGGTGGTAGCTACATTTTTGTATTCTGATATTGAAATCCATTACACTTTGAGTAGATTGTATCAAAAACAGGACAAATTCAGTAGGTTAAGGGTTGAAGAAAAAAATGAGCATAACATTGCATTATTTCTTGTTTTATAATGATTGATAAAATAGTCTGATAGACTGGTATTTACCCAAGGTTTTATACTTGGCTACAGTCTACTTCTCTAGTCAAGTTATCTTTATCATTTTGTCAAAGTTTCATTTTCCTATCAAATTACAGGGAAAAAAATCAGATCAGATCAAAACTTTTTGTATTTTTATTTGTTTTATGCTAATATTTATGTAGCAATCTCACTGATAATTACTAGTCAGTTATCCAGGACAGCTCATTTGGTGGTCCTACTGGCGAGATATGATCGGTTTAAACATATTTATTTAAGCTCGATTGCGAAATATGATCAAAAAAGTGTTTTAATTTGCATAAATATAAACAAAACAATGATGTAATCAATGTGTGGTATAAGATACTAGTTTTCAGTCTAGATTGTAAATAACTTCAGTAAGATAAGTAAGAAACGAAATGGGAGAACAACAGATTAAAACATAGATTTTGTGACTTATATTTTATGAAATTATTTGTTTCTTAATTTCATTACCTGCTTAGGTTCAGAATTTAGATATACAGTTCTCTAATTGATGCAAAAAAAACTGTACACTTTTTGCCTATATTACTAAAAATATTAGAAAAAATCTATTTATAGAAAGATCTGGCTCAGACATTTAATCTCATAACATTACTTTTCTTTATTTTGCATGAGAAGGTAGATTGTAAAATGTTATATACATGTATATTATTATGTGATATGAATTTTATGTATGCACTAATTATTTGTTTAATGAACACCCCATTTGTCATACAATGACCCCTGCATGTTAGATATCACCCATTTTCCCCTGTCAAAAATAAGGAGTTTTCAAATTACAGTTTTACAAACAGGACTTATGATTTCAACACTCCTTTTCATAATAGCTTATAAATTATCAACCATGGGTGTTGACCATTTCAGGATAACACTGTAATACTGAAAAAGTACAAATGAAATATACTGTAGTGTGTAATTAAGATTTTAGGATAATTATGGAACATTTAGACTTCACATAGGTATTGGAAATAATGGTACATGACTAAATAATCTTGTTTTTGTTAATTTTCTCTGAAATTTCCAAGTATAATTGACATTGTTTGAAATACTGTTGGTTGAGAATCAATTTTTCCAAAAGACCCCTGAATATCTTTTTAGGGCATGGGTGTCAGAAGGGACATTTATATATATATTGTGAAATGAACATTTTTTGAAGATTATATACATATATTTTCTGTGATATTGTAACAAATATAATAATAATATATATATAACTTTACTTTTTGTTTAAACATATTTGCTTCTTGACCAATTTTCAATATTTTCTAGGAAAAGTACAAATTATAAAGGAAAGCAAATACATGTACATTAAAACACTCTGGGCTTATAAGTTTAGGTGGGCATATAAGTTTCAGAAAACTGCAATTACAGGCCCAGAGTTCACAAATATGTTATGTAACATTGTCCAGTTAGCACTTGACTTACAATAAATTATTGTTCTATTTGGGTTTGATTGTTAAAAAATACATTTCAAATACTAAGATATTTGCTAGTTACATCAACCATGCCAGTTGGGGCCCTGGGGTCACTGTTATTACATTCATATGATCAGGACACAAAAAACATGTGCTTTCAGAATTGTGCATATGACATTTTCTCTAATTTCACAATGCAAAATATATGAATTGCCTTAGGATTAAAATAGTCCCACTATTTTGAAGTGTTTATCTTCTTTCATTTACATAGATGACATATAGGCCATAATGTTAATCCTGTTTATTAATGTAAAAGAAAAGTGCCTACTTACATATGCACTACTGAACATTTTGGTTGTAACAGTAACTACAAACTAACACAATTAGCCTTACAGTATCATTGTAAGTTAAACTGATAAAATGTTACCACAGGATTGTATATGAATGTGAAAACACATTGATTGTTTGATCAATTACACTTATTTATTGCTGATAGGTTTATGTGCTTTAAACATCTGAAATAAAGTAAATACCTTTGATATACTGTCGTAAGTATGCTTTTTTTTCAAATAAAGAGTTATTTCTCTGAATTTTTATGAAATGGACATGACCCATCTAGACTATAAGATAACTGCAATAGTAGATTTAAATGCAAGTTTACCAGAGTTATTCCCCTTAATTTTGAAAAATGGATTTTATATTGTACACTGCATACTAGAGTCTAATAATTAATAGAATGTTTTTCAGTCTGGTTGTGGCATGTCATCTTGTGTTAAAGTGGCTTAAATCTGAATACTTTTCATGTAAAAATATAGGTAATAAAGGGAGAGAAATACCTTCCAACTATAACTGGTTGTGAACTTATGGTTGAATCATCATCAAACTTAGTCTGTAGGCATTCCTGCATTATCTTCCATCTATATTTTGGATGCCACAGTTAAATAAATTTAATAACCTTTCTGTGGTAAACAATGGATGGTCAGTAATGTGATTATTATGCATTTAGCATCTTTGTATTAATCTTTATATGAGTTTATAAAAATGTTGGAAAGCAGTTTTTATAAAATGGAAAAATAAGAATAACAACTCATTAATCATTGGATAGATATACACCAAACTTGGTACATTTGTATTAGTTTCCCTTAGTTTGTCTGAATAGAAATAATAAAAAGGGGAGAAACTATTGTATTATCTTTTCATAATGGATTATGACCAATCTTTGTATTTAACATTCCTCAATGGTAGTTGTTTTTAGATCATTTTTGCATGTCAACTCCCAAGAACTGCATTAGTCAAGAACTGAAAGAAGTTGAACATATCTAATGAACCTAGTGA